CGAAATGAGTTATAAGGGAAAATATATTTTAAATTAATGAGTAAAGAAAAATAGTTCATTTTGTATTTACTTCTTGCAACTTCTCTAAGGAGGACGAATTTGCTTTGAAAGTCTTAAACGTTTACAGGAGACATGTACAAAGAATTTTCTATTTCAATCTGTCAGTTTTTATACATAAATATTGCCTTTTTCGGAAGCTTTTCATCTTGTTAGGAGTCCCCATATACTATTCACGGACTTTATATCCGGGTAAAGTAATGACGACTTTAAAGCATTGAGTTTGAAGTGTGAATTGGTGCTTCATCTTATTGAAAAGAGCAATTAAAATCGCACAATAACCCGAGTAATAGTTCAGATTTATTTTTAAAAATGTCTTTGTACTATACCGAGTTTTTCCAATGAAAAAATGGTTAATGAGGTTTCCTATTAAATCAACCTAGATCCAAATTCACTACGTTGACGGCAGCTGAAATACATTTTTGGTTAATTTCTTAAATCTGACCGATAATTTTTATAATCATCAGGTTAATCTAAATTGTAATTTTTCTCATCACTAAAAATTGCCAAAAATCAGTTATCGACAAAACTTATCATTATTATTTTTATTTTGCCCATTAAAGTCAAACAACATTCTGCACATAATTTTTTAATATTTTATTCTTCTATAAAGTGGAATTCAAAATAACAAAAAATAAGGAGGCTAACGTCAATACGACGTTGGGAATAATCAAATATGTTTCGATTATAAATTAAAATAATAATGAATAATAATTAAAAATTCTTTTTTTGTATGGAATTATCTGTAGATAAACGAATTTTATAATTGTGGGCAAAAAATTTTTTGATTCGCTTAAAAAGTCTTAGAGCTGTGGTGAAATAAGCAAAAAATAAAATTTACATTTAGAGGTCCAAACAGTAGACCGTTTTCCTCATCAAATCATTCGACCATATTTTATAAATTGCGGTTATCCCCCGTAATTTGAGGGTTCAAATCCGTCGTAAAGAAGTAATATTCTTACAGAAAAAGTAAGATTTCAGTCTATTTTCATAACTTAAAATATCATTTGTACTATTAACTTAGCATATTTAAGCTTAAATCCTCGCATCATTAAGATATGTAAAAATTCAATCCTAGATCAAAATCAGTGTCCCGTTTTTTTCCGCGCTTTACATGGAAAATATCTTGAAATAATTATAGTTGTTTTTGTTTCCTTATGGGTAGTTTCGTCACGTTAGAATAAAGACAACTAAAAAAAACGCCTTTTTAACGTTTTTTACTAAATTTGCAATAATATCAAAGGAGTGTTTATTCGTATTAAAATTACGATACACAGCTATCTTTGTAATTCGCTTTTTCCCCATTTCTCAGATTTTTTTTCTTCTTTCCTAGATAATCGCCAACCCATCAGTTTTTCAACAGGTGACGCTGTAAGCGGACTCATATTATAGCACATAATCATGCTACTATACCTAAACAACACTTTTAATAACTGCTGCCATTTAAAAGTTTAGAACAGAGATAAGTCTTGCCCATAACAAAAGTAAACTCAAGTATTTATCACTACGAAATTTCACTGAAATTTTTTAATTTTAAATTTTTAAACTGGCATCTACCACCGTTTGTCTTCCTTATTTTGTATTATTTTGATTTCTAGCTTTTTTTATTATTCTCTTCGAGAAAAACTTACGCGTGATCAAAAACATACATTAATGATGCATCCCTAATTTCCTTTTAGCATCTTATTTATCGTCAAAAAACTACATACCGCTTTGTTTTTAACCAAGAACAAATTCCATTAATCACTTAACAACTCAACGCCTTATTGGTGTGAGTTAAATGCTTTTAAATGTATTTTTTCTCCCTTTTTAAATGATGAATCACGGTTATTGAGGCAGGTGTTTTTGATCGCCGTCTCGTGATGATCTGAGAAATAAACAACCAAAACTTAAGAATTACGTAAAAATTCAATAAAAGTTCATAAAATGGGAGGGGATGTTAAATTTCACTTTTATGTATCAGTTCAAGAAAAAATATAATATTTTGATTAGAATAGAATATATAATCTGTCATTATAGCGGAATTCTCGTTATAGGCTGTTCACATTATATCGATCGTTTACAATTATTTTCATATGATTTCATAAAATTTTTACAATTATTTTCATAATCTATCACTAGCAGCTTTCAATTACCTCAATTTAAACTATGACTCTTGAATCATTGAGATAGTATCGTAATACGTAAAAATCTGATTTTAAAACCAAGAAATATTTAGAATATTCACTTTTTTTTTCTTTTCATTTTGTTTCAAAGTGTTTCTCTTTGAAACTATCACTTGTCTTGCACCCTAAAAAACATTTTTTTCCGAAAAAAAAGAAAGAAAAAAAAGAAAAAGAAAAAAAATTATAGTAAAGTTTTGCTGCGTTTTATTATTATTATTATTTATTTATTTATTTTCGCATGCGATAGCTAAGCGATACAAATTGAGCTGGTGACAAAGTTGAGCCTGCGATGAACTGTGCCCGAGACGAATTGAACGGACGTTGAAATATCGCCACGACGTATTGTGTCGACGACGAACTGACGTCCCAACGAATTGTGAGCGATGAATTGTCCCAGGACGAACTGTATGCGATGAATAAACACGAGACCAAAATCCATGGTACCACAGTTAATATCCCTCGGAAGGTTAGATATAGTGTCTCTAATGCAGAGCCGGATTATACCTTTCGTAGGCCCTAGGCACAGAGCCGGATTATACCTTTCGTAGGCCCTAGGCATAGCCGTTTTTGGGCCCTCCCCTCCTTCCCCCACTCCTCCCCTCTTTTCAAAATATATGCTGAAATTTTCTTGCATATTTTTTTTTTACACTTTTATTAATATGGATTTTAATTTACGAATTTGTTTGTCGAACTTTATCTGCAATACCGACAAGTGTAATGCATAAAGTAAGAGAAAAAAGAAAGGTACTCCTAACTTTAAAGAGAAAAAAAAATGGTAGAAATATAACATTTAAAAGAATAAAAAATTTACAAGTTTAGACAAGAAAAACAAGTTTAAAAAAAATACAAAATTCTCATATTTATTTTTTATAAATAATTACAATTACTAAATTAACTTATGTAAACAAAACCAATGATTAAATAACGCAATATATTTCATACCTAATTAAACGGGGGGGGGGGAAACAATAAAATAAAAGGAAAACTTATTAATCTAAATCAAAACACTTGAAAATTATCGAACCGAAACGATAGTTAAAAAAGGCACTAGCATAAATATTAAAACCCGGAACAAGGCAAGATCAACGGAATTTTTTTAAAAAAAAAACCTAATGATAAAATTTATGAATAAAAAGAATTTATTGAAAGCGAAATTTATAGTGAAAAGAAAAAAAAATCAAACGCAGTGGAATCAGAAAAACAAAACTGTTTTTCTGATTCCACTACGTTAGATTTTTTTTTTTAAATTTTTTTCTCCCAAGTTTTTCGTAGGCCCTAGGCACGTGCCTAGTGTGCCTATAGGTTAATCCGGCTCTGCTCTAATGTAATAGAGGAGCACATGAAACTGTAGCATTGCAGGAAAGCACGATCAATGTTTTATTTGTAATTTATGCTCTTAATTTTGATCCACAAATTTGACTTACGATAAATTACAAACATATTCCATATATGTCCCTTGATTTTTAAGCTCCTGTTAGTTTCTCTGGGAAAAAAGGTCATCGCAGTAACTTTTTGCTATCGACAAGGTTGGATAAAACAGGATATTAGTATACCTTCAAAAAAATAATTTTTCATTTAATTTTTATTTACTTTATTTTTTTACGTTAAATAATTTTAATCTTTTGAACAAAAGAGATAAATTGTCATTGAAATAAAAATGTAAGTAATTTCATACTAAGAGTTGCTTAGGGAGGAAAAAAACTTTAAGGACCTGTTTTGTCTATCTTTCCAATATTAAAATATATATATATATATATACATACATACACCGAAGAGCCATTACATTATAACCACCTTTAGCCCTCAAAACTGCTAGCATCCGCCGTGGCATTGATTCCAAAAGGTGCTGATAGGTAGTCCGAGGTATCTCGTACCAAGCGCTCACCAACTGGGGTAGCGTGGCAGCACGAATTTGATTTTCCAAGCAGGACCACAAATGCTCTATTGGATTAAGGTCAGGTGAATTTGGGGGCCAAGACATGACTTGAAAGTCACTGGAATGTTCCTCAAACCAATCCATGGCGATTCGACCCTTATGACGTGGTGCATTATCCTGTTGGTAAGCACCATCCCCCGCAGGAAAAACTGTTGCCATGAATGGGTTGGATGAACAATGTTCAAGTAGCTTACAGACGTCAGGAATGTTCTATGAGGATTATGGGTCCTAATGTGCCCCATGGAAACATTGTTCCTGGGCGGCCCATTGTTATAGATGGAGGGTGGTCATAATGTAATGGCTTTTCGGTGTATATATGAGCCGCTCAGAAGCCAATGCGGTTAAGTCCATTTTTTGATATTTTCCGATTTTTGGAAATTTTGATGAAATAAATAATAATCTTCTTAGTTATTAAAGGATTTACTCGTTGGTTACTTTTTTCTAGGTTAGACAGCCCTTTTTTTAATAGCTTCTGAATATATTGTATAATAATTTCAGAAGCCATTGTGAATAAGTCCACCTTTTATCAATGTTATTTTATTATTTTTACATAAATTTCTTATCTTTTTCAGCTGCCAAAAGGTATAAGTCCTAAAAATTTTTAAGATGCTGTCATTATTTCAATAAATACTTACGTTTTTATTTACACATCCTGTACATATCTTGTTTTTTTTTGCAGAGTTTACACCTCGAAAAAAGACTTTATACATTTTTCTAATTAAATTAATAAACCAAGAATTTTAAAAACTAATGTATCAAAAAACATTAATTTTCTCAATTTTTGTGTTTTGGACTTCACCGCATTGGCTTCTGAGGGACTCATATATGAAAAATGAACTTACCAAAGAGTTGATTGGATACATAAGAGCCTCCCGAAGAATAACCGGAGGCTTCTGACCTAGACTGTCCCACTAGGGGGTGGTAAGGTACATAAGACAACCTTTTGAAGTAGGGTCATCCAAGTGTTGTAAATTTGCCCAATACAATCTCTCTCTTTTAATCTAAAACAAGGAAAATAAATATTTCGGTTCATTACATTTTCCATATTGTTAGCATACTGTTAGAATTAAAACAGATACCTTTAAAACACCTGTTTTCAAAAAATGTACAAAAAAAGTCATGTTTTCAAGTTTCGCACGCAGTTAGTTTTAGAGTTATCTTGTTATAGCATTTCAAATTTAATAAAAAATGTTCTTGAAATCAATAATATTGAATCATCTACAGTTTTAGTACTGTTGCCATTGATTAACTGAAAATATAAAATTATCTTTGATAAAGGGAAAGAACAAGTTAATTAGCTGTTGAGGGGTACTTTGTTGTACTTATATCTTGATGAATTTGCTATTCCATATAAACTGTGGTAAAGTAAGTTAACCGTGCTTCAAACTCAATTTGTAAATAAAACCAGATGTTTTAAAGCACGTTTTTTTACATGTTTATGAAATTTGGTACTTAATAAAGTTTTAGACACAAAAATTGAAATAAATACGAAAATTTGTAGTACTTAGGGAAAAAAATACTGTATTCGCCAGCTCTTTATCGACTAACAAAAAAAAACTTAGGTAGGTAGAACTTAGTGATGATTAATATTTTACTACAAAAATTTAGACCCTCTGAAAAAATACTTTTTTGGACCATTGTATTTTTAATCAAATATTGTAAATATATACAAAAAAGAAAATTTTGGAAAAATGAGTAGAAAAACGGGTAATACATAATTGATTTACGTATTTACGCAATTGACGTTACTATCTCTAGACTAGTACTGTTTCTATGCATTTTTTTTTTTGCGCTGAATCCAATGATTGATTTAAAAAAAGTCGGTATTTTTAGAATTCGATTTCTCAGGAACTATTCGCCCGATTTCACTCAAATTTTGCATTTTGCCATGTAAAATCAAATTCTTTAAAATGATGTAAAAAATTGTATACCTCACAATTCAAATTCTTTCTTTGACTAGTATTAAATATAATAACAAAAAAATAATAAATATGAACTAAAATTTATCCTTTGCATTGAATTGTCTTTGGATAAATAAATTTTAGAATTCCGAGCAAATGTTTTTCAATTCGCTTTATAAGTTTTCGAGATATGGCGTAAAAAGTAAAATTAACGATAAGGGGTCCAAACTTAGAACCCTTCTCCTGACCAAACTATTGGGACCATATTTACCAGATTACGACTATCCCCTCTATTTTGGAGGTCAGAAATCCAAATCCGTCGAAAAAAAGGCATGTTTATTCAGAGATAGTACGTTTTTGTGTCTGATTTCGAGAATTAAATATTATCCGCAGTAATTAATTAGCATATTTGAGGTTACCCTCTCGTATCATTGAGATTGAGTCCTAGAACGTGAAGATCCGATTATTAGATCAAAAGTTATTCAGGGTCGTCCTTTCTTTTCTTTTAAGCACTGTACACGCAAAATATCAGTGAATGCAGATCAGTGGTTCTAAGACTTTTAATGCAAAGGGAAAGATTTAATTGATTCACTTATCTTCTATTCCGACTACTTAACATCCATTTTTGACCACACATTTTTCGTAAGGAAGTTGATTGCTTCCTTTTTTTAGATCTCTGTCCATTTACTGGACAGTAGCAAATTAATATTTTGGTTTCGATTTTTCAAAAAGAAAAAACATTTGCTTCTATAAGGGTTATAATTTATATTAAATTATAACCCAATCTTTATTTAAATTAGATACTTTTTTTTGTAATTTATAAAAACGGAGGAAGGGATCTCATCATATTCAAACAATTTCTCTGAAGAATTTATTTTTAAATTTCATATAATCTTTGTTATTAGAGTAATTACAAAAATTATCAAGACTAGCAATTAATTAATTTTTTGGATTAATAATATTTAAGGATTGAATAATGCTATTTATTTTGTCTTATATTTTCCTGTCTACTAGCAGGTTCCACCCCCTGTTCGCTATCGCTGTTCGAAATCCTATCGTTTTTTCTCCTTCATCATTTAAGATCAAGAGCGGGCGGTTTATGTCCATTTTTTCATAAAAGTTATGATTAGATTGACGCATGTTGCATTTTGAGTATCACTAAGTTGAGACAAATCAATAATACAAATAACTAAAGGCCGAGATAGCCTGGTTGGTAGGACACTGGTTCCATGTCCAAGAGTTCGGGGGTTCGATCCCCGCCGGCTGAAGACTCCCCGTGTAGTAAATAGTGACTGATGCACGTTAAATCTGTCGAGTCGCAAAGTTCTCCATGTTCCCATAACAAATCAATACCTCTGGGGTACTGATCCAGGAATTTCCTTGTCTTCTGGATTGGTTCAAAATTACAAGGCTACGGAGTTGAACATTAGTAGTCGTAAACCCAAAAATTGGGTTGGCTGTTCCACGACGAATATAAAATATAACATACAAATAACTTGGAACCAGCCGTGGTGGCTCAGGGGATAGAGGGTTAGCCTCCAAATGAGGTGAACCGGGTTTGAATCTCAGCGTAGGCTGGTCGATACGAATTCCGCACCCGGCTCGCACCGACTACAGTGCTGATGTAAATTATTCTCTGTGGTAGACGGATCATGGGTTAGAGTTCCCTTGCTGACAAGCTAACCGTGGGAAGTTTTCCACTTCTTGTAACGCAACTGTGGGTTAGTTCTATCAAAATGTCCTCCAGGAAGGTAAATTTCTCCCCATACTTGATTCAGGAGTTTCCTTTTCTTCTGGGTTGGGTTCAAAATTATAAGGCTACTGAGTTGAAAATTGGTAATCGTAAGCCCAAAATCGGGTCAGCTTATTAACTACGGTTATAAATAAAATAAAATTAAAACGAATATAAAATTAATTACGGTTATAAAAGAAAATAAAGTTATAAAGGAAATTTATTCCCCCGTAGAGTTATTAAAAAGGGCCGTTCTGTGGAAAAACAGTTTCATCCTGTGCGAAAATTCTTTTTTTCTTCTATAATCAATTTTTATAAAAACATAAAGTTTAAAAATACAGAATGTGCGACACAATAAGAAACAATAAATGAGAAGTAATTTTACTTGTTAACAATATAAGGTTACAATATATCGTTATCGTTAACAATATAACGTTAACTTTATATATTACAGTTAGCATTGGAAACAGTTTTTCTTTCCCTTCGGTTCTTATATTTTTAAAAATCTTGATATTAATGTTAAGATAAAAAAGACATCTAATCTCCTTTTTATTCCTCATTTATTCCTCTTTTTTTTTCTTTCTAGAACTAGCTCGAAAGCTTTTCGTCCTCCTTGATCTTCTTAAAAGCTTTTTTTTTCCTTAAAAGTCGATTTTAAAAAAAGATAATTTCGTTTATAAAATAAATTTTTGTAACTAATTTCTAATTTTATCCAAACACATTTTATTAATATGTTTAATCGTAACGAAATGAAAGGATAGCTGGAATTTTAAAAAAAATCAAATGTACTTAAACGAAATTAAACTTAGAAATAAAAAAGTGTGACACAATAAGAAGAAAAAAACACAAAATTGCAATACTTTTCAGGGAAATAGAAATTTCAAAAAAATCTGTCTAAGTTTATAATTTAAAACTGCTCTATAAGCTCGTCGAATTTCAACTCTGTAATTGCACTTCAGTTTTTCAATCAACATATTTTTCTTCTTTTTTTTTCCACAACAATTTCAATAGTTAATAATTATCGAATTTACGATTATTAATGTTTAACTCCGCAGCCTTGTAACTTTGAACCCAATTCAGAACACAAGAGAACTCATGGATCAAGTATTGGGAGATATTTGCCTTCGTAGAGGACTTTTTGATGGAACTTGCCCACATTTGCATCACATGGAAAGGAAAACTTCCCATGGTTAGCCTGACGGCAAGGGAACTCTAAACCCATGATCCGTCTACCACTAAGGATATTTTACGTCAGCACTGTGGTCGGTGCAAGCCGGATGTGGAATTCGTATTGACCATTCATTGCTGAGATTCGATCCCAGCGATGAATGGTCACCTCATTGGAAGGCGAACTCTCTATCCCCTGCGCCATCTTGGCTGTAGATAGATTATAAGACTTCCAGGAAAATTTGCATTTATATTAACATAAGAACTGTACATTCATAAATATTTTTTGCATCAGATATATTCAAATGAAAGCCATATATAGATTTCTTTAAAAATTATGCATTTTTATAAAAATAATGTAAACATGCTTGCAACATATATTTTAATTTGATTCAACGTGCACATGCAGTTATAAATTAATTAAATATAATAACGATTACAAAATATGCTGTTTATATTTCGAATTGTACATTAATACATTTTTTTCACAGCTTAATGTGACGTACATGAAAAGGAGAAACATATGTTTCCCCGCATTTGAAAAAAAATTCGGTAAATAGGAATTTTTAAAAATCATCAAATTAATTGACACGAAAGAATAATGGAATAAATTATATTTCATGAAACTTATGCAAAGATACTTGCAATAAATATTTTAATTTATTTTAATGTGCAGTAAGACTTAATTAAATATAAAAATGATTACAAAACATGCTATTTATATTTTAATTTGTACATTAATATTTTTATAACCTTATATAATACACATGAAAAGGATATACTTAATGTTTCACCGTATTTTTAAAAAAAAAATCAGTAAATAGATATTTTTGAAAATCATCAATTATTAACTCTCAAGGAAAAAAATAGAATAAATTTTATTGATTCTAAAACGTACCTATATTTGAAAATATATGAATGTAATAAATCGACAATTTTCCGCACACACCATATTTTCATATTAAAATTCGATTATTTTTATTATCAAAGTATGATTAAAGTGCGATTATTTTTATTTATTTGATTTATTATTTTCAAGTAATAAACCTCTTAGAAAAGCTGAAGACAAAATAATCCTATAACTAAAATTATTTTTGAAATTATAAACCTTTAAAAAAAAAAATACTGTTATAATCTGAATATAAATAATTTAATTAAAAATTAATGTTAGAATATAAACAATTTTAAGAGCAATTTGATTTATAATTATAAAACAATTTGCGAATAAAATTGACAAATATTAATATGTTACGCAGGTTGAATATTATTTTTAATTTGAAAATAAATAAATAAATAAAACTACAACTAAAGTACTTACTTAGGTTCAAAATCTTACAAAAAATTCAGGTTTCAATTACTATCAATTCTAATAGTACCGTTATTAAATAAGATAAACGTAGTGAACTTCAAAGAAAGGTCATTCACACTGCCTTAATAAAACAAACACCGTCACATATAAATACGTACACACATCACATGCCGGTTCTTCATTTTTTTTTCTTCGAAACATTAAAATATTTACAACGATAAAAAATAAAGAAAAAATTCACCATACGAACTGTATTTAATAGAAAATTATTGTAAATTTTATTTTAATATTAATCCATATTAAAATAGGTAATAAATATCACATGCAGGAAGTGAACGTGAACTTACCTGTTATTTGTTGATACTTCGCAAAGTAAAGAATTATGAATGAAATTTTTTAACAAATCCACAATGTTTCTTTTAGGCACTCATTTTAATAAATTTAATAGCTTGTCATTAAGTTTCACTACTTGAAATCCATTATTAATATGGGAGAATTGCGTATCTAACTGTTCTTCCACAATCCGTTTCTACTCTTCTATGCTGATCTGTGATCACTGAACTAAAGGTCATTGACACCTAACGGAGCTGACGGTCATAGAACTGATGAACACTCAAAATGCTATCAGAGATAACTGTTTCACTGGGATTGTTAAGAATTAAGCAATTTATTACATTTTTAATACTCTGAAAAAGTAACAGTAGCAATTATCTTGATTATAAACAACTTTTTAGCTCAATTCAAAACTGTCAAAAATTATTTTAATTTAGTAAATGTTGATAAATTTGGTTTTAAGTATGGAAGCTTTTATTTTTTAGTTTTTTATATATATTACAGATGGCGCCACTTAAAATATTCTCCACTTCTAACATCTTCCTTTTGTTTTTTTTTAATTAAGTAGAGAAAATGGCAGACGTTCGCAGTGTAGTTTATTTTAGTGTTGATAATTGCGTTATTTCTTATCATTTAATAGTTCGCTGCCTATTAACAATCGTTCGAAGTAGAATTTTAGTTTTCAATCAATAAATTCTATTATTTATTATTAAATGAACTTTGTGATGTCTTTTTAAGTTTTGTCCCTTTAGTTTTGATACCTGTAGACTACTAATTTTCCCGACATTTTTAGTAATGAGTTATAATTCTTAAAATAAAGTCTGTCAAAATGAGTGATATAAACAACCAGTTCACTGTTGAAAACATTGAACAAGTAAGTTGACATAGTAATAAGGGTTGATTCTAAAACATATGTTTTAATGTTGACATTCTCTGTGGTTGACATTTAAAGATGCCAGTGTATTGTTGACATTTAAAATGGAGTAATCAAATGCGTGCACAATAGCAAATTGTTACAAATTTTAACAAAAAATTAATGTTATGAGCCGTCTCTGTTTTTAAAATAAGTAAACATACTAGTTTTTAAGCATGCTTTAGTGTTGACATTTGGAAATATAGTATTAAATTCATGCATCATACTTAATTGATATAAAAAAATGTATATATCAATTATGGGAACAATATTATCTTAGATTGTAATAAATTTTCGCATAAGTTTAATCACACAACATAAGTAAGTAATGACATAAGTTTTTATAGTAATAATTGATTCAATAATTAAATTTGAAAGTAAATAAATGTTATTACAGTTGAAAGGAATAGTGATTTAGCTGAATAGCAACATTTAAAAAAAAAATCAGTAATAAATATTTTTTATACTTAAATGAGTTTGTTATTGAAAACTCTTCAAAACTTAACTATATTATTGGTATGTAAAGGGCAAATATAATAGTTATCCATTAGAAAAATTTAAGATGAATAAAAAATACTATCTAACAGCTGTGAAAAAAAACTGAAGTTGTAAAGTTGAAAAAAATACTATTAAGTGTTTAAACAATACGTTAATGCTAAAAATAATGTTTTCCGGGGAAAAACTACCCATAAGCATTAAAAGAAGTCTATCAAAAACGCTTTTAAAAATGCGACACTATCATAAAAGCCCATAAAAAAAACAAAAGATTATATAAAACAGTGAAGCGGAAAAAATTAAAATCGATCTTGATTTTCAAAAGAAAAGTTTCAATCAACATCTCAGTTTTCCAATTATTGTATTTTCAAGAAAAAAGAAGTATAAAATAGAAGAAATAGAAATTCTTTTTAGAATAAAAGCAGAAATAGAAACTCTTTTAATTGCTGTGTCATAATAAAGACGTTTATGAAAAATAGATTTTTAAAAAATAAAAAGCTAGGTAGAAACGAAAATTGTTCTTAATTTTGAAACGAAAATTTTAACACCAAAAATCTTAATCTAATATTTTTCTCGCTGTCATATTTTTAACAAAAAGAGACGATAAAGGAATTATATTAGTTAGAAAGGCTCTTTAAAAAGATGCTGTGTCATAATAAAAAGTAGAGTTAATGTTGAAAATCGAAGTTTCTTAGTTACCAAATACCATTTGGAGAAAAAGTGACAATGAAAGAATAGTGTTATTAGAAATGTTATGTTAAAATACAGCAATATCAAAAGAACAGCTAAAACGAGAAGGAGAAAAAAAACTTTTTCGATTTTTAAATAAAAAAGTGTTGAAAAAACTGCCAAATTGATTTGCCTCAATGTAATTAGAAAACATGTGGTTCAGTATACAGTAAATATTCTAGTTTGAATTCTTCCAATTTCGCTTTTCCATTTGTCTTCCAAGACATAAAATTGCAAGCACTTGAATTTTAAAACTTAACAAATATATGTAAAAACTATCTCTGATAATTTATAGTCAAAAATACTATTTTAGATTATTTTTTATTTTATCTATTTATAAATTTTAGAAAATTGCTTTTCTAAGAAATATTTGACCGAATAGTGGCTGAATATTTGTTACATTCCTAATTGTTATAAAGTTTTCCTATGTAGATCGCATCATTAAGTGAAAATTTATTGATATTAAAACTATCAATTTTAAAACTTTATCCAGAAAGATTTTTCTCATTACAATACTGGTAATAAAAACAAGAATTTAAGTGAATATCAGAGATGAAGCAGTATTTTAATCGACATATTGCTAATTTTCAATTCATAGTCATAGCCTTTTTTAATTGTAATTTAGCTTAAAATGCTTGTAATACTAGCAAAAGGAAGACTAAGTTTGTTGCTAATGTGCTTAGTTTGAAAGCTATTGTGCGAGATTAGAAAAATTATCCACTTATATTACCCTTCATTTCTGTTTCTAAAAATGGTATTAGTAGCTATTTCTAGAAATGATATATCATAAAAATAAAAAAAATATCTTAGTTAACTTTTTATTTTATCCTTTCCCACAGTGCAGTGACTTGTGATCAATAAAAAATTTTCAGTACTAGTAAACTAGTTGTCTTTATGCTAAACTGTTAGATTTTCTATTTTGTGATCTGTGGCAGAATAATCATCAAGCTGCCGAGCTGCAAACTGCAAAAAACTAAAGTAAAATTTAAAAAAAAAAAACATCAAGGAAGACGACCAACTCTAAAGGTAAAACTTGTAGTCAGCTCCTTGCAAACCTAAACATGTTTTTGTTTTTTTAAATTTGATAGTCTAAAATCTATTCGGCGATTGTAGTTGGCGCAACATATCACAATAAAATATCCCTTATACTGTCTCTTTTTACATATTTTCACTATGATATTCTAGGTTTTCTAATCATAAAATCAATTCAATATACTTAGTCAATATTGATTGATTGATTTACTTAGTAAATATTGCTACAATATTGATTTTATTTTAAATAATAAGATTTTATTTATGTCTTATTTCTATTCTAGATTTTCTAGCTCTCTCTTTTTTTTTTTTGAGTGAAATTTACCGAAAGAATTTAAAATTGTTTTTCAGAATCTTTATGGTAAAATTAATCAGTTAAATGAAACTATAATATTTTATTTTAATGAGCTTATCATTCAATATTCTTACCATGTATGTTTTAACTAGTTTTAAAAAAAATACATGTATTACTCATAATACATGTATCTACTCTTGTTAGATAAAATTTGTGTCATATATGTAAAAAGAAGTCTTTAATTTATTAAATTTATTCAAACAAAAGTTTATAATTGTGTGAACAAAAATATTACAATAATGAATTTTATGAATGACAATTTTTTAAATTTAGGCAAAATCATTGCAACTTATTGCAAAATTAATTTATCATGTTGAATGTTTTGAAGCCTATTTTCCAGCCTGTATAATATACACAAAGGCCGTACTTGGAAAATTTGTCCTCATTGCCTAATTTTTCTTTTACAATTATTAAAAACTGATGGGGAAAAAAATTACCCTCTTTCCCATGAATGTAATCACAACTTAAGATTGCATTAATAATCTCATATCGTGATTCCTATTTACGTGGTTTAAAATCGTCCAGCATGTTTTGTATTTTTGCATTTTTTTTTTTAAATCAAATATTTTGTTTGTATTCAAAGGATTTAAAAGCCAGGATTATGATTTTGGTTCGAGTGACTTAAAAATTATACATCAAAATCCGTATTAACACAATTTTAAAATCAAATATCGATATTCATATTCACACGGTTTTAAAATCAAATACTGAAATTTGTAGTAACACGATTTTAAAATAATATACCGAGATTTATGTGCACACAATTTTAAAATCAAACATCAAGATTTGTATCAATGCAATTTTCAAATTAAATGTCGATTTTAGTATTCGTTTGATTTAAATATCACACAACGAGATTCAGACAATTTAAATAAATTAATGAAATCTTGTATTGATATTTTTCTTAAAACGTTGATAACATTCCGTGGATAAATGCTTCTTACATGCACTTTTTCATGCTTAAATTTCAGGTATTTTTTCAATTATTTAAGAAGTGTTTTTGCACATAGCATTTTTGAATTGCAATTTACCAGTTTTCTATCAAACTCATCCTTGAGGAATAAATCAATATAGAGTTTCATAAAAAGCAGGGTTGACAAGATTTTGCCACAGGTGGAAAAAACCATGGTAAATACCGGTAAAAACCGTCCTGGCAAAAACAGATTTTTGCCAAGCAAATTGGCAAAAAGTGGCAAAAACCTATATTTTCCAAGATGAGAGGACAAAAACACATTTTTGGTACAAAATTATTCCTAAAATTGAAATACATATTATATATATAAATTATTACAAAAAAATTAACAAAATTATTATTCCGTAATTAAATCATAATGTAATAATATATCATTTTAGAAGTTTAAAACATTATTGATTGGAAAATTTGCGATTATTCTCTTTTTTCCAGTGAAATGAACTTATTTTAAGTTAATATAACTGTAATTTAAAGCATAAAATATCTATCAAGATATGTAGTTAATTATTGTACAAATAATAATTTTTTCTAATGTAGCAATAATAATATTATACAAATAATAATATTTATTTATTTGTAAAAAAACATTTATTTAAGGATTTTAAAATGAAAAGAGATCAAAACCTTTCAATGTTTTAAAAATTATTGCTTTTATATTAATTATTAATATGTTAAAAATAATTTTTTCGTGTAATGTATCAAAATTATTATTCCTTATGATTGATTTAAATTTGTTTCAAGTATTTTGTAATATAATATTTAATCAGCAATTTAGATAATTTGGTTTTTGCCACTGTCCTGGCAAAAACCCCTTTTTGCCGGCAAAAACTCCAACCCTGATAAAAAGACATTCACAGCTCTGGGTGCCGTAAATGAGTGACTTTAAACTTTTACTTTCTTACTTTTAAAATAAAGTGGTTTTGTCCTTAATTATTTCTTGAGAGATTTTTGTACTGTGTTTCTTTTTTTGCATCCAAAGCTTATTTATGATATTTGTTCTAGACATTGCTTCACTTTTACAATGATGCAGAGAGTCAGGCTCAAGCAAATCAATTTCTCATTCTTGCTCAGAGCTCTAATCAGGCATGGGATTTTGCATGGGAATTCTTGCAGTTTTCCAAGGTAAGTTTTCTAATTTCACAATCTTTTTTTTTTAAATCTATTTTTTGCATAAAAATTTCACCTTTAATGGTAATTTGTTATTTAACTCAGCTAACAAGAAAGATATTTGATTTTTCATTGGCTGGTTAGGCTGAATTTCATTAGAAAATAATCAGAGGTGTGCAAAATTTCTTGCAGCCAGCATATGAAATATAAAGTAATATCACCTTGTTTTCCTTTTATATAATAACAAAAAAAAATTATCATTTTTAATTGGGATGATCGATAAATAAATAAATATATTGGTTCAAAGTATATCTACTTTCGAAAGTCTTGAATTGAATAAACCAGAAAAAAAGGATTACAGCATTTGATAAAAAATTGGCTGTAATTTGTTAATTTTATAACCTTTTGAAATCTTAGTAATTTTAGCTCGAGATAGTTCAGTGGTTAAGGTCGCTGGGCTGTCATTGTGAAGGATAGAGGTTCGAACCTCTGTGGTGACTACAAACCCACCCTGTTTCAGATTGAAGTGTACTAGCGTGATTATCAACTTGTGCACAATGCTAACTACATTGTCACACTCATGCCTTTGGTCACAAAATTGTGGAGTCTTAATACTCTCTGGCTCACAAAAGGTTATTGCAGATATGCTTTTACTCAAAATTGTAGGGATTCACACTAAATCTAATTTTTTGTCTTTATGCAATTACAAAATTTACCCATACATATGTTAACTTTCTTTTAGCATTTCTTAAAATTTTTTTTATACATAAACAAGTGTTAAAAATTACTTTTTGGTTAACCAGGTGCAAGTAAAAAATCGCTGAAAAATCTAGTGCTCCCACAACTTTTTTTTATTTTATTAATTTTGTAAGCACATAAAAATATAATAGTAATTTTAAAAAAATTATAAATATTAAAAAATTGAAAAGAGTGAAAGCTTTGTTATACTTCACTTAATTTGATAAAATGTTATGAAAGATTTATTATCGTATTACCTTTATCATTAGTGATTTTAACATTTTTCGACATAATTACTTGGGTAAATTTTTTGTCATTCTGGCAAATCTTATCGCTGAAAATTTACATCATCTAGCCAGACGCTTCTAAATTAAAATTTTTGTTATTAGTTTAGGTTCCAAATGACCTCTAATGCTTTTTTCTAGCCTCCTGAAGTCCAGTTTTTTGGTGCAAGTACCTTGCAAGCAAAAATTTCTAAAAATTGGAATGAGTTGCCTCCTGATCTCTATGCTCCATTAAGAGATAGATTAATGAATGCTCTCTTTACATATACATGTGGTCCAAGAGTTGTTTTAACTAGGCTGTGTATTTGTGTAAGTATCATCCATCAACTTTCTCCACGTTAATAGTTATATTGTATTGATGTTGTTTCTTTCCAAGTGATTGTAATGATTGTTTGCTGAGAATTTTAAAAGAAAATGTAATATTCGATATAAAGAATGTTTATATAATTACCTATTTTAAATACTTGATTACTATTTTTTTTTAAAATACTAATGATAATGAAATTCATATTAACTTTTCATTATTCATTCAACTATTTTTTTTGCAATAAAATCCAATTCTTTCCAATGTTTCTCAAAAGCCAAAACTTGAATTTTGCTAGAAAAGAATTACTATACAATTTCACCCAAATGCTTATTGCTTGAAGCATTGAATTTAATGAATCCAATTGTTGTTTGAGAAAATTACTAATAATAGCCTTAGTTTGGCCTTTCATGGGGATTTTTAAGAAATAATTATTACTTGCATAATAACATTTTTAAAGTCGACAATGCAATTGATAATATGTTTAGTAAAACCTAATTTTACATGCCTTATAAATTGTTTCGCTTTCTGAAAATTTTATGTAAATTAAGAAACGAAATAGATGGAGGACCAAGGCCGATGCCATCCCAGTTTTCTTGACCCTAGGTTCTAGGGTGCTGAAACAGATGTTCCGGTTCGATGGTCAGCCTTACACAGAACCCTCAGTTTAGATGTTTGAAAATGCATGATTGAAAAGTTACCTGGTAAAATATGTTTGCTAAATTAGCATGAAACTACCCTCATTATGCTTGTCACAATACTTACGCTCCTCTTATTGGTTGAGAAGGATGGACTTATTTTTTTCAATTAAAAAATTTTCAGCGCATATAAAAAATATATTTTGATGTTGTATGGAACTACTACTGTTAGTACTGGTTACAATTAAGGTAAAACAGAAATTGATTCAAGCTAACAGAAACTGTTTTTGTTTTTTAAGATCAGGTGTTAAAAGTTGGAGAGAAAAGGTGTATTGTGCTATACTTGACCGAAAGAGATTGCTTAGTGAATTTTTGGCTAGGAATTCTATTTAAATTTGAATACAGCTTGTTGTTCCGTTTTATTTATAAAATTAAATATTTTTAAAAAAATAATTCAGCATGAAATATTTATCTGCCATCATACTTAACAATTAATTGCACCAACAAAATGAAAACTCCGATTGCAACTATAAATATTTAACCAATTACAGAGATGTTCAATCGAGCTCCTTATTCTTAACTTTTGTGTAACATTATTGTATCGATTTTTTCAATATTTATGAATAATTCCTTATGTGCCATTATTTTAATCAACTCTAAAATCTTAATAATTTGTGTTGCAATATGGCATTAAAAAATTAAAGAAAAAGCAAAACCAAAGATCTGTTTCATATTTTATTGTAAAAATTTTATTAAGCATCAGTTCAATTTAAAAAATTATTCATTTTTAAATTTTAATTGCAGGTATATTCCAAATTAAAAAATACATACTTCATGTCCATCAAAAATTATATATTTTTTTAAAGAATTTAATATTGATTTTATAGTTAATTAGAATTATAATAGGATATTTTCAACAAGACATTTTTTTTTAACTTTCCTATAAAGTCATATAAATTTCAACACTTTCTTAAAGTAATTTGAGCAAAATATGTATTTTGTAATCAAGTACAAAAATTAAGAATAAAAAGATTTTTCTCTATTTCAGACTCTTAATTGCTCTTTTATATTGTAGAATATTATAACGAATTTAGTTTTCAGACTAATCTAATTAAAACTTATCAATGTAATGTAAATCAATGTAATTCAGCCTGATCAATATAAAATTGAACTGAGGAAGTCTAAATGTGTACTTATATGATATAGTGCAATTTTCTTAAGATCGATGTATTTTTATTTATATACTGAAGTTTTATAATTGTTTATTCTTCATTACAATTTGTTTAGGACACAGCAACACTTTATGTTAACAAAAATCTTATATGTTACAGATGTCGTCTTTCATCATTAAGACAATCACAGATTTTTGGCCATCTGCTATATCTGACATAGTGAAAGGTTTCCAACCCCATAACATTCCAAATGCTAGTGTAAGTCTCTTAAAAATATTAACTTATTGTATATGTGTGTGTTATTTTTATAGCTTTTTAAACCTATATTTCTTCAGAGAGAGAGTGTTTTGTCTTTAACATTTTCCTGAACATAGTCATACATACCAGTTTGTAAAATCATCCACTTCATAAAATCAAACTTCTCAGCACGGATGCACTATTAGATGGTGGACCCTGTATACTTTTACTCCATGTGTTCATTGTATTTTTTACTGGGACAATTCTAAATTAATATGTACAGATCTTTTAATTTCCTGATGAAAATTTTACTGTCGCCTAAAATTCAGGAGGACTGAAACAAGTGTTACTTTCTTTGAAAGCTGCAGCAAGTAAAGTTTTTTTTAATAACATGGAAAAAACTAAACATTCAAATTATTACAACTCACTGCCTTTTTAAATTACGGGTACAGTATTTATCATTTTATGAAACAGCATTTGAATAAAAATATACCTAGATTGTGAATTTGATAAACACAAGATAGTCTTTTTTATTCTTTTTCAAATGTTTTCACTAGTATTCAAATGTAGCTGTTCTTGAATAATGGATGTGTGACTTCTCACCTTGCATTGAAAAGTTAACTGAAGAAACTTTTAAATTTTTAGTCCTTTAAAATTTTATAGCTCTTTTTAAATCTAATTTCAGTAAACTCAGAAATTATAATTTTCAAAATTACGAAATGTAAAAAGATAAACTGTAGGTGCAGAAAAAAAGAAAAAAAATTCCTGAAAATTTTCCTTAACTATACCATTTTAAATCATGTCTAGTTTGGAGATTTGTTTAAAAAGGTGTAAGTACATACATGTGCTCATATCGGAAAAGAAAAGAAAAAAAAACTGGATGAGAAGTTAAAAGCCTACTGCAATTTAATTTTTTTCTTAAAGATAAAGGCGTGTAAATCTTCCGGCAAGGGCTGACTCTAATGCAATTTTCTGGGGCCCTGAACCTGCACTGGGAATCTCTTCCACCTCATTTAAGGCATCCATATTCAAGCTTTATGGCAAAATTGCCCATGAGCAATGGCGCGCTGCTGACGGTCAGAGACAAGCTGAGGAGCTAAATCCTGACTGTCCTAGTGTACGCCAAAAAGAGCTTTTAAAGCTTAATAGAGACAGTTTAAGGAAGATCATTGGTCTTCTTACTGGACACTGCATCCTCAGAAGACACTCTGTGATTGTGAGGTCTATTCTGCTCAAAGATTTGAGCATTTAGGGCAGCATTGCGTCAATGCCTGGGAACAGCAAGATGTTCCTGTAAGGTGCTTGCTGAATTTTATTTCAGCTATAGGGCTTTCATGCTAATCATGATTTTAAGGTTTGGGTACAATAGACCTCTGGTCGATGTGTCCTGCTCGTCAGAGCTGCCCAACCTCTAAGTCTAAGTGTAAATCTTCAAATATTTTCTTAATTTTAAAACATTGTGCATGTAATTAGTAAATATTATATATAATTTTTTGCATTTTGTCTTTTAATCTTTAAACAACTGATTAGAAAATTGATATTGATAAACAAACACTAAGGAATTAGGAAACTATTGTTAATTGTTTTAAAAACTGAATTCATTGTCATTCATTGATACCATAAAAATAATACCATACAAAAAGTCATACCATAAAAAAAATTATGCACTTTTGAAATTTTGGCATTTTTTTCAAATTATCAGAAACTTCTGCAAATTGTCTGTGCCAATAAATTAAATTATAACTTTACTTAATCTCTTTTTATTCCAGCCTCAACAAGTTGCATTAGTTTTATTAGAATTGTTGACTGTCCTTATAGAAGAAGTAAGTGTTATTTCTTCCTTTTTTTTTGACAATATTTTATTTTTTATTCGTTTAAATTTAAACTTTACTGGGAAAAAAAATTCTGGATTTAAAAGAATAAACGTGGCTTTTACAATTTTTTAAAAAAGAAGTACTTAGTTTCATTTTAATAATTTAATTAATTTAGTAATGCAAATTTTTAGAAAATTGATCAAAATGACCTTTTACAATTAAAGTTGCATATTTTATATGTTTTATCAGTGATTGTTTATTATGAATAACTTCCTCTGCATTTGGGATTTTAGCATGGGTGTTGGTGACTTTTAGCTTTTGTCGTGAGGACAGTTTGGGTATATGTCCCCCTCAATAATTGGAAGTATATATATATGTGTGTGTGTAACATAAAAGGCTTCAATTCATCTTTTTATGTTATTCCTTTCCTGAGTATCCTTTTCTCGTTTTATTATTTTAATCGAAGCACTTTCTCACACTTTTAAATTCACATCCTGTCCTTAAATCTATTTTTGGCTCAAACATGCATTAATTGAAAGTAAGATATTTCCCCCCTTTACTCTTTGTGGGAATCGCGTGACAAAGACTTTTATCATTTGTTACTTATTACGATGTTAGTTTTTCTCGTTATAAACTTCTTTAAATCTAGTTCTTATGTCAGGTAAAAAATTTTTTCAGTATTTAGCTTGACAAAGTGATGTCAAATGCAAGAAACTTTTCCATGACTGAAATAGTCTGTGTTGCTTATTGTCTCGTAAGTTTTGATTCGGTGGTGTAAAATTCAAATTGTAATGAAATTTTGTTTCCTATGTAAATGATAAAAAGTTTATTATTTAAGAATTTAAATAAATAAAAAGTTAAAAGAAAAATGTTTTAATATCACATTTTTACTAATTTTTCTTTTTTCCTTTAAAATAGTTTCAGACTGTTCATTTGGCTCATGGAAAAACTGGGATTGTACGTCACACCTTAGAATCATCATTAAGCATAGTCATGAACATTGTTGAAGATATTTTATCCAAAACAACAGCTCCTGCTGAGCTGTGTGAAATGGCTCTAAAATGTTATGCCTCCTGGGCTTTACTAGGATCTTCAATATATGATTACAAAAATCTTTTAATTCTCACATTTGATTCTGTATATAGAGAGGAGATAAGCCAAACTGCTCTTGAAGCATTAGCAAATATAGCCAACCATCCAGAATCTTCCAAGTAAGTTTTAATTTTTTTAATCATCAAATGCAATTTTTATGACTGATCCATTTTGGCAGATGTTTGTTTTTATTGACTACTGGAACTGCATGTCGAAATATCAAACTTTCTAAAATACAAAGCTTTTTTTTTATCTACTCTATCTGAAAAAGTAGGTTTTAAAGTATCATAAAGAAATCCAAAGTATTTCTTAATATATATCTATATAGCGAGAAATATAAATAGATGTGAAAGTAGAAAATTAGTGCTTGTCCTAAATTTTGTACCTACTTTTAAAACTATTTTGTTAGTTCTGTTATTCAACCTTCGTGAAATACTTAGAAAAAAAATTTTTTTTATCCATTTTATCAAGTTGAAAAACAGGAAACATTCCAGTATTAAATTTTAGCCAGCTTTTTTTTTCTTCATATTTTATCTGTAGCACAAATATCTCAAAAGTCTTTGACCTATAGTAGGTTGTTATAGTCTTTAAATAATTTTTATCTCATCTTTGGTGTATTTTTAAAACAATGTATATTAATTCTGAAGTTATTATTACTGCTGTTAAAATTGAAATTTTTATTAAAACAAGTAATGGTTCACTAATTTGCTTTTTCATTTTTTTTGGTTTAAACTTTTGGTCTTGTTTCCAACAAAAAATTGTTTGTGTATCTTCCTCATTGTGTGAATATTACACATTTCTTGTAATGCTCTTCTTTTTTTTTTTACCCTTAATAATCAATATTCTACTTATTCTCTACTTATCGTAAATTATCCACTCATGTTCAAATACACTTTTTAAACTTGTGGTGGAAGACACTTGATGTTAATACAGTTTTTTTTAAATATTAATTCATTCATTAATTTTAGTTTTATATGGGAGAAAATTTTTTAATTATTTAGTAAAAAGTAACTAAAATAAAAATTTTCTTTGTTGAACTAGGTAGGAATTGACTTTTAAAAAAAAAAATTTATTACTTGTTTAATTTCTACACCCCTTGATCCTTAGACTTACCTATGTCTTTTTATTCCTAAATTTCTAAAAAGAAAAATTTATTAATATGAATTATGATCTGTATTCGCATAAATTTCCATTTGTTATGAATTATTTCAAATTGTTTTAGACATCCTGCCACTATTCTAGAGATAATTGAAAACTTCACGAAATTTGACGTCCTTCTTGAAAAGTCTAGTCAAGATCATAATGTCGTAAGTAGTTTCATTTTGTTATCGTATTTTATGCCGATAATAAATATAACAAAATATTAAAAAAGTTAAAATTTCAGCCTTTTTGAGAAAAAAATTTCTTTGGAATACCTTAACAAATATGTGTCAGCCTTGTGGTCTTGGATTATAAAAACTTAATTCTGAAGTTGATTAAAGTTTATTCAAAATAATTCCAATAAATAAGAACAACTAAAATAAAGCTAGTTTCATTTTTGAAAGCTTTGACAATGTGGGGAGAAATTCAATGCAATGAGCTACCCATTTCTTAGAAAGAATCAATATGCAAATTGCTTATGATTGATTTAAAGATCAGGGATGCTACGCCTGCGCCATTTGCGACAAACTGAGACAAAACGGCATAACTGCGCCATTTTGCGACATTCAGCTCAGTTTCTGCCAAAGCTGCGCCATTCTGAGACAAAACGTCCAAAATTTGGCAAACCTGAATTCAGTTTCAAATATTAATCCGCATTGCCGTGAGTCATTGGAGATCATTTTGCCGTTCACGTCTCCAAGGGATGAAAGACTTCCACGAAAAAGCGGAAATCCGCTTTTTTCTCCCAATTTTTAAAATTTTCGACCATGTTCCAAAAACTAAAATTTTTAGGGAGTCCAATTAGAGAAACCCAAGCCGCCGGAACGATAGTCGGATTCCCGCGACTTCCGCTATAGAGTGGAAAGGAGTCTAAGTGTTTCGTTTCNTAAGTGCATTCATAATCACATTTTATGATTGTATATTTAGCTATACAAATTAAAAGAACATAGTCAACTAACTAATCTTGTGAATGCAAGAAAGTACAATCTACTAGTCAATGCCAATAAACTAAAAAGTTTACTTTTATACTTAATAAAGGATGCAAGTCATTTTAGAAAGAAAATTATATTTATATGTGTCTTTTTAAATTGTTTATAATAGTTTTTAAATATTTCTGTTTTGATATAAAAATGTATATATGCTAATTTTTGGCTATTAAGTGCTCCCTAAAATTTTCTTGAAAAATTCCTACCTAAAATATTTCAAAATTTCACTGCACCTCCTGAATTCTATCAAAGAGTGTTTTTTTTTGTGTTATTTGCATTTTCTTAAACTCTCATTATTTAATTACTGAATTTCTCTTTTAATTATTGAAATCTGTAGACCTTTCATTGTAACTGAATAGTTATATATTTTGAGATGAAATTTGAGCTCAAAATAAAATGGGTATTTTCCCTTTTGAATTACTGAAACTAAATAGATATTTCTTTTTAGAAAGTTAACACCATTATATTTTAAAAAATAAGAAAGTTAAAATTTACTTTGTAAAATTCTGGAACAGATACTATTCATTGGCATAAATGATAAATGCAATATATATGAAAACAACAGAGTCCATAAAACAATTTTGTGGACTCTTATAATCAATCATATGCAGGTTTTTTAAAATCCTAGCAATAGTGAATGTATGTATAATTGTAGTACTCCTAGTATGCTATTAATGGTTTTATGGATCCTGAAAATTATCTTTATATTGTTATCAAACTGATTAATAATCATTTTAGCTGAGATAAACTGAGTGAAAAAAATAATTTTAGCTGAGACAAACTGAGCCAAAAAGAGATTTTAACTGAGACGAAATGCAATTTCTGGTGAGACAATTTGATATTTTGCGAGTAGCATCCCTGAAAGATAGAAGAGACTTTTTTTCCTCTTTTTCTTTAAACTATTTTGTATTAAACAGGGTTCTTAGTTTTGATATTCCTGATTTTTGTGCTTGTTCAGAACATACCAATTTCTAAGAATACAAATTCTAATTTTTTTTTTGAAAATATTGTTGAGGAATCGAAAAAGTTTAGTTTCCAATCCAACATCTTTTTATTTTAATTAATTCTACTAGAAATTTCAAACTTCTGTAGTTCATTAATTCAAGGTATACAGCCTTACCTGCAAAATTCATTGTGTCAAAACTTTAGTTTTACGTTATAAAATTTTTATGGTGATAAATTCAGGGTTCACATGCTTATATATTGTTTTAATCAATTCCTGAGAATATATATTATTTTAATCAATATCTGAATGAATCAATAATTATTGATTCATTCCTATGAAAAATGATTAATTCCAATCAACAGTACAATAATTATATCATAGAATCATAACATTGAAGGATCATCCACTAGAATTACTTTGGTACAAAAATGTTTTGTGGCATATTTGTTTCCATCCCAAATTTATTTAAACCTTACTTATAAATTATTTGATTAAGAAAATCTTGAACTCTATTTCAAATACTAATTATATATTGTTAAGAGAGAATATTAACTATTTGATGTTGGTAATTTTTGTGAATGCAATGGTACTATAATAATTTTCCATGTGTTGATGTAAAACTAAAGTATTTATAAAATTATGCAGGAAACTGTTAAAGCTTTCTGTTCTAAACCAAGCAATTCTGAAAAACAGCATATTAATGAAATAAATTGAGAATAGTTTATTATTCTTTAGTAATAAAATTTGCTTTTATTATTTAACTAGAGCAAATGACCCTTTTTTGCTGTTCGAAATTTTTATTTTTTAAGTTGTCTGTTATATGGATATTGCTCTAAAAAAAGCCCTGATTTTTTTTCTTTGGACCACTACGAAGCCTGCATTATTGTCTTCTCATGCAAATACTCCTTATACTCTACTAAAGTAATAATATATTCTTACACTCTATGGAAATCAGCAAAATTTCTATAAACACTTAAACTATGAAATTGCATAATAACATTTGTTAATAGTGTGTGTTCAATCTAATAAATTCTTGTTTTTCATTATAAGTTATGGGTATGGTAATTTCCACTTACCTTTTATTATGGACCGCCTTTTTTAAATGTGAATAAACATTTATTGTTTCTAAACTACAAGGTGATAAAGATGATGAATATACATAAAAATGAAATGATTCATGATTTATGGTAATTAAAATGGTGATGAGGGATTATGACGGTTAATTGCTGCAAGCCGTACAACAACTAACTTGTAAGTTTTTAAAAACAAAAGTTGTTATTTTCTTGTGTGCTCGCAGCGGAACCTGGAGACAGTTTTTACTGCAAGGGCTTGCGATAGTCTGAATGTAAATACATATATTTTGTTACATCAGTTTATAAAGTTAATTTTTTATTAGGTCAAATGTAGCCTATAGTTTGATTTGCATTGTTATGAAAACACATTTATAAATCTTAAATTTAATTAAGTTTTTTGATTTGTCATTTAAGTCACATTAGTTCTTAATATTATGTTAAACTTAACTTTCTGATTTTAGGAAAAAATAATGCTAATTTATAGCCTAATTATTTGTGTTGCTGAAACTCATTGTCAGTTACTCCTGGAAACTATTTTAGATAAGCCTGAAAAGAAGGATTTTATACTGAAACTAATTAGCATCATTCTTGTGAGTATATTTAAGTTTATTGGTCTTATTTTATGTTGCAACTTCATATGGCTAAGAATGTGTATATGTGCTCTAATTACGAAAAAGTGTTTAAATAAATGAAAATACAATAACTACTAACTTGTTTACTTCAAAATAAATTTTTTATGTAACATTAAGAGAACAAAAAGCAATTCAGCAAAGTTGGTAGATTAAAAATAAAATAAAAATGTTGTTACTCCTAACTTTTTAATTTCCGAAAGAAAAAAAAAAGGGTGCAACTAAATCTAAAATTAGGGGAAACGGAAGTAATGCTACATGCATAGCAAATCATTAATTAACAAATCATCAGAGAGCTGTTAATATTATTTCTTATATTTAATGTTGTATTATTAAATCTTGTATAGATATATAATATTTGCATCAGACTTGGTTAATTACTTTAAAAAATGTTCAAATTCAATCAATCAAGCTATTAATAAATTTTCACATAAGAAATGTTTAGTATCATATTACACTATAGTGTATTTAAATACTTTAATCTTTTTAATGTTTTCTTTTGTATTTCAAAACAGACTTTTTGCTTGATCATTATAAGTCTGGCTTCAGTATGATCCAATGAATTTATATTAGTTTTCATCATTTGTACCATAATAAAATTATTTGAACTTGATAGCATGTTTGTCAATAGATTTTAGGAACTAAAAGCTTTTATGATTTTAAATTTAAATGATTTTTTCCCCTTAAATGTTGATGAGCTAAAATGTTTGAAACTTTAAATTTTTAACATAGTATATTTGCACATTTTGATTGTTGTGGTTACATATTATATTTTGGTTGCATGAAAAACCTGAAAAAAATTATGGCTAATTATTAATCTAAGTATTATGTAATTGTTACTAATTCAGAATTGCTAGCTCTTACTTTTATAATTGTCATTAGCTCATTTGTATAAAAGTTTCTGTTAAGAGAGAGAAAAAAAATAATTTGTTTTAATATCATTTCTTTTATTAATATTAGTTACCTTTCACTGACTGATTGTTAGTAAATAAGTTAAGAAAGCTTACATGATATTATTTTGTAAATTGTTTTTTATAAATACTTATTTCTATTTAAAAACACTATTAATAATAGGTACAATGTCATATTAAAAAAAAAAAAATAAATTTCTAGGCACTTAAATGCTATTAATTACTGTTTTGTGAAACATCCTATTAGTTATGAATGCAAACTTTCTAAAATTCTGCCTGGAACTAATTTTTCAGTCTAAAATTATAAGAGTAATTCTTTATGATGAAATTAAATTTTCTTAAAAAACCTATACACGTTTGGGTGCATCAAGGACACGTTTGGGTGCATCACCTTCATCAGTAGGATAAGTAGCAGGGTTTGTAAAAACATATTATTTAATCTGACAATGGTTATTTTATACTTAAGAGATAAATACAACAGTCAAAAGTAAACATTTAAATAGCAGAGAATGAAAAATTAATAATTTCCAAAAAATTGGACAAATGTGGTATAGCAGCAAGATCACTAATGACAAAGTTTTTTTTTTTTAATCCTCTAATTTTAATGTTTCGCTTTTATTTTACTACCATATTTATCTCTTAAGTATAACGTAACCTCTGTCAGATTTCTATCATCTCTGTTTTTACCATTCCTGTGTTTTATCAAACTGATGAAAGTGTACCAAAGTAACACTTTAACGTGTGTATATTTTTAATAAAAGATTTTTTTCATTTTTGTTTTTAAACTATGTTTTTAATAGAAAAAATTTAATGAGTTTAATATTTTTTAATTTTTTTCATTTTCACCTTAATGATACAAAAGTATTTTTAAAATTAATATATTCGCAATACTTAGAAGTGTTTCTTTTTCTTCCTCTGTATTTTATAAAACACTTTGGTTGGTTGAAACTCTTGTATTTTCGCAATCAAATCTCATCTTCTGAGATATCAAGGAGTTTTGGTGTATAAGCTCTGAATTATATATATTTTTTACTGTTTGCATTTCAGTTTTCTGCAAAAAAAAAAACTTTTTTGAGTATTTGTTCTCATTATTTATCAGAAATGCAGCTCAACTCCTGGTCAGTATCCTGTTGATGAAGTCTGCAGCGAGCTTGCTTTTGGATTTTGGTATGCTCTCCAAGTAAGTAGTGATTGCATAAACTAACTCTTTAAAATATCGCATAACATAAAATATTGAGTAATTCTAGATTATTTCAGAAATAGTTATAATTTATATTCAATTGTGATCATATATTTAATATATATATATTTTTTTAAAATATCGTTTGTTTTTTAAATATCGTCAAATTAAGACATATTAAAGTTATGGGCCCAAAAAAAAAATTTTTTTTTTCTTCATTTTTATAATGATTTTATTATTAATCCCTTTAGTGTTTTGGCAATTATTCCATGGATTTTCGCACTGTTTTAAAAATCCAAATATTTTTATAGAATTTTATCATGACATGAAAATTTTGAATTACACGTTTGAGTATCTAATCTCCCTTTGGTGCACCAATTCCATCATAAATTCATGTGGTCTTGCTAGTTATTTTTGTCTGTAATAACTCAATTTTTCTTAAAAATTCTAGATGATTTTGATCCTATCCCGCAATAGGCATCCTCAATTAACTAATCACTTTTTAATGTGTTCGATTCATGACAAACTCATTATAAATGTGGCTTTGTCCATTGCTTTTTCTTCAGTTATTGCTATGAGTTTCAGTTTCATTTTTAGAATTCTGATATTTTTAATAGAGTGGTAATATAGCAGTTTTTGATATGGTTTTCTGCAAAGTTTTTCAAATTAATTCATTTCAATGTATTATTATGCATGTGTTTATCTTCATTTTGCCTCTAGACTTTCTAAGATTTAGTTAACTTTTAGTTGATTAAAATTGTCTTGTTTTTAGAGGTTTCTGGATTGTAGAAGTCAGGTTTTTTGAGGTTATAACTGCATAATCATAATATTTACCTGACATCAGGTCATGTTGAAAAATTTTTATGAAAAATTTTTATGAACAATATTTGATGGACTAAATTTTTATTTATGTTTTTAAGTAAATTAAGTTCAGTTGTCAAATCTATTTTTGCGTAGTATGAAAATGTGAAGAAAATTAATACTAAGTAAGACCATCTCATTATTTACAGGGTATCCGGACACCTGGAAAGTCATGAATTTCAGTATTGAACGAAATTTTTCATGAAATGTCATGATTTTTACTATTTTTTTAAAAAAATCTTGGAAAGTTATGGATTTAGGTCTCTGAAAAATCTAATTTTTAAAATGGAATCCCCCCCCCTCAATTTCATCCTGTTCCAAATATCTGAATTCCTAACAAATTACCACTCAGTCATATTTTATTAGAATATAAAATGATTTTATGTTCTTTAAAAATTATGGTGTTCTTTCAAAAAAGGAAAGAAAAAACATCATTTCTAGAGCAAATTATCTTTTAAACTCTTCTGTGATTTAAGAATTTTTATTATTATTTTTTTTTTTTAATTTTATCAATTTAAAATTCTATTTGAAGCAAATGAGTTATTGACGAATTTTTTTTATTCCGAAATGAGAACAGAAAAATCAGGAGTATTTCTTTCCTTTCTGATGAACAAGAAAAGTATCTTTAGAATATAATTCTGCTGAAAAAAAATTATTTTCTTTTGTAATTTTGTTAGCTATTTTATTGTTTCAACTCTTTCTTTACTCTGTTTTTAAAATTTAAAATCTATAAATATGAAGATGCAGAGTATAACAGTTTTGGTTATACCTATCATTTCAATTAATGTTATTATAATGCTTTTTTTTAATTTATTGTTATGTTTTTGTCAGAGAAAATAGTAACTTTGTTAAGTCATGAAGAATTCTTGGAATTAGTCATAAAAAATCATGAAAAGTCATGAATTTGAAAATCTAAAATGTAGCAGATACCCTGTGTTTAAATGTTTTATTTCTGTTTCAAAAAATTCGGAAATTAGGTATTGTATTGTTTTTTTAATTCAACAGTGACTATTTAGGTTAGTCTTGTGATTGATTCTTTATTTTAGGATTCCATCGTTTCCACCTCCCGAGGTTTTGAAAGTCTTCTCTTAGTGTTTTATCCCTTCTTCCAAACATTATTAGATTCCTACTTAATAAAACTAAGGTATCCTGCTGATGATGTTTATAGACGATGGAAACTTGGTAAGATAGATGTACCTTTGCATTATCAATGATTTTTCTTATTAACTGTCAATAAATTTTTTTGTTGAAAAAATTATTTAATTTTATTTTTTTCTTGTAAGTGACTTATAAAATTATGTTTATTTCTGTTCTTTTTTGTTTCTTTCTTTTTAGATGAGAGAGAATCTTTCCGTTGTTATCGTCAAGATATAGGTGATTCAGTGGTTTGTACACTTTTATTTCAAAATTTATTACAGAAATTCCTATCGATAAACATTTCTTTAAAAATATTTTTCTCAGTGTTTTCTTAACCAATTATTTAAATTTATATGAAAGGAAATGAATTTTACTTCTCTAAGGAAAATCTCCAATGGGCAGGGAATAAAATTTAGTTATTTTTACAAAATAATTTTGCTTTTTACAATGGAAAATAAATCACTAATATTTTTATGGCTACTTAGTTTAAAATAGATTATTTTACTGCTAAATAAATGTGGAAATATTAAAATTTTTCATTTGTATGCAATGCTATTTTAAGAACATTTATTATAGAATTTTATTACCGAATCATGAAATCAGAATATTTTATGCAATTTAATGTTATAGTTGCAGGGCTGATTGTGCTCCGGAAAAATCCAGATTTCCGAAATTTTCACTAACAGTGATCCGGAAGTTTCTGGAGATCAAAGGTCCAGACATTTCAAAAAATCATTGATCGCAGAAGTTTCTGGAAATCAAATTTTCAAATGTGGAACTTATAAACACAGTTAATTTTATTTGTTTGCAAGGGAGAGCCAGAGAGATACTTTATAAGCTTATATTCATGATTAATATTCTTTTTTTATCAGTAAATAGTTATTATAATCATAAACTCAGGAAAGAAAGACATATTTGTAAATTTTATTTACTTCTCCAGGTCATCATAGGTATGTGTAAATGGTATAGGTATGTGTAAAATTTTAAATATATTTTAAGTAAACTAAGAAATATTGAGAAAAAAGAAAAAAACTTGTTTAAATTTTTTCTAATTTTTCAATTGAAACTCTTGTTTTTTTAACTCAAGAAATTTTCCGGAATTTTGACTTGGGCTCACAATCACCCCTGTTTCTTAACCAATTATTTAAATTTATATGAAAGGGAATGAATTTTTCCTTTCTAGAGAAAACCTCCAATGGGCAAGGAATAAAATTGAAGTTATTTTTACAAAATAATTTTGCTTTTTACAATCGGAAAAAAAATTGCTAATATTTTTATGGCTACTTAGTTTGAAATAGATTATTTTACTGCTAAAAAAATGCTGAAATATTAAAATTGTTCATTTGTAATGCTGTTTTAATAACATTTATTACAGAATTTTATTACCTAATTATGAAATCAGAATATTGTATGCAATTTAATGTTATAGTAGATTAAACAAATATATTAATGAAATTTTCTTGGCTTTATTGGCTACGGCTTTGTTGAGTTTCGTTTAAGAATCTTTCAGTATCTTTTACAGAGATTTTTTCTGCTTGTTTTTAGCAGTTTTGCCTGAAATAACTTAAAACATCATTTCTTGAATTGATAGTTTACTTTTGAATGATTTTTTTTCTTTAATAATTTTGTAAATATGTTATATATTTTTTACTTTGAAAAACAATTGTTTTATAATACTCTTTTGACTTAAGCATAGTATATTTTTACTGATTTAATGCCCTTTTATTTTAACATTAGAATTTGCTATGAGTTGCTTTATTAAGTTTTGCTTCTTATAATTTCTGCATATTTTAGTCATTAATCTAACAGATTGTCAGTTTTTAGTATTTTTCTATAGATGAATTTGTGATAAGAATATAATTTAAGTGAATAGTAATAGAAAAGTAGTGTGGTCTCATTAGGAAGTTAAATATATAAATTTACTTCTGTTAAATAAAAATTAGTGTTTGATACTGCACATTTTGTATCTTAATGCAACAATACGTAGGTTATCTAGCTTTTTAAAAATCAAGAATTGAGTTATAATTTTTGGTATCAGCATTTTCGATTGAAAACAAATATTTTGAGTGATTTTATTATTGTATCAGATGCATATTTTATTATTGAACTTTCTTTCAGATGTATTGCTATAATGTATTAAAGCATTCAGCTCTGGCTAATTTAATGGCTCACTTAGAACTAGCCACTACTGCTGCAATTAATGACCCAACACAATGGCAGGTAATAATTATATATTCAAGATTATGCAGTAAATACCATATCTGCTAAGACTGTAAAAATGCTGACATGTATGAAGTTTCATTTACTGATAGTTGCATTTTTTAAGTGATAAAAATTAATTATACTTTTAACTACAGAATTCTGCTAACTCCTGCCATTTTTGAATTTACTGCAATAAATTTCCCTGTAATTACTAACTATACAAACTTTGTTGGCAAAAGAAAACCTTAGTCTATGTTTTTTCAACTGTACAATGTCAAACGATTAAAATAAAACAAAATTCAAAACATAAAAGTAAACTGAGTAATTGAACATACTTAACAAACAATACAAGATATAGGTGTTAGGATCTGTCAAGGATTGCACAAATTCAAGCTCGAAATGCTTTTCTTTTTAATAACTACCACCCAGGATTTTGATGCTTGCGTACCAGCAAATCCCGACGGTCATGATAACTTTGAGGAAGACTGCTTTTAAATGCCTACAAATGAAGTGTGCAATTAAAAACTTTCTGAAGCTCACATAATTACTTATAAATATTAAAGCATTGTAAATATTGTTATCTCTTTATGCAATAAAATCAAAAAGAAGCAGTAGCTGCTTATCCATCATTAAAATATTCAATTATATTTTGTTTAAAAAGATGGAAGTGCATATTGTTTGATCCATCAAGTAAACGAAACTTTTTACATTTTCGTTTTTTGTATTTTTGCAGTTATTATTAGCCTGTTATGAATAATTATGCCACTCTTTTTTTCTTGTTTTATTTCATTATTAAATGTTGTAACATGTTTTAATTTATTCTCCCACTTTTACTTCAATTCATATTTATGTTGAATTTTGCTAATCACAACAATAAGACTTATTAAAAAATAAGTTCTAGTAATATTTAAGCTAAAGTATATAAATTCACTGTATAATATAGGTTGATATTATATATTTAAAGAATGTTTTTTTAATTGTTATGATGCATAGCATTTTACCTTCCAAGTTTTAAGTCCCTGGGTAAAATTGTATTGAAATTTCCTTACTGTATACTAATTTCCTACTAAATAACGGGGGAAACTAGTTTGTTGATGTAAGAAAGCCTGCATCTAAAAGTTTTGAAAATCCCAGGACTAGCTCAGGGAGTTAAAAAAAAAAATACTAAGCAATAACTATATAATCGAATCAATCAAATGTTTTTTCTTTATTTTATAAGTTAAGTAGACCTGAAATAGTTTATCTGATGGTGCTGCGCTGAATCTTTTTCAGTTTTAAGTTTAATCTGTTTATATATATATACATGCCTGTGACAGCTATAAATTTTTATTTTCTTTTTTTTTAAATATTGTTAAACTGCTCTTGATAGACCTTAGACTACTGTTCTATAGGACGAAAAAACAAAACATCTTTAAAGGAGAAGGGAGAGATAAAGGATAAATATTATATATATATATATATTATATATATATATACATTATATATATATATATNAAAGAAATAACATAAAAAGATTAATTGAAGCTTTTTATGTTACATATATATATATATTTATATTTATATATATATATATAGAATTTTATAATTAAATCAATGACTTTAAAAGAAATCGCCTGTAAGAGTAAATATTTTTGTAGTTCATTATCTTTCATTTAAACCCTTATAAAATCATATGTATTAAAAATAAATATAATAAATTTTAAAAATGTTTCGAAAGTATTAAAAATTTACTAATAATACTAGCAAATAATGCTACGCGGCTTTCTAAAACCACTATATCATTCAAGATTTTTGTAATATTAAATTGTAAAAGTATCAGGGAAATAAAAAATGAAAGATAAAAAATTTTTATTTTTCATTCGAACTTGAATGAAATGTTTCAAATAATGATAAAAATTGTACTCATCTTTTGAAATCTTGTAAAAATTAAAATTTTAATTTATTCCTGTTATTTGTTTTATGATAAGACGAAAGAATTTAACTTTTTTCTGAGATATATTTTATTACTTAATCTCCTCTCATTTTATGCCATTTTTTTACTACCAAATTCATTTGATATGACATGATGTTTATTTCAGTATTTAGAAGCCTGCCTTTTTGCTTTCAAAGAAATAGCTGAAAGCGTGGATATTAAAGAAAATTCTTATTTACCAGCATTTATGGCTCATTTAAGGAATATTCCTCTTCAACATGTAAGAGTGATTTCTGGTGCTATGGAAGCTATAGGTATTCTATTTATTTATTATGAATTGAAAAATTACTTTCATTCATTAATATAATGTTGTAAAATTTCACATTCTTTAAAAGTGCTTTAGAAAGAGTATAAAAATGTAATATTGTTTTGTTATTATCCATGCCTTTGCTTCCAGTAATAACAGGGTTATGTTTTTCCCTGTTGAAAAAAAAAATTGTAAATTATTAGCTCTGTTGATTTAGTTTTAATTTAATGTGTTTGGAGACTTCTATATCTTTTAAAAGCTGTTGTAAAACTTGATTATGCTGCTTAAGAGTATTTTTTTTTCACTTCTAACAACCTTGTCAGTCAAACTAAGAATACCATTATGGTGACTTTTTCTGCACTCAGTGGAGAATTAAACTTAGTAAAAGGGATTACAGTCTTATTGTGTTTAATAATTGATGAAAGATTCCTTCCATTAATAATGCAAATTACACTTTTAAAAAATAGTGATGAGTTCAATTATCTATATTTATTTATTGTTTTTGAAATAAATAAATGTTATGTTTTATATTTATATATGTTATCTTAATTTTGATTAAGAATATTTAATTATGAAAACCAAAAGGAATCTATGCAAAATTTTAGTACTATCATAATTCTTTGAGTGATGCTGAATTATGAGTAAATATTATGAAAATAAACTATTAAGTTTTGATTGGAAAGTATGTTAGGAAAAAATATCTTGTCTTGTTAAATAAAAAATGTTTAGTTAGGTTGTTATGATTTAAACTAAGTAATGAATTCAGGAAACTAAATGTTGTGAAAGAAATTTTGTATTTTAATAAAATGATTTGAACAAATGTGCATATATGTTTGCACAAAGGGAAAACATGTGATGTGCCTCTGAAAAAGGGTTAAAGTGGGCTTGCCACGCAGTTTTTCCAAGCGTTTGATGGTAACACTCTCTGACCATGAGAGTATGGCAAAGGCTCCTCTGTTTGAAACTGCACAAACACTCACGGTGACTGCAACATAATTTTAAGGAGGAATAGGAACAAGAATAAATTACTTAAATAGCATAAAAGTTAATATAACAACGGATGCAACACAAGGACAAGCGCAGTAGATAGTAACAAGTAAAACAATGGTGGTAAATACAAAAAAAAAGCTATCTGCATAGAAGTAAGAGTAATATGTTTATTTAAACCTATCCTGATTCTCATAAGATTGATACTAAGACTATATCGTAATCTGGAAATGGCTGAAGTCAATTACAAGTTGCAGTTTGAATGTACAGATTATAGTAGACTATTATATAGATTGTAGCATGTCTACCACTACAATTATTCAATTCCAATTCACTAGTATATAAGACTTGTTAGCTAGATTTTAGTTAACATGTCTTATTTCCATTCACTAGTATATAAGACATGTTAACTAGATTGGGGTACCTTTTCATAAATTAAAGTTGACATTCTCGATAGCCTCGCCCCACATTGGTGACTTGCGGACGTGGTCTGAACACGCTTTCCTCGACTGAAACTCCCACTTCGATTTGAACACTCTTACTTTGATGGATGGTCCACATTGAACAGTTGTCTTGCTATTTGTAACTGCAACATTTTCCTCGTCACGCTGTTGTTACACAGCTTCGATCACAATTAATGTCGACTCATATACACTCGACTGCTAATGGCAACACACGAACGACACCACAACTGTTAACTTAATACAGTTCTCATGATCAATACTCAAACTCCGGCGATCTGAATACAGCTCCCACTTTTCACACAAAAAAAACCAATGAATCGACTAGTGGTATCCGTTCATCGAATTCTATCACAGATAAAATTCTTATGGGGGAGTACTATAGTGTGTGTACCTCTACAATTATTCAATTCACTAATATACACATTCACTAGACTTGTTAACTGGATTCTATGCTGGGGTACCATTTTCATAGATGAATGTTGATATTGTCGATAACACATGCTCCACACGATCTTGATGTATGGTGCCAAAACTCTATAATAAAATTATAATTATCTCTAATTTAAAATCAATGCAAATTCTGATATATAATATTAAATAATGTGGTATGACATTGCATTTGATAACTTCGCTCTCTGGTGACAGATCCCATGTTTACCTAAACTGACAAACACAAGGAAACCTCAAAAGTAAGCAAACATAAGAATTTGGAAAGTAATGTCCGTTGATTGACGCATTTGATGTCATCCATCCAAGGAACGTTACAAACAGGCATGCTCTACACCGGGTAGTTTAAAAGCATGCGAAAATCATAAGTAATATTTGAATAACTGATTAAAATGGGGCATAAGAAAAACAAATTTAATCTTAAAACATGGGAACAATTTAAAATGCATTTATTTTAAGTTAAAACAAGGAAAATTCCTATAAGAGAGAGTTTACATTCTCAAGTTAGTGGTATGTTCTAATGTTAATCTTTTTGAGAATAGAGGGGAGGGAGTGATTTCCTCTTGCTAAAAAAGAACTGATTTATGCTATAAAACTTGACAGGTTTGTTATGCCGAAATGTTTTAACACTGTTATTGTAAACTTGTTGTGTGCTGATAATTAGTAAGTATTTTGCAAAAGAAATTATTTCTACTTCACTTTGGCTGTGAGTACATCAATAATTAAAAATGTTAAGTTTTGGGAAAAAGTTTATAAAGAATAACTGTAATTTAGGAAAATGTGCAATAATGGATATAGTTGAAATTTCTTCGCTAATATTTAATTCAAATTTTGATAGTGCAAGATTTAATAATATTTTGGCTTAAATTATGGGAAATAAAAATAATTTTAAATGTTTTCTTATTATAGTTCTGATAAATCAAGTCCATTATTACTTTAAAAAGCAATTAAAATGCCTGAACTGTGCACCAGCTTTGGAATTTATTACTTAAAAGAACTGTATTTTTATTTTAATTTTTCAATTGAATCTTGGTTTCAGCCTTATAACACCCAAATATTAAAAACTAAAGAACATGAAATTAAAACAAACTTTTAGAGCCTACAGTGCTCTTAATCTACTTTATGAATAGAACTTGATGATATATTTATTCAGGTAAAACTATGTGTTTTGAAGCGTTTATGCCTAAATATAATTATTTTAAAATTGACAAAATACTTTTAATATATTGTTCCCTAGCATAAAAAGTTCTATCTTAAATAAAAATTTCTGCCTGATTTAACGTGTGGCATTTTAGATAGTTATTAAGAAACAATTTGTAAGTGTTAAATAAATATGAACTGGTTTTTTGTTTAGGGTCTTTTGCTGAGTGGATCAACTGTCACCCAGATGTGTTAGGATGTGTTATTCCTTTGCTCCTTATGGGGTTACAGAATTCTGAATTTGCTATATCAGCTACATTTGCTCTAAAAGATATATCTAGGGACTGTTATACGTCAATGCATCCTTTTGCAGAACAGATACTTCATGCTAGCTTGGTAAATATTACTTTCATATTATACAAATTGTAGTTATGTTTTTAAAACTTTGTTTAAGTTTTTGTGATAATTTAAGTTTAATGCAGTCTAACTTTTTTTTTAAATCTAACTTTTGGACCTTTTTTTTATCTGTCAAGTTTGTAGGGACTTTTACCATGTTTCTTTGTTCTATGGGGAATGCACTAGATCATATTCTTAGCTCATTCAAGGTCGCAATTAGAAGATTAAAACGAAATTTTTTAACTAAATTTAAAAATGCTTCTAAAGGCAACTTTTACACATTTTTATTGTTTTAAAATGTTTAAATACTTTACAAAGTGTGTTACAATTGACTATAATTATTTATTACTGTACAATATATACTATTTTCCTATTCTGCACACGATCCTGAGCTATGTTATAAGCTTTCTATTTTATCTTCCGCATCCACTTTTTGAAACTCCATCAATTTTTCAATTAATTCAATCATTATTTAAAGGGCAAAAAAATTTTAAACCATTTCCAGTTGTGGTTAATGAATTAACCTAAACTTTAAAGTAACTTAACTCAGAACTAACCAAAATATTGGTAGTATTTATTCTAATTGTAACCATAATATCTTTTTATTCAGGAAGCCCTGAAAGGCGATGTCTTGAAACCCAGGGAAAAAATAAGGATTATGTTCACAATTGGAAAAGTGTTATCTGTTATGCCATATTCTTATATTCTGCAGTATTTTGACCCTCTACTAGAACCTGTATTCATTGAATTAGATCAACATCTACGAGGAAAAGTAGTAAGCTATTTTGCCAGTTAACCTTTAAAAGAAATCCTATGTTCTAAGTATTGTTTATTTATTATGTTTATGTATTATGTTTTTTTATTATATATATCTTTATTATGTTTATTTATTATGTATATCTATTATGTATTATGTTTATTTATTATGTATGTAAATGTTTTGTTTTATTTATTATGTATCTTGGTAAATAATCGAACTTAATTTCTTATATTAACAGAGAAGTACCCAAAGTTTGGTTCACAAAAGGTGAACTCATTTTTTTTAAAAAGAACATTTTGTAATTTGATATCTTCATTTGATGTTTATTTCTCAAAATGAATTGTGCTGAAACTTATAAAGAACAAAATTCAATGCATAGTTCATGAAAACTTATTTTATGAAATGTAGGGAGGGAAATGTGTTTTAATTTCTTTTAGAATAATAAACTGTTTTCATTATAGTTAAGTTTGTACCTTTTTTTTTTTTTTTTTAAACTAAGTGGCTGTTATTATTTTTTTTATAGATGAAAGTTCTTCGACAAGTTGCTGCTGTCAATCTTTTCAACATGTTGTCAATGCTCTTTTCAGCTCTTGATACTCACTGGGAGAAAGATCCTGATGAAAGTATAACTCCAGAATTGCTACAAATCAGGGAAAATAATTTAAAACTGCCCCAACCATCTCATTATGTTTTAGAAAAGTTACTCGAAGTGATGAAAGAGCACAGAGATACATTTGAAGTGACAGATGAAATAGCAGAGGTATACATGCATGTTTATTTATTGTTAATACAGACTAATCACTTTATAGGTTATTTTTTAGATCATATTTTCAGGCTATTATAGTATCCTATCTTTCCAATGTGTATTCTCTTTGATGCATTTGCAAGAGAAACTTCATTCATAAAAAAGTTAAAACTGCTATGATTTCTATTTTCACATCTAAGCAATTATTGAATATCACGCCTCTTGGCCACTATGGTAATTATAGATATAAATATAAAAAAATTCCTATTTCTTCAGAAAATTTTCTTTAAATTGGTAAATATGCAAAATTGGAACAAGTCAGTGCAATAAAATGTGGTTGTGCAGACCAGGATATGATTTCACTGCACTCTTGCTAGTCATGACTTAGTTTCTGTTGACCAACTAAACAACTGGCATGTATGTACAGGAAAGTCAACATTGTTCAATTTTTACTGTTTAAAGTCTTCTCATTTGCTGTTTAGGGAGACGGGTAAGAGTTCAAACGCTGTTTAAGTCATTGGATGAGAGTCGTTATTTGTTATTTGATTATGTCAGGATTAGTTATTTGAATAATGTCATTTAGCTAGGTTGAGTGTTATTGCAACGCGAGTTCAAGAAATTCTTTTCCATTCTTATGTTATGACATAAAAACAATACAATTCTTTGTTTTGAATCTTTTCAAAAGTAGTTATGATTTGACTGTATATTCTTGCCAAATTGTTAATTTTGATGACTATTCAAGCAAAATTCTTCACATTCTAAATTTACAGTTACAGTGCAACACATTTTTCTATTTTATTTAAATTACATTTACCAACAAAAAAAATTTTTTTTTTTTAATATTTTAAAATGGGGGGCATTAAGAGTATTTTAGTGACCGAAAATAACTTTTATACATATAATAGCAAAAGAATACAAAATATTTAATTCAAAATTGACAAAACTATCTTTCTAAGAAACACGCTTAAGAGCAGCAGAATTTTCAGTAGAAAGAATAAATATAGCAATAAAGAAAAAAAATAATAAAATTAAAAATATGACCACCGAAGCCAACGTCTTCAGGGGGTATCGGCCTCGGAAGCCATAAAGCAAAACCTTTTCTATTGAGAGAGAGGCCAAATTAAATGCCAAAATTAACTCTCTCAGTACCCCGAAGGTTTTGTAGAAGTCCAGGAAAAAATACATGAAATACATAAAACCAATTCAGAAAAGAAATTCAACCAAAATCTTGCGAAAACAAAAGCTCACATTAAACCGGTCAAACAGCGATTTCACAAACAAACCAAATGCAAAGAAACACTTAAAGCAAAAGAAAACAACGCCCTCTATTAAAATGCGCAGAATGAAAAAAAAGAAGAAGAAGAGAAGTAAAAGAAAAGATTACATAACAAATTAATATAATGCTTAACTGGGGCTGCTCAGTTAAGACTTGAATTGCGCTCTGTTAAAAGAAATAAAGAACTAGTATAATAAAAACAAGTATTATAGAAATAAAAAATTAGTTGTGGTCATATTTTTAATTTTATTTCCTTCGTTTTCTTTATTGCTATAATATATATTTATAAGTTTCACAACCTAATTTAAAAAATTATAAGCAGTTATTTATTTAGAAATATACTAAGTTTATTTTTTGATCTTTATCTTTACATCATCAAATTAAATTTCCCATCCAAAATAACTAACAGCCCAATTTTATTGCATTACAATAATATGTTTTGTTTTTCAAATTGTTATTTCCCTATCTTGATAGACTAAGCTTCTTTAACAAAACCCTTCCCCCACCCTCAAGAAAAGAAGTGAAGGTAGTGAGTGAAAAAAAGGTAGTGAACATTTCATGTTGTGTGATATGATTGAAATGCAGGTCTGTGTCATGATGTGAGATAGTTGACACTAAAGTAGTCATAGAATGTTTCTGAATCAAGCCATAGAATGTTTTTGCATTAAGTGTTGGTAGAGGTGGAGAGTTAGTCATCCAGTGAATCAAATGATTACAGAGTGATATATTTGTAGTGCTGCCATCTATGTATGCATAAGAGAATTCCATATTCCTGTAAGCCAGGTTCAGTAATTGAGGTGAGAGTATGTTGCGACAACAAAGGAAGATGGATCTCCCAACCTTGTTGACCACTCAGCACTGAATTGTTTTCCTTGGCTAAGTGTAATTCCCGCCCCACCTATATTCCATGTTTTTTTTTATTTGTTTGTTTTTTTAATTTATTTTTTCTAAAAGTATTTAGCTTCAAAATGACACTCTATCATCAAAAAATTGATGAAAACGAAAATTATCAAGAAACAAAAATTAACTATTTAACTGAAAAACCAAAGATGATCAGGGAAAAAAGCTCTTGATCATTTCTGAATTTGACTATAATAGGAAAATCTAGTCTTTAGAAAGATTCATTTTGCATATTCTCTCCTCTAGTGGATTCTTTACAGAGTTAGATGCAAAGATATTCTAATATTGGAACACTTTTACTAGATTGGCATTATAATCATAATACTTCTGTGACTTCCCTATCCTGTATTTTTGATTAAGTTTTATATTTATTTTCCAGTTTTTTGTGATACATTACAATTAGGGTTGCAAGTTTGTCTCTGGTAAAAAGGTCTGAAATTCGTCGAAGATTCACAGGAAATTTTCAGTAACGAAAATACAAAAATGTAACGTATATGCATTGAAAGACATGGATATGATACAAGTAATAAATCAAAAGCATATAAAACCGCTGAATTTATTTTAGTTTTGTGTAATATTAAAATTTATTAATAAAATGAACAGAATCAGAGTTTTCAGACAAAATATTATATATTGTTAATTCTTGTTAACTTTTTGTTGATCATCAAAAGCTTTTTTACCAGCATTTCCTTGTCTTTTTAATCACAAAAGATTTAGAACTTTTATTGCCCAGTGCAATAGCCTGTTTTACCCTCTCATTTCAATAAATTTACTGGTTAAGGATTTAGCTAATTGACTTTTTCTTATTTTAGTATTCTTACTGCACCCTGGGGAAGCATACTATTTTTAATTATTTATCATGAAAGGTGTAGAAAGGCAATCTGACAAAGGATTTGGACCATCTCTGTACTTTTTTCTTATCTTTTTACTTTTAATCTATTCTCCTAAAAGTTTTTTCAGTTATTGAGAAACAGAAAAAAAAAATCGCACATTTTAAAAACAATTTGCGCCAAATCTTAGAATTTCGAAAAATTTGCTAACTTTGGAAAAAATAAAAATTTACACTGTGAAAAAATTTGTAACTCTAGTCATAACACTTCTGCTATGTCTCTATTTAAAAAGTTTGCATGCTTTATTATTTCTGACTAATTTCTTTTGTATTACCCCTGACTGAATATTCACTTTCTTTTAGGCTTTGTGTGATGCATTAAAACGAGCTATTACTTTGCTCTCAACTGACAGCAAAATGTTCCTTCCAGAGATTTTACTTCTAATGGTCGCTGCTTATAAAAAATTACCCCATGCTCATATACTCGATATTACAAAACAAGTCATGATTCTGTTTTCTGAAGATGTGGAACAGAGGCAGATTATAAATGAGTATTTCTCCCAAATCTCTGAACACACCATTCAACTGTCAATGAAAGACTTCCGCGAAAGCACAACTGTGATTGAGTCTTACTTGCAACTTTTGGACAATGTTATAAGGAAGGCATTCATCTTCTTTAAAAGTGAAACTGTGAATCCTCTAGTCCTCTTCCAATTCGGTGTTGCAGCTTTGAGCTTACCTGAAAAACCCACTGTAAAAGCAGCTGCTGGATTTCTGGTAAAGATTTTCTTAATCTTTTTTTATATATATCTATATTTAACTTACTTATTTCAAAAAGAATTTTTCATTTTAATATTTATTTTGTAATGCTTGATTTTGTTCCAATAAAAGTATCGATACTATAAAACACTTGATTAGATAGTTAATCATTTCTATATCAAATTTAAACATTAAATAATGCTCTTGTGGGGGTGGAGTTATTGACCATGCCAACCTTTATCTATCAAAAGGTACCTCGTGATTGAATCAAGTTAGCATGTCTTATATCCCAATGAATTGATGTTTAATTTTCGTAGTTTTAGTTACGCCACATTCTTATTATTCTATTTATTATTCTGAATTAATATCTTATTATTCAAAAGTGCCTATAAATTTGAAAAACAGATTCTTCCTTTGCTTTTTGCCTTTTGAATTAAAAAACATTTAAACACTGTTAATTTGTAAAAATTAATTTACCTGTTCTTTAAATTTTTTACCTTGTTACAATTCTTTTTTTTTAATAATAATTTTGAATTTTTTAAGTGTAATAATGTGAAGTTTTTGGAATATATGGGCATTTTATTACATGCATTTTTTTCCCTTACCTTTCGTGAGAAGATATCTACCACAAAAAATTGTACTTTTGATTTCAAATTGATGAAAACTAGTATTTTGCAAAATTTGAGCATTTGTTTCAGACTTGATGATTGAATTGCCACAACTAGAGTCCGTCACATAACTATTATTCAAGTGCATGTTTCAAAAATTGCATTAGTCTTATTAGTTTCCTATTAATAAAGAAATCAAGACTTAAAAAACAACATAAAAGTACATAGCAATAACTATTAAACATACAATTTACAAAATAGCTTGGATTTACAATAAAATAATGCAAATCGATTGTATTTAAGAGTAATTCTTATTGTGAATATTCAATGAGTGCTCTGTCTATTCTAATATTCAGTGAGTGCTCTGTTTAAAATTTTAAGCACAAAAAACAACTTCAATATAAACAAGAATTAAAAATCCTCGTATTTTCCCATAGCAATATCTGTCAAAAATGTTAGAAAGTGTCGAAAATGTTACTAATTAAGCTCATTAATCAGTGATTATTTGAATGTGAGATTCAAAATTCGTAATACATCATACAGTCAATGGCATTTCTAATTTCAATATTTTTCTGCTTTTTTTTTAAATTGAGTGTTATAGTTTATTATGCATTTTATCAGAACTCAAAATTTCATGTGGTAAATTATTTTGATTTTTATAAATTTTAATTGCACTTTGTGAAATTGAATATATATTCCCACAATTTAATATAAACTGCATATTTTGACATTTTCTGCATATTTAATATCAATTTGAGGCTTAATTTTTCAAATAACATGCTTTGCCTCACTTTCTAGATAGGCAAAAATCATGATTTTTTTTCTAAACAAATTGAAAAGGCCTGATTATTTATTTAAATCAGATTTTTATTTTTTGACATTTGACAATCAAAATTCTGTTGAAATATATTAATAATGCTTGATATTATGAAAAAACAATATTATGATTGAAGTACTTAATATTTCTAACTTGAAATGATTAAAATTGTTAAATAATTTTAAAAAACTAATCATGGAATCGATTTGAGCTCAACACCATTTTTTATTTAAGTTTAACATCCTCATGAATTTGTAAAGACCCAATTTGTCTGTTAGATTTCAAATAAGGTATGAATTAATTAGTCAGGAAAAAATATTTATTATTCTTCGTTACTCTTGACAGAACATGTCTTTCTTCATTATTTATTCATCTTCATTTTATTATTTACATCAACTACGTATTTAATAAGTTTTAAAAGTATGTAACTAAATAAATATAAAACTAAATTGGTATAAGTGAAATATGTAATAAAATATTAATTACCTTACTCTATATACAGCCAATGGAATTTTATAGTTTAAAAGTTTTATGTCCCTTTTATCCACATTTAATCTCTCTTTGTTATTTATTTATTTTGACCAGCAGTAATTGACATACATTACTCCATCTCATTATTTCTCAGGAAGAAAACCTTCAATATTGAGAATGTAATCTGACTTTAAATAAACATCACAACAATGAATATATTTACAAATTATACTATATATAAAAATAGTTTTGACTTAAATCAAAGGTTTATTTATTTATTTTTAAACAAAATCAAGTGTTTTGAATCGTGCTATACCTGCTCACTTTTAAAATTTCCACTTTGAAATACAAATCAATAAAATGCAACACATGAAGAATGAATTTGAGTACTTAAAATATATTTGAATTTCTTTCCTTTGTCCTGCTTAAGTTTTATTTTTTTGCCAAAACTTTATTATTTCTTGTACAACTGTAGCATATCGATTAGATAAAATCAATAACTGTAGTATATTGATTTTATCTATTATTTATTTGTATAATGTAAGATCTTTTTGTGTGTTAAACCATCACCAAGGGAAGTTTTGTTTCATACAAATTGTTATGTTTGGTATATTTTCTATTAAAGCATAAGTTTCTTAGGTAATGTTTATTTAGAATTAGTATAAAATAGTATATTTCTGATAAAATTTTGCCTCTCGTCGTAAAAAATATGATATTGAACTGACATTTTCTTGGAAAAGTCTGAATTTCAAAAAAGTCTATGTCTTATTTCTGAAATTCAGTTATATGGCATTCCATTGAATGAACGGTATCTTGGTACAGTTTTATAATAAATACGAACACAACGTATACAAGTACAAAACTCTGGTTTTATCTGTAGTGTTTTGATTAAATGTAAAGCAGCATTTTATCAAACTCTTAAAATGTTGCATTGACATAAATTCCTATATTTGCTTTTAATATGTTTGTTTTTATTATTAGGCAAACTTTATTTCTCATAGCAGAGAAGTTCCTAGCATGCTCAATGTTGTTAATAGTGATGGAGAAATGTTGGTGCTACAAACATTAAAAGTATGCTGTTTTTTTTTTTTTTTTTTTTTTTTTTTTTTTTTTTTTTTTTTTGAGTGAAATGGATTAATAATATTTGAAATTGTGAAAGTATAATACTTTTTACTTGTGTTGATATTTATTTCTATTCATACTAGCTCTGAATTTCAATTTTTGAAATCATTTCATTTCAATATGTTATTCAGAAAAATAAATTGCATAAATTTGATTTGAGCAGAAAAGTGAGTTTAAGCTTTCAGTTTAATGTTTGAATTATATTCTAGTTCAGGACATTTTCTTAGTATGCATTTTAACAAAATCTCCATTTAAAAATTTACATGTTGTAAATTTTTGTCTCTAATTATAGAAATAATTTAAAATATTGTGTAGGCAGTACTTCTATATAAAAATAATAATTTGTATAATAAGTTTAATTTGATGATCTATAATAAGTTTTTGTGATAAGTTTAATTTGATAAAAATTATTTTATTTGAGTAATAGTTTACAGTGATTCTGCTAGACTTAAGAACAACAGCTCCTAAGGACCTAGGACTTCCAAATTTGTCTGTCTTTTTACTGATAGCCCATTGTGCAGCTCTAGTGTGACGTAAATGAACTACAACTACAACAACAACTCTCTGTTTACTTAAAGCAAGTCCCTATTTAAAATATAAATTCTTTACTTCTATCAATAGGCATTCTTAATTATTATATCTTTTGATAAACAAAACAATTTTTTAAAGAGGAGTAATATTTGAGCTATCAAGGTTTTTATAAGACTTTCAAGACTTTTTCAGGACTGATCAAACACTTCCATCAAGGAAAAGCAATAATATAATGTGATACTCGAAATTATTCTTATTTTTTTCTCTTAAATTTTCTCTATTAATAAAAACGAAAAATAATTTTTATGTATGAATCTACTCGCTCACCATTTTTTTCTTCTTCCACGCTTAAGATTTATATGTCCCAGAGAACTCATAACTTATTTTTCGAATACCATCCATGATCTTTGAACTGTTTGACATGCTATAGTGCATAAGGGAAATCGCTGGTTCATTTATTTGGCTGATTGAATATTTTGGATTATTTCAATTGATATTAATTTTTGAATGTTACACTAATATTATAATTTTTCTTGTAGCTTATTGGTGGGGAAGGCCCTAGATATAATGTAGAATTGATGCCTGACATTCTAATGGCTTTTAATAAGAAATATTTTGATAATTTATGTCGCTGGATGGGGCATCTGATTCAACAAGCAGGTTTTCCATCTGCGAGGGTTAATCAACGCCAAAAAGAAGAATTTGTCAGAATGGTACTCAAGTAAGTATCACTATTTTAAGTTATTTTTACGTTTATTTTTTTATAAGCTTGGGCTCTTGCAGGGTGTGTAGTTTTTTTAAAAGGTGCTTAATCAGGGTTCCCGCGGTCCTTGAAAAATTTAAAAAGTGGTAGTAAATTTAGGGTGGAGCTACAATATATTTTTTTGTTTTAATATGCTTTTTCATCGTAAAGTGCTGAGATTTTCGTGAATATATATATTTTTTAGAAAACATCTTTTAGTGGTGGCTACACAGAAATAAAAATGTCAAAATTTCTTTTATTTTTATTACCACTTTTTAAAATTCTCAAGGACCGTGGGAACCCTGTTAATGGTGTTTATTTTCAATTTTTGTTTTTTAAAAGCCCTTAAAGTGCTTTTTTCATTGGGTGAAGTGCTAAATTTTCCCTTTACCAGGTTGAATTTCTCCACGTATTATACAAAAGACACTTTACATTGTTCTGCTCAACGTTTTCACAATTAATTCAACCCTAATCTATTTCGGCATACCGTCAGTCAGTAACGTAGGAAAACGCCATTCGTTTTACATGATTCAAAATTTCATGATTTTTGACAATTGTCAAAAACTATGCCATAAGTTTTTTTTTTTTCTAACATGATGGATAAAACCGTCAATTGTCAAAAACTTGCCAACCCTGCCTAATTGTGATATATTTTTTAAAGCGCTTAAAAATATTTTTGAGTGCTTGAAAAGTGCTTTAAAGATGCTTATTTTTTGTTGAAAATTTTGACTATGCACCCTGTCTAGTAGATGTCATTTAAAAATAACAAGAGAAGAGAGAGAGAGAGATTAAATGTTGCCACATAAATCTAAATATTTATAATGAAATTTTGAAAAACATAAAAACTTAATAAAAAGCCATAAAAACAGTTCCTAATTGAATTGCTATAAGTCCCTTCATTTATTTCCCTTATTGTTTCACACTATCTATATCTCTTAGTTTAATTTTTTTTTCAAGTACAGATAATTTTTTTTTAAGTCTAGTTAAACCTCTATTTCGTTATGACTGATATGTTAGCAAATGTTGTTGTAGATACATAAAGCTTCAATAGTATTTTGAAAACAAAATGCTCTGTGTTTTAAGAAAAAATATTGACTTTTAGGAAAAAAACAATGAATGAGAAGCAATCATGGGGGTTAGCGAGTTGAGCAAACAGAGGCCAGAAATCCTCTTTCCTTAAAAATTTCTCTTCAAATTTGTTAGTGAATAAAAGTATAATTCAAATTTTTAAGTTTTTCAAGTTGTATTTGAGCTACTTGTTCTTGATTATAATTTTTGAATTTTGTCTGAATTTCTCTTAAAAAAAAAAAAGTAATGCTCTAATAATCCTTATCTTTCTTGTGTAGGGAGAGAACAAACAAAAGAAAACTGAAAGAAACAGTGAATGAATTCAGTTTGCTCTGCAGAGGTTTAATTGGGACAGAATACGGAGCTCAATCTTGTCTATCATTCTCTTGATTTCTGTTCCTGATTTTTGTTTTAAGTGTATTTTAAATATTATATCTGTATATCTGTTCTTGACTCTAACTGTGCTTGTGTCATTTCTGCAAAGTGCAAAATTCATAAATTCATTATATTTTTTGTTTTTGTTTACCCATTGACTGCCTGAATGTAAATTATGAAAATCAGTTTGTTGAGAGATTAAAGTTTTTAAAGATTGAAATAGCTGTTTATGTTATTTTGTTTATTAATCAACAATGCCATACGTAAGCATTTCTAAATAACAAATTTCCTTATTGAAATGCAATTATTTATTTATTTTCTACGAAATGTTTATAACAATCATTAATTCAAAGTACCAACTCAGTTTTATAAAATAGTTTATAGTTGTAATAACCAGTATTATATTCAGATATTTTTAATTATTTAAAAAGGAAAGGTCTGAATATTTAAGTCCAGATATAAATAATTTTGACTTTATGTTCATTTAATTATTAATTTATAAGAATGTAAATTGGATACTGTTGTGATGTCCGCCGACCTCACCATCCGTTATTATTAATGAATTAGTTACGGAACAGCGGTGCTGCTTCACCAATCCAGAGATTATGTAAAGACGTTACTAATAGATGTTAATCGCTAATCTTTGTTACTTAATGCTAGCATGTTATGTTATGTTGGTTTATTAAATATATATTTTAAGTTATCATGATTCGTAATTAGAATACTTCGTCAAGGATGCACACATTCTAACACGTGGTGATGAAAAATGGGATCTTACTCCACGGCATGAAGTAGAAGTTCAACTTCAATTGAATTTCCAGGTAGATGCAATTTCTTAAAGACCGTCGGCCATGCATATATTTGAGGTGTCCCTATCACTGGTATTATTTAATGCTTTCGGTATGTGTTTTTAAATGTTTAAATACTCTTTTACATGGTGCGTAGCATTTTTGAAAAGTGCTTAAAGGTGCTTATTTTCGTTTTTAAAAGTCCTTAAAGGTGCTTTTTTCATTTAGTGTTTTTAAAAAGTGTTTAATTTTCCATTTTCAAATTCCATTCATTTTCCATTGCGTACCGTCAGTCGGTAGCGTATGAAGGCGCTAATCGTTTTACATGTTAGATTAAATACTTACAAGTCCACATGTGCGACTACTGAGCTGGGTTAGGTGAGATTCTTACTCTCTCATGTGCAACTCTGCTGCATTTCGCAAGATATTCTTAATTTCAGGCTTCATTTTCCACCTTCTGATATCGAACCGAAAATTCTCTTGGATCATTTTATAATCGCTAATATAATCAAAGAAGGAGTTCTAATCCTCATCATAGTAGATGCCATGTCGAAGTGGATAGAAGTGCGTCATATGACTTCAGCATCCGTCTGTGCAACAGTTGGATGTCCTGTCCTCTGAGAACTCTTTGCTGCCCATGGAATACCTGGAGTCATCCTTTCCGATAACGGAGGCCAGTTTCGAGCATTGGAGTACCAGACTTTCTTAGAGAGGAATCTCATCCGAAGGGTTATGATCACTCTAAGACGTCCCTTCGGAAATGGTCATGCTGAAAAAACAGTCCGCACCGTGAAAGATTCCATAAGACGTATTATTGTGAAAGGAAATTGAAAGAAGCGTCTAGCCAAGTTCCTTCTTCAACAACATTGCACTCCTACCACAACATTAGGCGCTAGTCTTGCAGAACTGTTGATGGGGAGGAAGCTGAGAACTATCTTAGATCTGAATGCTGAAAGAAAGTTGAGGCTGGAGCAAGATGTGTGTAAAAAATATGATGGTTTTCTTCAAAGATCGTTCAGTGTCTACGATCCATTCTTTGTGAGAAACTATGGAAACGGTCCAAAGGACAATGGAAAGTACTGCACTGCTGTATTTATAGATCAGTGTGACAATTCTTGAACTTAGTATTATTCCTTATTTCTTGTTTCAACATTTTTTTGTGCCTTTTATTCATTGGATTTAATATCGATAAGATCAAACATGAAGATTTTCTGTAAATCTGCAATTTTTTTTTCTCTCCAGAGCTTGGTGTATTGCATCACCATCTGCTCTCTGATCTAAAGTGCATAATTTACACCAACGTCTATAATATTTTTTTTAATTATAATGAGAAAATGAATCACAAACCATAACCAGTTGGCTCATTAATATTTAATCTGCAGTGCATGTACAATTAAAATTAAGTAATGGGCAATGTTGTATTTTCTTCGCCAGCAGTTCCCAAATGATACTTTATGGAACTCTGTTTTTTGGTGGAATGATCACAGGGGTTCTAAGAGTTAAAATTTTATTAAATGAGTAATTATTTTTTAAACTTGTAATTATATTTATATCAAAACAATAAAGCATTTCTTTGATGACATGGTTATTTTATAAAATTATTTAACTAAAATGCCAGTAAAAAATAGAAATATCAAAATTTATAAAAAAATTGCATCAGTATCTCTTGTCCAACTTTTCATTTCAAAGTAGAATGACCAAATTAAAAACTGATGTATTATGTTTCTTTAATAACTGTTCTCGATGTTTATAAGAGTTCTTTTTCGAAACCATAATTCAGCTTAGTTTATTCATTTTCAGCTTATGTATGCACCAAAAACAAATTAAGAACTAGATTAGATATCACTCCAGGTGTGTAAATTCTACTCTTTGGCATAAAACCTATTTAAGAGTTTTATAGATAAAATGATCATTGAAAAAATCTTCAGTGTTCACATTAAATATCATCAAAATAATAAGTAGTCTCTCTTTTGTCAATATGCTCTATGTTGCTTATAAATTTTATTTATATTTTTGAGGTTCCGCCTAAAGATGTTCAATTATTTAATTCTGTCTCTGTAAAAAATTGGGAAACCGTTGTTCTATGCAAAATTAACTGCTAGTTGACCTAGATAAACGAAGCGTAAATATTTGCCTCGCCACTATGTTCCCCATCAAAATAGGTAAACACACACTTCTGTCAGGGCATTCAATCAAGTGCCGTAATATTGAGGTTAATACATTGATAGCAAAAGGTTGTTTAAACCATATTATTTTGAAATGGTTCCTGCTATGGTGTACTAGATTGGAAAAGAGTACCGGGGATGAAGTTTGAGGGTGCTATTTTCTTTTATCCTCCTGCCCTTTCATTGAGTTGTTTGCAAGTATGTATTATTGGGAAAGTTGGTTAATTTAAATATAGGCCCTAAAAATTAAAAAATATGAAATCCAAATTTATTTTTTACAAACAAAATTTAACAAAAATTCCTTTTCAGAAAAAGTTTGTACTACTACTACCATTATTTTACTATTTGTTCATTTGTCTCAAAATTACTGAATATTGAATAAATGAAACGGGAATTTTCAAAAATCGAAGATAAGTAAATAATAAAAATTTGTCTCTCGTATCACAAGATCCTAATTTAATAAATAATCAAAATTTCATGCAAAGAAATATATTATAAATAAAAAAAGATACGAAAAATAAAAAAGATCCCATTTTTGTTTTTTTCGCTACATATTTTCAAAACGAATTGGTTAATTTAATTTGATTACATGTTCATGTACAGCGCCTAAAATGAAAAATGGAATACCCTGATTAACCTTTGATCTAATAATAAGATTTTCAATTACCGTCTCTCGATCTTAATGTTTCAAGATAAATATGCTAATTAATTAGTTGTGTTGAGGCAATTTTTTTAAGTTACGAAATCAGACACAAAAACGTACCTTCTCTGAATAAACATACCTTTTTTGGATGGATTTGAATTCTTGTTGCTCAATATAATTTGTAGGTGCTTATTTCACATTTTGCGTATTTCGCCATACTTCGAGAACTTTATAAATGAACCGAAAATGTTTTGCACATAATTATAAAATTCTTTTATCCAACGATAATTACATGATATTCTTTTTTTAATAATCATTTATTTTTTTATAAAACTTTTAACTGTAAATTATAAAAAAAATTTACATCTTTTTAGGAAATGTAATTTTGTATGACAAATTACGAAATTTGAACAAAATTAGTTCAATAATTCTCGAAAAATAAAATTCTAAATACAGTGCACTCCCGATTATCCGGGTTAATCACCGGGACAGGTCGCACGGATAATCCGAAAACTCCTTTTTATTAAAGAAAAAATCAATACCAGTACAAAAAATAGAAAAATTACTGATACTTGCACGTTGTATAACATCAAATTAGGAATTTTCCTTTTAACGTTTGCTGCTTAAAAAAATTTTTAATGCAACTTTACCATATATTGACACATATTTTACAAACCGCAGTAATGTAAAATCCTCCCGTATAATCTAATAAAGTTTCCACAGAGCAGCAGAATGAGAAATTGTATTTCCCTCATTTACTACATCTTCTGCATCAGTTACTATCATCACTGTTTGATTTAACAAGTAACGATGTCATCATCTGTCAAATACAGGAAGACAGGCTCACACTTTGAAACTAATCTTCTAAATTTTCTTCATCAAAAATTTCGAAACCTTAGATTTATTTTGCTTGCTCAAGAATACTATTATCATATTGTTCTTGAATATCTAAAGATTGTTCATCAAGCGGTATGATCTTTCTCCACGATCGTAATAACGTAGATGATTTTACCTTTGACCATGCTGCTGATATTACATATACTGCAATCCAATAATATTGCTTCTAAAAATTTTTTAGTGTTATAACTTCATGAATCAAATTTTTTAATCGTAAAAATGTTTCTCGTCAAATTTTTTGTTTGACTCCGGAATGAGCACGGATAATCCGCAAACCGGATAATCCGCGCACGGATAATCGGGAGTGTACTGTATAACTTTTTCTTAATTTGATAACTTAGAAATTCAACAGATTGCTCACAAATTTGGTATTTTGCAATTGAGAATTACATTCTTCAAAATGATGTAAAAATTATATACCATTAAATTCAAAATGCTTTCGGCAAATATTAAATACGATGTTAAAATTGTATTAAATAATGTTTAGAAATTATTTTTTGCATGGAATTATCTTTGGGTAATCAAATTGGGCAAAAAATGTTTTTATTCGATTCGCTTAAAAAGTTCACAAATAAAAGTCGTATTAAAGAAATCCAAATTTTTGCAACTTTTCCGACCAAACTATTGGGATCATATTTATCCCCTTACATTTTGGGGATCAGTCATTAAAAAAAAAGGTATGTTTATTCTGAGATAGTATGTTTCTTGTATATGACTTTGCAAATTATATTTTGTAGAATTATATCATCTTCACTCATTAATTAGCATACTTGAAGTCAGGCCCTCGAACTATTCTACGAACCATTGGAGATCGAAATGAGCTACAGGTGGAGTAGAGTTGAACTCTCTCATAGGAGAAGGAAGTACATTAATTTCTCCCCCTCCCTGAAAATCCCTGAAGATAATCCGAAGACATATCATCGTAATTTCGATCCTTTGCAGAGGGGATGACTACCTTACTTTGGTATAGCCTGACGACCAGCTTGCAAAGAAGACCACTTCACGATCGAACAGTTTAACGAGGACCGATACCGCAATCCCTCGGTCCCTACGCAGGCTGATCAAAGTGGTCACCCATCCGCTTACTGACCTTTGCCAGTGATGCTTGTTTTCGGTGTTTTACTGGGAACCGTGTCTTTACTATCAGTTCACTGCTAGACGATTTTCAAATAGATTAAAAACTTTTAAAGTAGGAAACTATATGGAACTGAAAATTATATTGAACATAGTAATAAGAGAAAGCGTCATGGAAATTTAGAAAATAATTTTGACAAGTAAATACGAAAAATTTTAAGAGGAGACATTATAGCACATTTCTATACAGCTGAGAAGATGGGGGGAGGGTCAAAATATGGAACCTGTCTTCTCCCTCGATAGCGTATTCGAGCTACGCGGAAATATTTGTGATGTGTAGACACCTAGGCAGTGGACTGATCGTTAAGACACGGTTCCCAGCAGATCACCGAAGTCAAGTATCACTGGTTGCGGTCAGTGTGCATGTGGGTGACCACTTGGATCAGTCTGCGTAGGGACCGAGGGTGTGCGGTATTGGTCCTCGTTAAACTGTTCTACCGTAAAGTGCTCGACTTCGCGTGCAGGTCGTCGGGCTACCGAAGCGGGGGTGTCATCTCCTCTGCTGAGGATCTAAATTGTGATGGCATGTCTTCGGATCCTCCTCAGGGATGTTTCCCAGACCGTCGCTAATAGCCCATTGTGCAGCTCTAGTACGACGTAAATGAACAAATCAACAAATCAAATGTAGACATCTAAGTTATTAATAAGAAAGTGCATATTTATAATAGATAAGAGTATAATAATAGGTGGACTGATCGTTAAGACACGGTTCCCAATGGAACACTGAAGTCAAGCATCACTATCTGAGGTCAGTGTGGGGGGTTGGTGACCACTTGGATCAATCTACGAAAGGATCGAGGATGTGCGGTATTGGTCCTCGTTAAATTGTTCTACCGTAAGGTGCAGAGGATCAAAATTGTGATGCCATGCCTTTATATCATCCTCAGGCATGTTTCCCAGACTGTCGGCAATAACCCATCGTGCAGCTCTAGTGCGACGTAAATAAACTATAACAACGAAATTTTAATTTAAAAATTGATTTAATTTAAATCGATATTATCAACCAATCGATATTATTGCGTTCCAATCCATCTTGTCTCTCAGCCATCCCGGCATGAAAAGAAAAGATTGAAAGAATACAAGCGAAGGAAACGAAATAGGGGATGAATATGTGAACGAAAAAGGTTTAATCGTTTTTTTCATGCAGTTTTCCGCATTGGTTATAAAGCATTATTAATATTTTTAAATAGTTTAAACCTTTTCAACTGTATGACGCTGAACCGTTTTTTTTTCATTGTAGAAAAGTTGTACTGTTGACAACAACGAGTTGACAATTTGCGCTTGCATCACGCGCTCGAAGTTTAAAATCGAAATGAGCTAAAATTTTATTTATAATCAATTAAAAAAGCTATTAAATAACATTAAATATTTTTTACTCATGGTGGATATAACAGGAAATTGTTCTTTTGAGGAAGACGATGTAAGATTTAGATATGTTTCAACCATATTTGCTCTATTTCTCTAAAAAAGTGTATTTTTATTAACTAAGTCTATATTTGATTTTTTTTTTTTTTATAAATGGTTTGACGATGTGGTTATTTTTGGCTATTTTAGTTTTCTATTGTTAATGGTTGCAAATATGTTTTGTAAAATATTCACTATTCATCTTGTTATTTAAAGATGTTATAAGAAATTATATGAATATGAGATTAAATTTAATTTGTAAAACTTTTGATTGCTATAAAACTTTTAAGCGTGAAATTTTTGCTTGTTTGCTTGAAATCGGAAATAACGTTTCTCTAGTATTTTTAACTTAACATGGTGAGTATTGGTGAGAAGAGCATTAAATTTTTTTTTTATAGCTTTTATTCTGTTAAATTACTATTGTTTGAAGTATTAATAATTTGAATGAAATACTTAGTGAGACATAAATTAAATCAGCATTTTTTCCTTTAAAATTCATAGCTACCATTAAATTATTTTGTACTATTAATAATTTAAAATATTCTCAGTGGTAAAGACATATTGCAATATAAATAAATTTTAATTAACTAATTAAGAAGTATAATTGTCATAAATGCCTCAAATGAATTAAAGATAAAGCTTTTAGATATAATGAGTATTTTTGAAATATGTTAATACTAATTAGAATAATAATTTTAATATGAATATAAAGGTAATATTGTAGAAAAAATTAATTATAAATTAAAAAAAGGATTACTGATAAATTTAAAGATAATTGCGTGTAAAAAATGTAACAATTTCACATTATTTATTAGAAAAAGAAAGATTTAATAATTATTCTCACATCTACAGCTAACCATATTTTTATGAGGCATTTTTAATTTTTTTAGCTTTTAATTTCAGTTACTTCATTTTAGAGTTATAGAATAGTAAAGTTCTTGAATACAAAGTTGAATATAATATAATTATTTGTGCACAAGAACTAAAAGATATCATTAGTAAAATAAAAATGTTTTTTAATTTATTAACTTGGGCTCAAATATCCATATCTTGATCTATCGCACCAACAACTATTGCCAATTCCCCAAATGGATTTTAAATTTGCATTTATTTATTATTTTTTTTAAAAAAAAGAAACATGTAAAGGTTTGTCGGATGTCTCTGAGAATTCTACTCTTCAAGTTGCTTACCTTGTGTAATGTATTTTTTTAGTTTCTCGCAGGTCGCTGCCCAGAAGTTGTCAAGACTTGTCTTTTTTTTTTTTTTTTTTTTTTTTTTTTTTTTTTTTTTTTTTTTTTTNTTTTTTTTTTTTGTCATAGATCATGATAGAGATATATTCCCATAAACTTAGATTTTTTTGATTCAAACGTAGGCATTTAAAAATATTGGGCAATTTAAACTAAGAAGGATTCCTATAGATTTTCTATTGACATGGGAAACATTGCGTAAAGTTCATGTTTTGATAAAATAAAAGTAGATATTGTTACTAGTATGCAGTGGCGTAGCGATGGGAGAGCAAGGGGGGGCATCATGCCCCGGGTGCTACTCACAAGGGGCGCCAAATGGTCAACAAAACAAAATTGTTGGATAATTTTTATTTTAATTTATTTCTGGAAAATATATTTTAAATTTAGTGCCAGTGCAATATAATAAATGTTAATTCGTAAATAAAAAGGAACACTAATCAAACTGTAATAATATATTAATAATAGAAATGACACGTCTTTTCTAATGGCAGGGCTGACTCGACCTGTGTCTGTCAGCACTTCCTTATGGCATCTACGCTGTGTGGTTACATATATTATCTCCAAATATTTACAGGGTGCTCCAATTCTGTTTCAATATATACTAACTTTTAGTTTCATAACTTTATTTCATTTCTGATATGAAATCTTAAGGAGCAATGATCGTGTGCAGCTCAGATTACAAGATCCTAGAATGAATTTTAGAGAAGCGTTCCATGATCTTGAATCATTGGCAACTGAACTAGCCGAAATTCGAGACAAGCTCTGTGAAGAGGCAATAGAAAAAGCGAAGTCTCTTTGTGAAAAATGGGATATTGATGCAACAATATGTGTAAGAAGACGCCGCAAAATGCCCGGAGAATTGGCTAGAGATGTCAGTCTTTCCGCAGAAAGTGAAATTTCTCGCGTTATGAAAAGTGTTCTTGATCGTCTCCAACAAGAAATATATACACGATTAAGTGACCTTAATTTCAAATTTGGATTTCTACTAGACGTTGAAAGCTTATTAAACAAGGATAATGTTGATAACGACCTTGAAATTTTTTAAAAATATTTGGGTGAATTTTATAATACAGATTTCAATGGAATAGAACTCTTTATCGAAGTATGTGACTGCAAAATGTTACTCCGCAGTAGAAAAGAAATTGAACTTAAAACTCCATTAGAATCTCTTACTTTTATTATCCCATATTGAGAAGATGTTTTTCCAAACCTAAGAGTGGCACTTCAAATACTCCTGACTATCTCAGTATCAATTGCTAGCTGCGAATGGTCATTCAGCAAATTAAAATTAATTTTGACATATCTACGATCAACGATGGAACAAGATCGCCTAAGTGACCTAGTATTTTCAAGTGTGGAAGGAAAAATTTGAAATTATCAACTTTGATGATATTATTGATAAATTTGCTTCATCAAAAGCGGAAAATTTATGCATAGTAATTAGTTTTATTAATGTATTATAATCATATTATTGAATATATGTATCTCCTTAGAGATAATAAATATTTACTTTTTTATTGTTTTTAAAACTGCATGTTTTTAAAATATTTCTTTATAAATATGTAAAATAAATAATGGGTATCTTTTGAACTAATTCTAGATGATCATATACATTTCAAAATCTAGTCTTGTTTTCTCAACTACATTTTTTGTCTCAAATTTAATGCCTAGCTTGAGCCTATGACTTTATTTATTTTACTTAATTTATTTATTACTTTGCGAGTATATTTTACTTACAATATTAGATGGTTTTTGAGTGGGGGGGGGAAAGGTATTGTGCCCCGGGCGCGAGTTAAGCTCGCTATGGCACTGCTAGTATGGTTATTGTTGAAGTTGCAAGTTTATCGTAGAAAAAAGAGCTGAAATTTGTGAGAAATTTGAAAAACTTCCAGGAATACAGGTATAAAAAAAAATAGGTCATGGTCAAAAAAGTCGTACTAAAAGTCATGGATATGGTACAAATAACAAAATAAAAGAGTTGAAAAATTATATTAATATTAATTTTATGTAATAGTAATATTTTTATTGAAATGAATGAAATATTGTGCAATGATAAATTATTTTCATTATCGTTTTAACATTCGTCAAATTTTCATTGGACGGATTTGACATTTTCGCAAAGGATTTGAAATTTTATTCGTCTAATGCAATAATCTCAAGAAAAATCCACTTAATTAGCAGTATTCGGATCATACCTGAATTATTTTCTTATAATTTTGATTTAGACATTTTGAAATGTTTAATTAGTTATACATCTTCAATTTTGAATGTTCAGAAAGTACTAATTACTGTTAAAAATTAAATAAAAAATTTAAAAATATAAATCTCCCGTTTTTAAAATAATTTTGCTGAATTTGTACAATTTAGAAAAATTTGCAGGTTTTAGTAAAAACATTAATAATTCACGGGAATTTATGTTGCAACAAATTTGCAACCTTAGCAATTGTGAAGGTTGCATAATTCTTTTTAACACTCTTGATACTTGAGCAAATTTCTTTATAATGCCTCAAAATTTAATTTTGTTTTCCAGGGATCTGCCTAGGCCTAATTTACTACCGTTTAGCGGTACCTTCACAAATTCAACTTTGGGAAAAACGGTAGTTTCACAAATTCAACTTTACAAAAAACAATAGTTTCACGAAATACTTTTTCTTAAAATTTTATTTTTGTATCCCTTAAGAAACGATAAATTCTTATTTTTACCATATTTTTGTGTTGATTTTTCAATATAATTTTTAATTTTTCACAAATTATGTCTAAATTTTAATCATTCTGTGTTTTAAAATGTCTATCGATAAGTTAAGTTGTCTGCATTAGTTTTGTATATTTTCTTTATTATACCTGGGATCAAAAGATTCCAGTGATCTCATTTATTGATGATATTTACTAAAAGCTTGATCTATCATTAATTTTTCTTAATCAGGAGTTCTTTGCTGATGCTTTACGAAGTATATCTGAGATCGAAGCATCTTCACAGAAAGTGGCAGAAGAGAGTAACTCAGTGAAACTGAGAAATGAGTTACTTCCATCTACACACCAAAATCAATTAAAAAACTATCATTCCGAAATCTCTAGTTCCTATAAAAAAACTGATTTTTGTGATATCAAAAACTCTGATGATTATCATGATATTAATCCTGATATAAATTACTCAAGTTTTGTTCAAGATGAAAATTTCAGTACTAATCACCGTTTTTTTCCTGGATATACACCAAAAGCAATTAAAAGAAAGTTTCCAGGCCCAGCTGGAATTTTCTTTGATGAGGTAGTAGTTTATTAATTCTTTGGAAAATTTATAATACAATATTCAAGATACAGTAGAAGATGTATATAATTCAATTCTATATATTCGTATTTAAAAAGTTAAGCAAGCAAAATGGATTAATTTGCTTCCTGCTAATTCTGCAAAAAATTTCAGTTTTTTTGTATAAATAATAAATAGGTATAAGTGCAAATTTTGTGTTTTTAAAACTATTTACAAATATTAAAGCATTTAGTATAAAATTATTAAAGCATTTTAAGATTGATCTGTCTCAGACTAATATTGCCATATTTAGAAAGTTTAAAGATAAGTATAATGATCTATTTGTTAAGAAATCTGTCTCAGACTAATATTGCCATATTTAGAAAGTTTAAAGATAAGTATAATGATCGATTTGTTAAGAAATTCCTTAAACCGCTAAGCCACAGATTTCAAGATTTGCGTTATAAAGATCTTCTACTATATTATATTAATTTTTTTTAAATCCCTTTTTAGATTTATATGTAATATTTACTTTTATTTAATATACATTTAGTATAACAATTTATTTAAATTTACTTTTATCAAATTAAACTTTTGAATATTTTTTTTTTCACTGAAGACTAATTTAAGTTTCTTATTTTTTATCCAAATTTTTGCTTAGAGGAGGGAAATAAGCATAAATTCACTTTTAAACTGGCATTCAAATAAGCATAAATTGTCTGAAAGTAAATTGAGCTATTTTTGAGGTAGTTTTGTTGCTAACCTAGAACAAAAATGATATTTATAATTGCAAGGATTAGAAAAAGAGGGATATTTTGATAAATAAGTTAGCAAGAACTGAATTTACCTCTTAGATTTCTTAATTAATTTCTTAGGATTATTTATTTCATATCTTTGTTTGAGTCTAAAGTTTACATAGTTGCATAAGTTTTTTCTTCTTCATAAATTCTGAGAATTAATTGTTCTAAATTGTGTAAAGAAAGCATTTTACAATGTAGTATAATATTTTTAAATAGTGCATTTTGATATGTATAACTTATCACATTTTATATTTCAATTAGCCTCCTAGAAAAGTGTCAGTTGGTAGTTCTGATGTTTCCGAGATCTTTAAGCCTACTGATTTGGAAGTTGAAGTAATGTTTCTGTTCCTAGCAAATTATTAGCTCTTTTATCAATTAGTATTTCATTATGTTATATGACATATGTGTGTATATATATATATATATATATATANCATATATATATATATCTAACAAAAAACAGCCTCAACTAAACTTTTTATGTTATTCCTTTTCTATTAATCTTTTTCTTAATTTATTGTTCAAAATGAAACGCTCTTTCTCACACTTAAAAATTCTCTTCCTGTGTTTTAATCTATTTTTAGTTCAAGTATGCCCTAATTAACATTTTGACATTTTTCCCTTTGTGGGAAAGACGTTTTCCCTGGACCTATTTAACAGACCAATTATAATTTCTCTTTTTTTTCCTTATTCTCTTAAATGAAATATTTTACGGATTTACTTTGCAAGAGTTTTCCTAACTCTTATTGAGGAGCGCATTTTGTGTCACTTGGATGATTGCTGTCTCTCTAATAGTGATTAAATAAATATTGGTGCCCTCTTTCCCTGCCTAAGACCTGTTTTTATCCTTCCTCTCGGCAACGACTTTAGATATTTAAATCTTGATAAAGCAAACTAAAATTTAAAGTTAAATGTACAACATAGTATTTTTCATTTTTATATAATTAAGATACTTTTTTTCAATACTTTCTGAAATATCATTGAATGCCGAATTTGTAAACACCTTAAAGGCATTTTAAAGCGTGCGGCGTCAGCTTGAGCAAGTTTTCGGCTTTCTTATCGTAAATATTTTGAATACCAGCCTGACGTAGATTAGATTTGTTTGAACTCTAGCATACCTGAGATTTAACATAATTGGTTAAAGCTAAAATTTTTTAAAGATATAAGGCCGAAACTCGTGGAGATATAATATACATTATTTTATATTTTTTTATACTGTCTGTTTATTTGAAGGTAGTTAAGCATATTAAAATTTTTCAAGAGCCTAAAAATTTATTTAAGCCAAAGAACCTGTGCTGGAGTAGGGCTATTGTATTGCGACTGTCTCATCTCTAAATGGCATAAAAACATTTTGTATTGGTATCATAATAGCCAACAGATGTTGCTGTCAATAGCAGTTTTCCTACTAGGATTGAACTGGGTAGATATGAATAAAATACTTATGTCCAAACTTGTCATATTTTATATATGACATGGTACACTAAAAACAGCAAATAAAGTGCACTCTTTTTTTTTTTTTAATATTCTTTTTTCTCCTCAAATTAAAATCATATGAAATTCTTTTTAAAGTTAATTTTTCCCATTTTTTTTTCAATACTGTCTATGCATGGTTAAATATTGCTTAAATTATTAATAGCAACTCGTGTTAATATAATTTATGGTTATCAGTTTATCATATTTGCTATACTCAAATTAGCTTATATTTTTTAGGTAGTAAAATTGATTGCATTTATGTAGTATACAACCAATTCTTGATTAAATATTTAATTTCAAAACTTAAAAACGTAATATGAGATGATACCCACGAGCCTAACTGCTAGCTTAAAAGCCTAAAATTTATCTTTATTTTTTATGTGAAAAATATTTACCTTGTTTTAGTATAGCTAAAAAATATAACAATATTAAAATGCTGTTATATTTTTCATTATTGTATTAAAAGTTCAGTTTTTTTAAAAAAAAATTTGTATTTCACAATATTTATAATTGTTTATATTTTTGTAGCCAATAAAAAGCTCTCAATTTTCTGTTGAAGAGTTGCTGGCGGCTCCCTCGTGGAACAAACTTCAACTAGATGTTTCATCCAACCACAGTTTCCTCTCAAATGCTCAAAACTTCAGTGTTCAACAAGTTCGAAGTGATGTAAGTAGAAATGTATAAAATAGTAATTAACTCATGTAAATTATAACAATAGTGTAACAAAATGAAAGCTGCTGTAGATACAGTGTTACCATGTTTTACTTAATTTTCTTTTATGTCTGTTTGTATCTTTGTTTGCGAAACACAAATTTTGCTATTCAAAATTCAACAACTTTCTGATTAGTCTCAAATTTCTAATGGGGAACTGGATGCCTATATAGGTTTTAATCATTTCTTAATCACTACAAGCAGAATATATTCGCAATCAACTGCTTATATTTCAATTGAAGCCCTGTGTTCAATGACTACACAAGTTGTAATTAATTCCTGAATGAGACCAAGCTAAAATTATTGCTAATCAAAGTCTGTGCTGAATGACATTACAAGTTTCAATTAATCCTAATTGCTTGTAGCAAAATTAATTACTAATCCCAATTTTTACTTTTCTTTCTGACTAGCAAGATAATTCATTAATCATTCATAGCAAAACGGGGAGAAAAAAAAATGTGTTTTGTAAAAATAAATATCCAATGTATTATTTGATAGAATGCATTGCTATGCTGTTATAAATGTTACCAGAAAATTCCACATGAAGTCTCTGTACACTTTTCCATTTTTATATATCCGTCGTTGAACAGCCGACCCAATTTTGGGATTACGATTAATAACGTTCGACTCCATAGTCTTGTAATTTTGAACCATTCCAGACGACAAGGAAACTCCTGAATTAGTATCCCCAGAGATATTGATTTGTTATGGGAACATGGAGAACTCGACAGATTTAACATGCATCAATCACCATTTACTACACGGGGAGTCTTGGGCTGCCGGGGATAGAATTTATCACTGATCAAAATTTTGACTATTTAACAGCATAAACAAATCAACAGATACAAAGCTAAAACAAAAGAAATAATAAAATGAAAATGTTTTAATATTCATGGTTTTCAAGTGATTAAAAGAAAAAGTTTTTTTTTTCAATCCTAATACAAAACAATGTTAGGGTGCATCATTTTATCCATAAACTTTATCTATGTAAAATCAGGATGACCACAGAACTAGAAAAATCAGGGAATTAAATTTAAAAACCTCCCCCCCCCCGCCCAAAAAAAATCAGAGAATGTATTAGTTAAGTTTTTAGGTACCTAAAATTGGAATTTTCTTTCCCTCTTCAAAAAATTAGTCTTGTAGTAATCTTTTACTTTTATTAAGTCATTTATTTTCTACTCTAATAGTTTTTTTTATAAGTGTTTTGTAATGTATTTTACGTTTAAGAATAATACACAGCTGAAAATTAATAATGGGAAATTTTTAAAAATCATTCTGGAATAAGCACAAAATGTTGGGAAATTTTTTAAGTTAGTTTTCACATAAGGTGTGACAGATACAAAATAATTTTTTTCATTTTTAATAATTTGAAAAATTTTATTTTTAAAGCTTTTTATTTATATGATTGAATATTTCTGAAGAAAATGTTAAAAAAACATTTTGAAGAAACAAATTTCAGGGAATATCATCTTTTAATTATCTTCTATTATGGAAGTTTTGTTGGTAATTTGTATTAAGCCAAATTTTTAATGCCTATTTATTTTGTATTAGGAAGGCTTACATCATTCTAAAAATATTTTTTCAACTAATATTTGAAATTGTTATTGGCTATTAATGATATTCTCTATTTGTAGAATTTTTTATATTTTTTAAAATAGCTTCCATTTTAAGAAAATAAGATTTTACAAAATTGCAATACAGGACTGATAATTTTATGAAATAAATAATATTTACTCACGTCATGCCAGTCTTTAAAATGGTACCATATATTTGGTGTTTGATTTGTTTATTTGTTTTAAATGACTTTTAATAAAATTTTATTTTGTTGAAAAAGTGATTGAAGAATTAAATTTCTACTAATTATCCTGAATTTATTTATTTTAGACTTCAAAGAAAAAATTGCCAAAACATATAGTTGTTCCAATTCTTTGTCTGTATATAAAGCAATTTGACTCTGAAGAACCAGTATCAATTTATATGGATGACACTGGTTAGTTTTGCATGCATATTTGAATGTTATTAAAGAGAAAAATATTCAGATAATTTTGAATTTTTCTATAACATTTCAGGTGAAATCACAGGAAAAGTTGATAAAGAAGTTCTTGAACATTACAGAAATTATATTAAAACTGGAACTTCCCTAGTTCTGAAAAAAGTAATACTTTTCAATAATATAAAAATGAATTTTTTAATGCATATTTTGTTTTTATTGTTATCACTATGGATTATATATGTACAGTGCACAAAAAAAAGTCACCTAGAATAATTTTTATTTCAATTATCGGATTCCATGAGCTAAGTGTATATCTTAATGGTTCCTGAGAATGACATCAAATATGCAAGTTATTGTTAAGTGCTAACTGTTAAGTTATGAAAACAGATACAAAAACATATATTCTTTGGATAAACATATTTGGATGTGATATATATATGTTACGGGATGTAATTATTTAGGTCAGTATTCATAATGCTTAGTTATTATGAATAATGACCATTAAAATTGGGCAATTTGATAAATTTGAATTACTTTACGATAATTTCTCACAATGCCCGGTCATTATAAATACCGCTATTATTTCTTTGGGCACTTTGATTAATTGACAGCAATGGGACAACCACGTGCGTGTGGTGTGATTCTGACTGGCCAATGTTCACCGGTGAATGTTGACAATCAAATTAGTCGCTTTGGTGAATGTCCAAAATATTTATTACATCCAATTTGATACTAATTTATTCGTGGATATAATTTTTATTCGATATTATAATACTTATGACGATAGATTAGAACAAACATCAGTGTTTGGAGTATCGGGCAGTGGCATTTGACCTTAAAAAAACATCAGTGTAGGGTATACCGGGTAGAGACCTAGTATGACTAGACCTTCGGTAAATGTCCGAAATATATACTAGGTCTAGTGCCACTTTTGCTATAGCTTAAATATTTAAAAAAAATTAAGCAAAGCGTTTGAATCAATTTTAAACTGATACCGAAATTATTACTTTAAAATTAAAAAAAAATTAATAAAAACTGTGCTGGATAAGAGTAATTGAAGTAGTTGCAATCTTACAGTTCAACTACTTCATCTTACAGTGCAAGTGCGGGAAAAAATTTAAAAAAAAATTATCCAGGTGCATCTAAAAGTGGATGAATATCCCATGACACCCTGTGGCTGTGTGTGACACAAATTGCCTACTTGACTTTTTGCATTATACATAATGACCGGGCAATGTAATAATTGCAACATAATTTATCATTTTGTCATATCCTTTTGGGCACTTTTTAAATTGCCCGGGCATTATAAACAATGCCCAATTATTTACATTGCCCATGACATATATATATCACTTTATTTGGCTTTATGACCCTTGAAATATGGGGCTAGCCTCAATCTGGAAATCATGACTCTTATAGTTTTGTCAGGAGAGTGGATGTAAGTTAGAATGTTAATACCCTTTATGTTGTACCCTGTATTGTTAAGATAATACCCTTAATGGTATGTTCCTTTAATTTTTGTGTTTTTGATCATATCTTTGAAACTAATTGAGCAATTTCAAAAAAAAAATTTCTCACAGAATATAGTTTCATGTGAAAAATAAATTCTAATAATTTTTTATTATTTAATTTAATAACGGATGGAAAAATTTTGAATTATGAGGCCTACGTTTTTTTTTAAAACACATTAATCTACATATTTTTCTATAGAAAAATCTAAAGTTTAAATTGTTTTTAAATAGTGAAAGCTGTGAAAAAATACAATTGTTTTTAAAAATCTAATTTAGTGACAATGAAAAAATATATAAATAGAGCAATTAATACCTAAATGTAGTAAACTTACGAGAAACTTTACTTTAAGCTTAGCGTAAATCCAATTTATGATTTTTCATTGTTTTTTAACGATATCATTTTATCTTAATTATAAAAGATATCTGCTAATTTACACTTAATTTAGTAAAGAGATTTGAATTAAATATTATATTTAACGATTGTCAAGTTTTATAAAAACATGTTTTTGATTGAATGTGGTTATGCATCTGCTTTATTTTATTTTTTAGTTGTGTGCTTTAGTATGCATATATTTGGAATGATATATTTTTAGAATTAAGCAATAAAAGCTTAAACAAAGATACTTGTTTTGCGAAAGGTATCTTTATAGCTTCTAAAATCAAACTCTCGTAACATCAACAATGATTATATGAAATGGTGTTAAGTCACTCCTAAGAGTAATGAGTAGAGCCCGGATTTTGATGACCTAAAAAATCTCAACTAATGCCCCTAAAAAGTGCAAAAAATGCCCTTAATAAAGGCAAAAAATGCCCTTAAAAATCCAAAAATTGCGCAAAAAATGCCTTAAATAAAGTAAAAATATTGAATTAAGAAAATTTTTTGCTCTTTAAAATTATTATGAGTCATTTAAAAACTATAAACAATGCAATACTTGTTCTACGCTCATTAAAGTTTGAAAAATTTGTTTTATATCCTAAAATAACAAAAAAAAGGAAAATATATTGACACCAAAATATTTTTATTTTGTATCGAAACTTTAATGGATATAACAACTTCCATCTCATAATATTACTAAATATCAGAATTACATTGGATTATTATTTTTTTTTGTTGATAATTTGAAATGTAAATGAGCGTCTCTTGTCTGAAAGTAAATTTTCATTCCTGCAGAAGCTTCTTTCAACGTCTACTGATGTTATAGGTGCGTACATGAAAAAGACGGTCTCACTTGCTGACAATTCTTCTTCAATTTGAAAAGATTTTACTTCACCTGTTAATATTCTATAGATTTTCTTGATTGTTTGGAAGCCAGTGTAATAATGAAAATTGATTAAAAAAATAATAAAAATTGGAAAAAATTAACAAAAAACTTTAAAAAATGCATTAAAATGCAAAATACGCCCCAAAATTTTTAAGAAAAATGCCCTATAAATCTAAAAAAATGCTCTAAAAGACAAAAAACGTCCAAAAATGCAAATGTCATCAAAATCCGGGCCTTAGTAATGAGTTACCAAACATCTAGAACTGCTGAATATATAGCCAAAAATTTTAAAAGTTTTAAAGTATCTCAGTATCTAATGTATCATCCTAAACGTCTTCATTTTAAAATTAAATTTTGCAAAGCTATTTAACTAATTATTTGATTATTTACATTTTTAAAATTTTCCTTTTTGCCACTGCATAGATTTTTTTTATAAAACACTAATATATTTTGTTCCATTTTTATTAGTACTTAAATTCAAGTTTTTTTTTATTTATTTAAATTAAACATTCCTTTGAAGTTCGCTCAAAAGTCTCAGATCTAAAGCCAATGAGCTGAGAATTAAACCTTGTTAAGAATTTACATTTTTGCTATTTTAAAATTTACACACCACATTAATTAAGAGGAAATTTTTTATTTTAATGTTTTTTTTATTTGTTAGATTTAAAAAAATAAATACATATTAGTACAACTCAAGACACTATAACAGTTTGCTTGGTTTTTTAAATAAACAAATTTGAACTACTATTTTATTTTGACGTTTTAACCTATTCCTCTGCAAACTTTAAATAAGCTTTTCTTTTAGAAAAAGATAATTTGTAAAAAATATACCCAAAAAAGTTGTTAAAAATTATTTTTCAACTGTAGCACAATTCATAAGAAATTATTGCAATATAATTTGTTTTCTGGAAAAGGCCTCACTGCACCTTATGTTTTATAATTCGCAAAATTAATACAAGCTTTGCTAATGAAACAATTTTTGAAAATAAATTAAACTTGCTAGAACTTAATTTTGTTTAATTTTAGAGATTTATTGATAAAGGTGTGTTCTTCAAACCTTTTTTTTTTTTTTTGTTCCATTTGAAATGTAAATCTAGATATATTATTATAATTAACTTAGTTGGTTGAAAGCTGGTAAAGCCAATTAAAATTTGTCCTATAGATTTCCAACGGTATATATTTCATTTGCAATGTAACAACCATATTCAGGTTGCAAATAAGATTTGTTTGAGCTTATTGAATTTACATGTGCAATTTTTCTCAACACCTAGTTTTGTTCTTTTAATATTTAGTCTGTTTTTCTTTCATAAATTAGATTTATTTCTACTTTTTAGATTACATTTGTATGTAATGTTATGCTGTTAGAAAAGACAAATTTAGTATCCATATATCTTGATGACGGAACTGTTCATCATATACAAAACTGGGATAGTATAGTTGAAGAATCTTTAAATGGTTGCATTTTTCCAGAGACTCCAAAACTTTTAAAGAAGTCTGGGAAACTACATCATTCAAAAATTACACCAACCTTAAAACAAACACTTAACAGAAACGATGAATTAACACCATCATCAGGATCTCGAACATTTCTACCCATAAGGATATCCCATGCTAATGTCAATTCTCCTTCAAACTCAAATGTAATTAATCATTCAAATAGGTCAATTGATGCAGCAAATTTGAGTCATCCTGATTTAGAAATGGGTAAGTATTTATTACTGTAAAATTTATCCTTATGGTGTATTAATCTTTTTGTTGTCTATAAACTAAAAGTAACTTGTTAAGGGTGTTCTAAAAGTGACATAAGAAGATTGGAAATGTAGTTAGCTGCGTTCCGCTCAGGAAATGGGCTGATTTATTTTTTATCAAGTTTCATGTTTAGTTACTAAGTCCATCAACAAGTGGCACTGTTGAGAACAATTATGAAACTTTCATTTCAAAAGAATGATCATTTTCAATAACTATGCCACACTGTAGTTTTTGTACTCAAAAGAGCATATTCTCTCCCTTTAGGGTTTAGTTATATTATTAAAACAGTTGTTGATGGGTGTTTAATAAGAAATGTTTGAGGTCAGTTTTGTTGAATTTGATCTTATTGCTTTTTTGTAGTAAAAGTAGTGTGTCAAGGGAGCCATGAAAGTTATGGATTTATTATTTTGTGATACTGTCCACTACCTACAAACTACCTTTGATATAATTCCAGTATTTTATACTGGCAACCCTCCTTTTCTATAGTACCGCAGTAAAATATATAGTATTTCCAAAACAGTTTTTTAAATTATTGGTCATTCAAACTATTGACTACTCAGTATAACGTGGGTAACATAACAACTTAATCAATGTACTTATTGTTATTGTGAGCTATAGGTAGTTAAAAAAAAAACTAACATTAAGTGATTTTTATATTTTATTTAATGTGCTTGTAATGATGAATTATAATGAATAATTATTGAAAAATGGCGGAGAGAAAACTACTAACTAAGAATTTGATTTTATACAAGCAATATGGGAGCAGGAAATAACACCTAAGGAAAAGGAAATGAGTATAGCCTGTGTAATACACAAGAAAGGAGATATACTTGGGTGTTACATTGCATAGAGGAATCGGCTTATAGTGTTATATTGTATAGAGAAATCGGCAAGTTTAAGTATTTTCAAATATTCTATTTAACAGATTTTCTGCAGCTATAGATCAGATATTCAACATCTGACAGATTATGAAGACAAAAGAATTTGGTATTGATACACACCACTGCGTAATCTAATTTAAAACTTCTTATAGTTTTAATCAAAAGGCTCCCATAGCAGAGTTTGAAATTCCAGGCAAGTTGTTAAGCCTCATATTAAATGAAACTAAAATCATAATCTAATACAGAATAGTTTATGGTAATGAAGAAGTGTGTTTGACAGAAGGATGCACCAACGTGCCTTATTTTTAATAGAATTAAAAAAAAATGGTTAGAGATTCCAACATCAAAACCAGAGAAAAGAAGCTTTCTTATCTTTAGAAAAAGAGTCTCTTATGACGGGCCTCAGAATTAATGAGATACATGCCTTGCACAAAATCTTGAAAATCTACTTCAAAAGTGAGGAGTATAACTGTGAGGCAGTTGATAGCTTCACTCATCTAGGCTTTGAAATTAACAACAGAAATGATATCACTTTTGAAATTAAAAAAGAATTACTATGTCCAACAAATGTTTTAATGTAATACGGAAATCGGACGTTATATCAAAAGAAAGACGAAGTTTTATTGTATTAAGATCTATTTCCACATTTTATTTTATAACCGTCGTTGAACAGCCAAACTAATTTTGGGTTTACGACTACTCATGTTCAAATTTGTAGCCTTGTAATTTTGACCCCAATCCAGACCCTGGATCAGTACCCCCTGATGTATGATTTGTTATGGGAACATGGAGGACTATTTACTACACGGCGAGTCTTCGGCCAGTGAGGACCAAACCCCCAACGGTTGGACATGGGCGCCTTACCAACCAGATTATCCTGGCCCTGCACATATGCATGAACTAAGCAACAATACTAAAGAAAACAAAATCAGTATCGATTTTAAGCATCAATTATTTAGATTTAGACATGCATTTTAAAATGACCATAAATGAAGCTTTAAGACATCTCTTTCTACTTTCTTCATTTTAAAAATACGAGCGAGCTCAAAGCTTTGAAAGGAACAGTGAGTGCAGTGCCAGGTGTTGAGTTGTGCAAGGGGTGGATCCCCTAGTTAATAGTATTTCATTTAAGAGTTTTACTATTTTCTATGTAGCTGATAATATTTCGTCCATTTTGGAAGTAATATGACCGAATCAAAATTCTGTTTTTCTTTATAAGCATATTACTAGAGAAATTTTTCCTTAATAATTTGATTTAAAAATATTAAAGAGTTCAGAATAATTTTTTTCTGTGTATTAAATAGATGCATTCGAAATTTTCAAACTAAACTATAAATAATGGATTTTTTTAAAAAAAATACAATTTAAGTAAAAATTTTTGAACTTAGGGTTATCAAATGAAGTTAGGAAATACATATCTTCCTAAATATTTCATATTTTCTGTCATCCACTACAGAGCAAAACAAAAATTATGTCGTGAAACGCCTAAAATAGCAAAAATTGCTTTTTTTTCTCTTTTCTATATTGAAAATAGATAAAATACTTTTCGTAAGTAAGTTTTTGCAGAAAATTTAAAGAATTATTTTATGATTGAAAATGTTAGTGCACAGTTTTCTTAGAGTGGCATTTAAAATAAAATTTTCTTTTCGCTGCAGTTTAAGCTCTCTTTTATATCATTCTACAAATAGATACAACATCAAATTTTTAGAGTTGGAAAGGTCAGCAAAATTGCAATTTAAAATTTTTCTACTGAGCATGCCTAGTTTCCTTATTGAAAATGCAGTTTTTTTTATGCATTTAAATTTTTTTTAGATGATTTTGATGAACTTTTGGGAAATCTTGATGAAGAGACTTTTTGTGAGGATTTATGAAGATTTTTAAAAATGAAGTTACAAGCTATGTATATTTATTTTCAATTGTTAAAGCTGATCAAGAAAGAGAATTATTTTTGTTTCTAGCTGCAATGCATCCAAGAATCTGAGTTAATGTATATATTAAGTGAAAAGAGTATTTTCATTTACATAATAAAAATGTATTATATCTAGTTTCTTTTAAGCACTCTACCATGCATCTGAAAATTTCAAATTAAATTCTTCAAGCAAGTCAAAAGTAATTTTTATAAAATTCAGTAAAAATTCTTCTTCTATAACGGAAAAAGCGAAAGTTGTTACTTTTATTAACTATTAAATAAATTTAATGGGTAATAGGCATTAAATAGGTTTTTTATGTGTTTAGATATGGGCTAAAGTGATTTTTCAAAAAAAAAAAAAAAAAAAGAAGTGTTTTAATAGTGTTTAAAAGTTATAGTTATGATCAATTGATTTTTTTGCTCTTATTAAAATTGTATTTTAAAAAAAAATTATAAGGGAAATTTAAAATGAATCTAAGGGATTCTTCTGAACTTGTAAGCACTTTTTTATAAAAAAGACAAAACCTTTCAAACAAAACGATATTGTCAAAAAAAAAAATCTTTATCAACAGGAATGTAAAAAAGAAATTTATTGAAAATTTAAAAAAAAAAAGTGTTTTAATTAAATGGGGCTTACCTGAGGGTGTGGAAAACTAAGCGATTTTTCTGAATTACTAAAATTTAAGATATAGTTTTAAAAAATGAATTTTTATCTGGGGCTAATTTTTTTTTATCATTTCAACACAATTGGCAAGCTATATTTTTTAATGTTACACAATGTATAAAACTTTCATCATCAAAAACTGTAGCAAGAAATAGTCTCGTGAAAACATGATAAAAATTACTTTTAGAATGTTCCTTAAGTAAGAAATAAAACGTTTTCTTATATTTACTATTTAGTTTTATAGACAAGCTTCAAAGGTATTGACTAAATAACATAATTAAAATGTTTATCAAAATCTGAAGATGACATATAAGGTTTTGTCTGATGAAATGCAAATAAAATATTGATAAAATCCATATTTTACATTACCTTTTTAAAATTGCATGTAAAAATTTTTGATTAGCATAATTTAGAATGCAAGGTGTACAGTGCGTACATTAGAAAATGGAATATCTTAATAACTTTTGATCTGAGGATTAGATTTTTATGTACTAAGATGGAATCATAATAATTCCAGGATATTTAAAGTTAAACACGACTCAAAACATACTTTTTCTAAGTGAGCATTAGACATTTTTTTAATGGCTTTAGACCTTAAAATATGAAGGTAGTTACAGTCTGGAAAATAATAGCCCAGAGTTTTAACAGGAAAGCTTGGATCCCTTTATGCTAATTTCAGGGTATCTGCTACATTTTAGATTTTGAAATTCATGACTTTCCAGGACTTAACGAAGTTACTATTTTCTCTAACAAAAACACAAGAAATTTAAAAAAGCATTATAATAACATAAATTGAAATGATAGGTATAACAAAAACTGTTATACTCTGTATCTTCATATTTAAAGATTTTAAATTTAAAAAAAACAGAGTAAAGAAAGAGCTGAAAAAAATACAAAAGCAAATAATACTTTTCGTGTTCATCGGAAAGGAAAGAAATACTCCTGATTTTTATGTTCTCATTTCAGAATTTAAAAAAAATTGCCAATGACTGGCTTGCTTCAGCTAGAATTTTGAATTGATAAAATAAAAATTCTGAAATCACAGAAGTTTAAAAGATAATTTGCTCTAGAAGTGATGTTTTTTCTTTGAAAGAACACCATAACTTTAAAGAACATGATAAAAACATTTTATATTTTAATAAAATATGACTGTGAGTGGGGATTTTATTACAAATTCAGATATTCGGAACAACATGAAATGGGGGGTGGGGTAATTTTTAAATTCGATTTTAAAAAATAGATTTTTCAGCGACCTAAATCCATGACAAGTCCCGGACCCATTTTGATGTTTAATAACTCATAAAATAATAAAGATAGATTAAAATTAATAACATAAATGGTGAGATAGACTCAAAAAGTTTCATGACCCTTGTCAATGAACTTCCACGTGTGCCCCCTTCGTCGCACGGAGAATTTCAAATCAATAGTCAATTTCACTGCAGGTAGCGGCAAGCATGTCGGCATCCACAGAGACTATTGCGGTTGCAATTCTGGTCCTGTAAACATTGTCCTTTATAAATCCCCAAAGAAAAAAGTTCAGCGGCGTTATATCAGGTGATCTGGGTGGCCAAGGAATTGGGCCTCCTCGCCCAATCCATCTTCCTGGAAAATGGTCATCCAAAGAACTACGAACGATGATACCCCAATGAGGTGGTGCACCATCTTGTTGCAAAAAGATATGTGGCTGAAGCTCTTCTAGTTGTGGAAATACGAAGTTTTCCAACATGTCTAAGTATACGACTAATGAGACCGTCTTTTCTGTAAAAAAGAAAGGCCAAATGACTCAGTCGTGCTTTAATCCACACCACACATTAACCTTTGGGGAATCCCTTTGCGTCTCACGGTATTCATGGGGGTTTTGAGATCCCCATATGCGCACTTTATGGCGATTAACAATGCCAGAAACATGAAAGGATGCTTCGTCGGAGAACATTATGCGCTTCAGAAAACCAGCATCATCTTCTATCCTTCCTACCATATCTGTTGCAAAAGCTATCCTTCAAGGCCTATAGTCCGGTTCCAAACCTTGAACTTTGTATGCATGCAGTCTTAATAACCTTGTACACCGTCGAAATTGGCATATCCAATCTCCTGCCGCTGATCTCACAGATCTTCTAGGATTGTCTAAAAATGTCAGTCTGACACGCTCGACGTCAAAATCACTTGTGCATGCACGTCCGGAGCCTTTCTTATCTGAGATACTTGCAGTTTCTAGAAAATTCTTTTTCCACTGCAAGATGCTTTTGGATAGAGGATCTTTTTGGTAAATTCTTCTGCAATTTCTCAGTGCTTACATTATCGATTTCGTTTCTATGAACCATCATAAAATCTGTGCTTTCTCTTGTGGTGTATGCATTCTCCTTAATATCTGCTCGAATAAAACATCACATAGAAAAGTACTACATAGAACAAACACATCAAAAGTAAACAGAACATTGCAATAGTTGCCAAAAACAAAAGAGAGAAAAATGCAATTAATAAGCAGACAGGGTGCGTAGCCAAATCCTTGAATCAAAAATAAGCACTTTTTAAAAACTTTTCAAGCACTTTACAAAAATTTTTAAGCACTCAAAAAATTCATATTCAATCAGTGATATCATTGAAAAACAAAAACTTTTTATAAACAGTTTTAGCGTTAAAAAAAAACCCAAAAAGAAATGGACGTAAATCGAAACAATCAGTACTTTCCCACATCATTGAGTGAATTCAACTTGACCCTGAACTCAGAACAAAAGTACCCGTACCCCCTACGTCAAAAAAGTGTTAGAAGTAAAATAAAATAAACAATAATAAATTAAAAAGAAAAACATTTCATAAGGATCTGATATTCTCCATCCGAATTTGAGCACTCGTGTTTCGGTTTCAAGTGTGCGTGTATGCGCAAGTCATAACGTGGGTACGACATGAAGTCCGCGTGAATGATTACGTAGCAAACACCCCATTTTTCGTGAAATGCATAGGATCCACCAGATATCACTGAAGGGGAAAAAAATTATTCGGGAAAAAAAAGCACTTTTTAAAAACGCCAGCTGAAAAATGCACCTTTAAAAGCTTTTAAAAACGAAATCCCCAAAAAAGCACCTTTAAGTACTTTTTACAAACGCTACGCACCCTGGCAGACGATATTTACAAAAGTAAAGATATTCAAACCTGAAAAGGAAAATATGAGTTATTCCATCAATAAATGCCATAAGTTTGTTTATATCTTCATTAATTTATGAGTTATTAAACATCAAAATGGGTACGGAAACAAAATGTTAAACGATTTCAAATAAAATTATAACAAGTATTTCAAAAACAAAGGAATTCCTTGAATTAGATATTTAATCCAAATAAACAATAACTTTTGACTTAAAAATTAGATATGAACACATTTTTTTAAAAACTTCTTTTATAAGATCAGTTGAAATGCTTCTTAAAGAAAATCTTATCCAGATTTTAAATGACATCAATTTAATCATATAACTAATTTCAATTTAATGAATGATTTATTAAATTGAATGTTACAAATACCTATGCATCATTATTTTTTAATGAAACAATGCTCTTCCTACCAAAAAAAGTCTTTTTTTTAGGCAGTTATTTCTTTTGTAGCTGCTGCAAATTTGTTGTGTACCTTAGACATTTATAAAATTTTTAGAGCAATAATCAAGAGAAAGGGTTTGGCGCTTTGAAATGATCAGGTTATGATTTTGGTAAAAACTTGTTTATAAATACTCTATCTTTATAGTTATTGAACAGTAGAACCTTTATATTTCTATAGAAGTACCGTATTACCAAAATTAACCTTGTTCAAATCATTGTTTAATGATAACTTTTATTGATATATGGAAACGTCTTCACATTTTAATAAATTTCTACTAAAAAAATAAAGGCATTTCCTTTTATCAGCCTCAAAGGCTACAAAAATTTAAGGCGATAAACAAATGTGAAAATCGTTTGTAATATTCAATAAATATAGAGAGGAGGGGAAGTAAAGACTTGTGGCATTTAGTCCTCATAACAAATATATAGAGAAAAATATGGCAGGTAATTTTACTTAAAAAATTCTTGAAAGAATATATAGATTTCGCTAAAGAAAATTTTTCTTTTCTTTTTTAGATATCCATTAAAATAAACATGCATCACACAAAACATAGGTTCTGAATCTTTTTTGCCTTTCAAACCTTTTATAGAGGTTCTAAAATCTGAATGAAATTGCTGAACGCCCAGCATAACTGGTAATAAAAGGTAATGAAAAATATAGAATTTTGTATGCAATGTTTACAAAATTAAAATTATAGGTAGAAGAAAATGAACACTTCAACAAATGAACTAGCATACATAGTGGAATATACTAGAAAACATAGTGTAATATTTAATAGCTCCTAGAAAGCAGGATAGTTGAGTGAGTTTTCTCAAAATTTACATTTCCTTGAGGAGCTTTGAGAATCTAGTCTTTTGACAGGGAAATATATAATAATATAAGTTCATAAGGAAAATAGTCATTAGTAATTAATTGAAAATGCTCATCTAGTTCAATGGAATCCTCTGGCTGAGAGAGTTAAAAAATTCGTAATCCTTCCTCAAAAGAAATGGAGACACTTGAATTTTATAACAATAGATTTAAGCCTTTTACATAATATTTGGGGGGAAAATGGCTCTTGAGAGGCTAACCAATATCTAAATTACATAAAAGGGAGCAAGTGAAATACAGTTAAACCCCGCTATAGTGAACGAAATGTTCTGTCCCGTGCCTTGCTATACACGTATAATGTTATTTTTTATGGATATAGTGAACCAAAAAAGTGAGGAAGTTGGAACTTTTTTCTGTCTTAGACTGATTTTATCTTCATTTTTTTGTAATAATTTTAAAATTTCTACTTCAAATTAAATACATATACTAATGTTTGAAACCATCTATAGAGGCGAATGTAGCGATAAGTATTTTTTCTTGCTTGCTTCTTTTATCTCACTTTCCAATCCCTAAACAAACCAAGCAGATGATGCACCTGTAAGGTGTCAGTGGGATCAATATGCATTTTCTGTCAGAAGGAATGAGTAGTTATTCGTTATTGGTCAAAGGGTTGGACATTAATATGCGTTAATAAGGCCCTCATTTCAACTCCTTTTTGCTCTCAGTTCAGTTAAAAAAAAGTCTGCAGACAAGTGTCTTAAATTTAACTATGGAGACCAGTAAACGTAAAACGTTCTCCATTGATGATAAAATGGGCATAATCAGAAAAATTGAAAATGGATGCAATCAAGTTGATAATTGCAAGGAAAAAAAAATAACCAAGTCTCCAAATCTGCAGTTTGTAACATATGAAAAAATAGGCAATTAATAATTTCTGCTCATGAAAAAAATGTAGAAGGCAGAAAAAAGTCGAGAAAAGCAGATCACAAGTATGTTGAAGAAGCATTACTGAAGTGGTTCACCATTCGAAGAAGCCGCAATCTTCCAGTATCTGGACAAATGTCGATGAATTTGTTAAGCGATTTTATGAGACTAGTACTTTTATGTGCTCGAATGGCAGGTTAGACATGTTTAAAAAGCGGAATAACAGAAATTCAGGAAAAATTATCTGAGTCGGGAAGTGTTTCCAAGTCTGATGTTGAGGATTGCTCATCAGCTAAAAATTACTAATTATTTTTGCATGCAAGACGAAGAATAATGAAAAGTAACACATTTTTCGCTACTACATAATATTTTTCAGTCATTTATTTGAATAATGCGTAATAAAAGGGAGGAGTTTGGGAACCATTAGTTAAATTGCCTATGTAACGGATATAGTGAACACCTGGTTATAGTGAATCAAAATTTCGGTCCCTTGAAGGTTCACTATAGCGGGGTTTGACTGTATATGATAAGAAAAAGGCATAAATTTTTCTTATTAAGATTCCAATGTAAACAAATTTATTAGTTTGTTATTTAATCTATTCAAAGTTCAGCAGTTACTATAATATTTTTATGAACTAACGCTGTGAAACAATGACACAGTACCTGCATTTTTAAAAATTTTATTATCAACAAACTAGCCCATTACTGTTATGAAATTAGTAAGTAGGCAATTAGCAACTCTGTAATTTACATCATAATAATATGTTAATTCTTTTCAATAAAAGTAGTGCCAAATAATTTTTTTTTCTTCTTTTTGTTGTGACAAGACTAGGAGCATTACAAGGTGAAACAACAGTATAATACAATGCACTGTCTATATTTAGTTACAAAACAAATGTGCATTAAATGCAAAAAGAGAGAGAAAAAAATCACAAGTAGTTTATTCAAGGCACACAGCAACTTTCATTCCTTAGTTCTGCCTTAAAGGGCCTTTCTGTTAGACAATTATAATAAAAAAAAATTGTGCAAAACATAAATGCATTTTAATTTATCAAATATTGATTCTAGAATAATAAAACATAAAATTTTCATATGAAAAATATCACACTATCAATGAAGCCTCCATACACTTACAATATTTCCTCATTACAGAAATTTTCCTTAATGACACATTAAATAGCTCAGAATTTTACCTAGTGCCTTCTTTTCCTTTCTATCAATTATATTTTTGCAAAAATGAGATTTTTTTCTCTAAAAATACATTTAAACTGTAAAATAGATAAGATTGAGGAATACCATTTGCACGAGTATATTGTGTTTTGAAAGTTTCCACATTTAAAAAAAAAAGGTAGACTAAAACTTAGAAAAAACTTTTTTTTTGTGTGTTATGTATCGAAATAATTATTAAAGATAGATGTAAACGTTTCAAAATTACAGAAAATCTGTAAAATGTTTAAATAAACAGATATTCATTACTAAGATTTCTTGAAATAACTTAAAACAGTTATTTTCATACACATTTTTGGTTATTCTAATGCAGAATTTTTTTTCAAAGTTAAAATAGAAAATTACAAAGCAGTTTTAATTATTAAAACTTTAGTAAATATTTTCATTCCAAAAATAGATATACAAAAAGAATCTTTAGAATATGTAAATATTTATAAAAAATAGTTATAAATATTTTTACGCAAAAAAAAAAAAAAAAAATAGTTAAATGGTATTTTGGAGGATGCTATTAATTGTGGAAAGGCACTGCTTACAAAACTTTCTATTACATCCAAAATATTTTAACATTTTTATTTTAGTTAGCAAGAAGAGATTTGCAAGCTAAAAGTTAATGAACATGTTTTTCATAAAAATCTGATTCTAAGTCTCTTACAAACCTTAAGGCAAATGCTTTACTAATTCATGAACTATTTTTTTTTCTAAGTAACATTACAAGAATGAGAAATGCTTTGAAAAAGATAAAAATTGTGAAATGATTTGCTAAATTAATTCGTTATGTTATATATCCTATAAAATTATAAACACAATTTTTCAATCACTAATTCAGAACTTTTCTTCCCTGCATTTTTAATTAAATTTGTAACTTAAAAGATTATTGTTTGAACTTTCAATAAATAGACATTTACATTGTTTGTAAATGACATAACATTTCTTTAAATAACAAAAATAAATGAAGATTATGTTCATGTACGTTTTTCAGTAGTTCTCTGAGTGGAATAAGCAACTAGGTTTTTTTTATAAATAAATATACATTTTGTTTTAGCTATATTAAAAGATGTTACATTAAAAAACAACTATCAATTACATGCAATCATACTGCACAACACGACATATTTTTTAAAAAGGTAACAACCAAAGAAAAATTAATACATAAATCACTTAGTATTTAAAATAATGAATCTCAGATAACAAATAGTTGCAATAAAATTTGTTTAAAAAATATATATAAAGCTAATGATAAAATTCGTGACATTTATAAAGGGAAATATTTATAGCAAAATAAAATATTTTAAAGTGTTTCCAAACACACAAAATTACGCTCTAAACAAACACTTATGTTTATATTTATTCTAGAAATATATATATAAAAAAAATTATGATAGAATACGATGACAATATTTGATTAGAATGAACTTAAAACTTTCGACTAGATAAATTAGATACAGCAAACTTAGCGCCCATAAAAGAGAAAGGAATGTGTAAGTAAGCAAATCACAAAGATAGTTATAATACTTATTCACAGGATTAATTTTTTTTATACATATGATTACTTAAAATTCCCACATTTTTCAAAGACATATCTAATTTACAAACATACTCGAATATAACAAAAATCTCACAATACAAATACAAGGAGGAAAAAAAAGAAGAGCATCACATACAAGCACATAAAATTCAAGTGCACATAATTTAGTTTAATTTGGAAACATTCTCTCTATATGTGCAAGATCATTCACAAAACTCTCAATAGTATATGAAATCAGTGTATAATTTAAAATTTTGTTTTACATAATTTAAACTGACTAGTAACAACTAAAATAAGTCATTTCTCTAAAAGTTTATATTAATATATACTACATATCATCACATGAATGTCGAAACGAACCAATTCGAAAAACCTATCTTTTTAATTCTGATTAAAAATTGATAAGTGCTTAATAGAAAATTTTTCTAACCCTTAACAAAATTAATATTTTTTTAAAAAATTAAGTTTAATTTTGGGTTGCAAGTAATAAATAATAACTAATACACATTAAGAATGCATTTTAATATATGTATTAAGACTTAAATATACAATAAGATTAATCTTAAAATTTTTTTTATGACTTAACACTAGAATTACAGCTGCGTCTGTATGACAACATAGTCGAAATTTCCCTTTAATATTTCCTTATTTATTATTAATTAGCAGTAAAATACTTAGTAATTTCAACCACTTGTACATACTTAAAATTTAAATTACTTTTAATAATGTTTATTTTCTTGCTATGAGGCATTTTGATTTGCATCTGCGTGATATAAAGGACAAAAAAAAATTTTTTTTTTTTTGAAAAATTGAAGTAAATTGTAATTTTTGCACAATCAAAATGACCCCAGCCCTGATTTATGTTCACTTCTTTAATAGTTTTAAAATTTCAGCTTATTCAGATTTATGGTCATTTTATTTTATTCTTAAATAACTAAATACTTGACTTCCAACTTTTGTCAGTTTTGAAAAGTTTGGATGTAACCTCAACTTCTCCAAAGAGAAAAAACTTAACATTTTATCATCTATCTATATCCTATAAGCTATGCTAATTAGTTTGGCCTAAATAAAAGAAAGCAGATTTTTAATTAAAAGTTTGAGTTAAATGATTAGTTATAGAGTAATACTAATTTTAGTTTAAGTTATCTATGATAAAGTATCTACATTTTCCTGGTTGCTTCCCTGGCAGTCAATATTTTAGTAAAATTTAACATGTTACATCCCCTTTCATAACATGCTGGTCCTGGTTTATAGAAATTTTGAAGACCCATATCTACGGTTAACAAGTAAGATTACTTAAGCAATCTTCAGCCTGAAATTAAGTGTATAGACAGAGCTGTAATTTTAGAGTTGTAATAAAGTCACAATTACTTTTAGAAAAGTATATTGTTAGAATAAAGCTAAAATTACAAATTTATAATTTGGAAATATTTTTAAAATATTGCATATTTTAGATCTTAAAAATAATAACTTAAGAGTTAGAGTAATAATTTATGCATGTTAATCATGTTATTATCAATGATTTATAATAAATTTTTTATCATTCACAGACAAAATGCTTTTCTAGAACTTATTATTATTGCTTTTAAAATAAATTAGAAAGTTTCAATATTACATAAAAATGAGGGATACTTTTAAGAAGAAAGTTAAAACCAATCAGTATGAAAAATCAGCACAAATGAGCACCAAATTTTGATTTCAGAGTGCACTTTAGAGCTAAAATGTTATTGTGCACTAGAAATAAAAATATAAAAACTAGGAAAAATCACCAAATTTTATGAAACAGCAACTAAATATTAATGGTACAATACAATCATATTAGGAGCTAATTTTTGGATAAAAACAAGATTCACAAGAGAAAATTTAAATTAGTATTCACCATCTAATACTAACTACAGTAAATATATCAAAATGAATTAAAATGGACAAAGAATAAAGTTAATTGACCGGTTAAAGTTACAGTTAGAGGTGAAGGACATAAATTGTACAAAAAAATTCAATTGTAAACTGATTTAAGCTCATAGTTATGAATTAGCAAAACATAATATTAATCATTCTATCGAAGGATAAATTGTTTTTAATCTTCTGCACTCAAAGACTTTGGGAAAATGTATTAGATATTTGCCCACATAAAATAAAAAATACCTGGCGTGCGTGGCAAAAAAAAAAAAGAAAAAAAAAGAGAAACTATTGTTCTTGAAATAAAGCTATTAATGGGAACATGCCATTATGATAAAACATTAACTATTTCTTAGGAGAAAGGTGAACAAATAAAAACAATTTTTTTCACCAAAATACTTAAAAAATCCTGTTCTGCAATAGAATTTAAAACAAACCAGTGTCTCAATTTTTATTTGCCACAAATTTACGAATTAAACTTTAAACATATCAAATTAATTTGCTTAATAAATAATTAAATATTGATATTAATTTCACTATTTTATTGATGAAACACTGTTATATCATTGTTCAGTCTACAAAATAAACTGTCACCCAGCATGAGCTATGATTATAGTTCCCAATTCATTGTTTTAGGTTCATGGTTAGAATTAATGAAGTGTTATTGATATATTATTTTTTTTTTAGCAAAGGAAAATACAAATAAGCTGCCTTTATAAATTAAACACACTTGTTTTCATTAAGCTTAGGACATGAATTATCTGATTTTTTTTTTGTTAAAAAATATATTCCTAAAAATCTTTAATGTAAATATAAAAACTCATAAATCACAACCACAAAGAATTAAATACCAAAAGAAACCAGGGTATTCAAGCAAAAAAAATCTACAACATGAGCAAGCATTTGTAAATACTCCTTAAAAATAGCTTTTTAATTTATTTTTAAAAATATATAATCATTGTTTATACACACATGCGGTATCTTAAATATTTTAGTACTTCTGCAGAAATATGATTAAAAGATCAAAAATCTGAATTGCAACGTAAAAGCTTACGCCCCAAAAGCGTAATTTCATAAGTGAATCTGCAGCATAGATTCAAAAATGCCTGCTACCTCAATACAATCAGCTAGAGAATATTAATGTAACAATTCAGCTTATTCAAACATAGTTGCATCTATACTTACAAATATAAGGCTTTTAAATGCTATACATAAGAACTTTATGTTACTTAAATTTAAGTTGAATTTTACAGAATGATAGTGAAAAAATGGAATATATCTCTTTATGGTTAAGTCTGAAATCAGAAAACAATTTTTTTTTTTAACCTTTTGTTCAGAGGGCTGTTTTTACACTAAAAATTTTAATAATTGAATCTAGAGATGCTTAGATCTCAGCAATTATTCCAAATTTATTTGTTTGGTTTCTAAAATATGCAGAGCTCGCTGCTGCGCTGGAGAATTTCTGCTATTGGGGCTGACGTTAAAAAATGTTCAGGTTTATATCAAAATTGATTCCAATTTTTTAAAAAGTTTTTAAGGATTTTATTAACAATGTTCGTATAATTGCACAATGTACCCCAACAATTGACATCAATATAATTTACCATTTTACTGGTATCAAGTATGCAGGATTTTATAATAAATGCACATTATTAAGTTTATGCAGTATAGAATGTACTATAGGTCTGGAAGCATGTTCAAGAATAATTGGGTCCATTGATAAATGTTTTAAATGCAATATTCGCAATTTACTTTTCATAGAAAAAATCTACAACATGTTTATGCTACAGGTTTTTAAAACATATCAGACAGTTCAAAGGACTTATGTTAAGATTTAAGGTATTTTTTTTGTCTTTGCTTTCCTGTCTACAGCTTTTACTTAAATTTTGCTGGTTAAAATAATTCAGTTAACAATTTTAAAAGAATAAAACTGGTTTTGTAAATATTTCATGTTTGGGATGGATGATTTTAAAGGGTCTATAAAAAAAATATTTATGATGTGTATGATTAAAAGCTTACAACAATTAAACTATAGTAAAAGTAGTTTTGGTATTTAATTGATATTTTGTCTTTTGAGCCATTAAGTAAGTTTTTGAAAAATAAGTATTGTATCTTAGCAGGACTGTCAATATATTTTTTTAAATTTTGACTATGTTTTCATTGTTTGTGCAAGATTCATTTTTAAATAAATAAGTAATAGATTTACTGTTCATTTTCTTTTTTTAAAAATAAAATAAAATCAACATTATTAAATGCAGAATACGAGTAATTTACATTATTTGTAAGTCAAATTTTTACGAAACAAACTATTTTAGTGAATGTTAAAAATCGTCATTGAGATACAATTATAGAAGCGATTTCTCCCATTTCTTGACATTTGATATTACGAGATTCGACTGTTGTAATTTATAGATGGTTTTTCATAGCACTCAACACATATATTTAAAAACAAATACACCTCATTAAAAAAAAAAAACTTTAGTTTTTTTTAAATGGGCGAAACTAGTTTACAATAATATGATAGTGAACAATGAAATTTATAACAATTTTATATAGTAGAAAAATTACATGTAGGACACTCATGCATTGAATTTGTTAGAGAGCAAAAAAAAAAGTACTATAAACCCAATATTGATTTAATGTTACTGATTTACCAGATCCTGAGACAGTTTTAGAGTAAACAATTTAGCAAAAATGCTATACAACTTTTTGTAAGCACTTTTATGCACAGGTGCAACTACATCTCATCCCTAACAAAAATGTTAAACTATAATACACATACAACACCAATAAACTTATTTGTGACCTTAACAATAAATCATCCAAAACAGATCTTTAAAAGCAGTGCCATATACACAGTTATCAGGAAATGTTGGTTGTTTAATACATCCTGATTCAAAGGCAAGGAAACTAGAAAGAAGAAAATTTTAAGATTTAGTTTCTATTACTGACAATTATAGATGTGAACACACAATTTATAATTATTTCTCGCATAAAATGTAGCTTACTTCTAATAAACTATGCCATTAAAATATATACCTAAAATGTGTATAGTACATGAAGAGAAAAATAAGAACTTTTTCAGAAAAGAACTGTAGAAAAACACTTTCACTTTCAGGGACACAATAAATTAAGATTTTATGCCAATTAATTATGTTACGAATAGAGTGTAAATAAAGTAATACGATTAAGCTTAGAAATACATATGTATAGATTTTGCGCATGTTTTGCACACTTTGTTTTCATAAATAAGCATAATAATGTTTTCATAATAAATAGTCAGTAAATTATCATTTTACATTTTTCAATTACATTGTCAATAACTAAAAATTTAATTTTTAAATAAATCTAAAAGTAAATTTTCATCTTAAACAATACCTGATTAAAAAAAAAAAAAAAGATTTTTGACACTTTGAATTAATATTTTTACATTTAGTCATTTTCATGTTAATATTTCAGAGCTGCTTCAAAGTTGATTGAAATTAGTTATAAGCTTTCTAATTCCAGTAATTTAGTCTTTTGAAATTAAAATTTTGTTGGCATGAGACTGTACATTGCTTGTTTGTATGACACAGATTGCACACCCTATCTTAATTCACTTCATTTCTTAATAGGTATTTCCATTCACTTTCTTATGTTCTTTTGCATTCTTTGAGCATACAGCATTAATTTTAAAAAAGCTTTTGTTACACCAAAATTTCAAAATGATTTGCATTTCTAAATAGAAAATTACATTACCCTAGCAAGAACAAAATAAAATTATATAACTAATCCTGGTTGGCAAAAAAGCCAAGTATTTCATTATAGAAATTTACACAACATTAGCAAGTGAGTGCAAAATATACACATAATACAAGAGCATTAGAAGTGTTTAATCGCTTTCTATTCATTATTTTAAGTTTCAAAAGTACAAAGGTCATAGAATTTAAAGCTAATTAGCGTAATTCACTTTAGTTTGATGATGCGAAATTTGCATTTTGCTTTATTCTAATTCAAGACTTTCATTTATAATGTGTGTACCATTAATATTGATAATGTGTGGTTGGTGAAGTTTTTCCAAGTTAAAATAACGCTAAAAAATGCACCAGGACATGTAAAGAAATGGATTTTTAAAATTTTCAATAATGTTACATTGAATTAAAGTCTAAATGATTACTCTTTATTACTCTCCAACTTAAAGTCTGATTTAAATAGGAGAAAGAAATATGAATCGAACTAGAAGATACATAAGCAGAATATATAAAGTAGAATTAAGTTACAGAAATAAGCTTTCAAATTAAATTAGTAGCTGCAGTAAGTGTAGTCACATAAGTAAGGATGGAAAAAGGCCTAATTTTCCATATTTTAGTTAATTTCTACAAGTTTGATGCAAATGAAGAGTGATTGTTGAAAGGAAGGGAGCAAAAATTTATGTGAGCTCTTAACATTAGTGAGTTTTAACTAAGTAAAGCTTAACTAGAAAGAAAGAAAGAGTTAGAGCAAACCTGATATTAATAAGAAGGCATGTAAGACAAGATATCAGTTAAATCATAATTATTCACTTGGTTCATTAAAGAGCGTGCCTGCCTTGTGAGTTCAATTTGATCAGGGGTTTTCCCAAATACTATGTTTTGCCAAAATGGGTTTTGCTAAAAGGAAATTATTGTGATTAAATAACAAAAAACCTTTCAATTAAAATTTGAGTTGGAAAAACTTCATCTAAAAACAAAATAATTTTCTTTGTTAGCATTATTACTATGAATTAGTAAAAACAAAACTTATTACCTTAGTAAAATAACTATTTGTTTTTACTTACAAATTTATACACTAAATATTATTAAATGTATATACACTGAAATAAAAAGAGAAAAAAAAATAAAATTATTCATTACTGAAAGATGTAAAACAGATAAACAAAAGTGCAAAGTATAGCAAATTTAAAATACTAAAAAAATACTATTTTAATGTTTTTATATTGATCAAATATTAAATTTAATAAAACAATAAAATAACTGACCAAAAAAAATTGAATGAAAAAAAAAATCAAAGTTAAGTTTTTATGTATTTGCTTGCAGTAATAAAAAGCTTTACTTTAATGATATATATCATTGAAACTTTAATTACAGCTTCTACGTTTTAAAAACAGTTTGAGTTATTTTATTTTATATTTTTGAAGGAAAAAAAAATCAGTGAACAGTATACAAAAATATTCATTTAATTTATCATATAATTGCTTACATATTTAAAAAGTTAGACTAAAATTTTAATGTTAGTTCATAAAATGCATTTCATAAGAGTTTTTAACTTCATGTAGATATTCTAAACAAAGATTAGATGGCTATCAATTTGATGAGATTGAGCAATATTTTGTCAACATTATGCTACTTTGTTTTTAGTTAAAGGTATTGTTAGCCTATATAACCCACATTTGAGTGTAAGCTTTCGAAGACCAGCAGGTTTGGCTTAGAATGTACTTTGTTTTGGACTATTGTGGGTCTAAATTAATATTGACAATAACATTTTTCTCAAATTTAATATAAAACAATGAAATGAAACTTTAGTTTATTCTTTTATCTGATAAAAAACCAGTCTGAAAATCAAAGACTTCAACCATGTGGAAAACTTTCATTTACCAATTGCTATGATCATTTCAAAATATTAAAAGTAAACTTTATTTTTTACATTTTTCTTACATCTGATACACATGGTTCAAATTTCTGTCGTCGTAATAAAAAAGAAAAAAAAGTTATTTAGCATTACTGTCAACAGAGCTAATTACACCGTATAAATCCTGATCTAACGTCATGGGAAGTGATACATCACTGAGTGAGTGAGAGCAAAGTGAAAAAGATATCAATACTTACTTTCTCTGGTGGAATGAAAGGCAAATTAGATGCTTGCATTTGAGAGTAGTAGAAAGGGCTGGACTCACTGTGGTATATATACTACAGGAAGAGAAATAACTATTGCAGATTAAATGTTATGGAAGGAATAAATTATTTAACAAAAATATTGCAGGATGGTAATACTTTCATAATTTATATTTGCTCTATTATTTCCTTAGGGTCTAGGTCTGGTAAAAAAAAAAGAAAAAAAAAAGCTGAAAATAAAAATCCAAAAATGCTTTTGCCCATAACACATTTTCAATAATTGAAATAATAACCAAAATTTGAGCAAGCAAAAAGTACATGTAGGAAGTATATATCCCCAGAATATTACCAATGTTTTAATAAAAGATATCAATGTACAGATTTCCTTGAAGTGCCTGAATAAAAATCTCGATCTGTGATTTTTAAATTAAAATTTTGAGATACCGATTACGATGTATAATTTTAAATCAAGTTAATATAATTTCAAATCGTCTTATTGGTATTAAATAATGCAAAAAACTAGTAATATTTTTAAAGAATTTGAAAAAGCATTTTTTTTTTAATTAAATTGAAAAAAAAAAGTAGAATACTGCTAAGAAGAAAAACTCAATAAAGAAATAAAATTTATCTACTTTTAATCAAAAAAAAGGGAAGCAAATTAGTTAATAAACCAAAAACTTTTAACACTTGAAATAACACTCATAAAGGTTCAACCTTAAAACATTAATCTTATAAATTACATGTGAAATAACCAATAGATGAAAATGTAATAACCAATAAATTTTTTTTTACAATTTTTAGGATAAACTTAATAACTTTGAATTTAATTCTTTAATTTTCATAATTAATGTTTAAAGCATATAAATAAAATGCTATATTTAATGATAATAATAAAAACTAAACAGCTGTGTAATTATTTAGTTTTTTTTTATTATTATTAAACTATTCAATAATAATAAAACTAAATTATACAGCTACTATTTATTGAAAGGTAAGACATTAGTAGGCAGACATCAAATAAGTGTTACTTACAGGTGAACCACCAGAGCTAGCAGTAACGGTGCTATCTGAACTTGATATATAATCATAATTTCCCTGATCAAGGTTTGGTGAACACCAGTTTTCATTTGAACATTTATGCAACTTTTCTGGACTTGAATTATAACTCTAAAAAGTAAAGATGCTTTTAAAAATTTGTTTATTTAAATTTAAAAATAAGTGTTATTAAAGAAATAATTAAGAAGTAAAATAACTCATACATTACTATAATTCATTAAACGCTAAAGCTCTTCAATTTTATTTCGATTATATAATGCTAATTCCACTCTTTTATTCATAACATTATAGTACAAGAATTATTAATTATTCTATAACCAAGAAAAAAAAAATTTTTTGTTGCATTTTTACACAATAGAGTCCATTGGCTATACAATATGGAAAGTGTATCGACAACAAATGAAGGAGATGATTTTTAAAGAGCTCCCAGTTAAAAGGATAAATATTAATTTAAAAGAAATTTAACTAAATATTGGAAAATATAGAAATTGGACTGCCAAGAAAAGTCTTTTTATACATAAAATTAAAAATATTTTTAGACAATCAAGTACATGGGAACACTTACATTCATCACAGAATTACTAAGTTCATATTGACCATTTAAATCACACATCCTTTGTACTTGATTCAGTTCCATAAGATCTTTTAAATCTAGTACAACAGGAAGAATCTCATGCTATAGAGAAAGGAAAAAGAACATTAGATAAACTTTTTTTTTAAACACAAAGCTAGAACAGAAATTTTAAAATTTAAGAGATCAACAAATTGTCTAACTGACATTTGATACATAAACTTAAATTATTTATATGCAGTAGTGAACAAAATTTGTAAAATTCAGATTTGTAAAAATATTATTATATTATTTTTTCTACAATTAGGAAAAAGAATTTCTGAAATTTTTGAAATTCAATTATTGTTGGAGGTTTAGTTATTCTAAAAATTGAAAATGAAGTACATTAAAAGTAAATGTTTACTATTATTTTGTTAACAAAGCTGTCTTAAAATAGTGTTTAGCACAAGAACATAGTTTAGTTACGTTACAGTTGAATTCATTTTATCATTAGTTAATAATGCATTTTGTTTTGTCCCTTGACAAACTCCATAGAACAATTACAGAATAAATATTTTCTGCTATTTCAAATTAAAAATAATTTTTTAAAGGTTATTACTCAACATTCTTTTGCATAGAAACAATGATATCTTATAATGAAAAGAGAAAAAAATGGAAATACTAACATTTTGAAAGGCATCTTCTTTCACTAAATTTGAAAATGTCTTTTGAGTTGGCAAAGATGTTCTTGATTCATCAAGTGATACATCCTTAGATGGATGAAAGGGACTAGAAATAAAATATATTTAAATTATTAAAAAATAACAAAAAGCAAAAGGTTGTGAAAGATAACACACAATCATTAACTAACCTTTCTATGTAATTGAGCATAGCCAAGTCTTCACTCGATAAACTCTGACAATCTATTTTGTTGTATGATTGTGAATCTTCAGTTAAACTTAATGAGTTTACCTACAAATGAATAAATCCATATCTTTATAAAAAAATTAATTCACAAATGAGACCACTAAAAAATCTAATCCTATTTACAGAAGACATCTACAGTAACATAGTATATACAGTTTTGAAGAGACATAATGATAATTGCCTAAATGTTGAATATTTAGATTTTAAAATTGATATTGTTAATGAACAAATTAAAATTGGTGTTTATGATAAAAATAAAGCTTATAAGTTTAAGGTTATTTTTTTCTGTAATTTTGATACTAATTGGTGCAGAAAAATTTTCAAAAATTTAGCTTTTTCTCAATTGTCTAGAATTAACAAAATTTGCAATAATGTTGAGAGTCTTCAAGAGGCAACAAGTAAATTTTTAAAAAAATTTGGAAAATAATGGTTTTTCTTTTAATTTCTGTAATGAATTTAAAAAAATGATTAAATATTGTTAGTTTCGTTTTCTTTTAATAGGGCATGATCAAGCCTTAGCCGAGTTGCCCTGGTTAAGCATTTCTACTAATGATGGCAACTGCTTTCTCGCTCCTTTTTTTTTTTCCTTCTGTACATTAAATTAGAGAGCGTTGTTTTTTTCATTAATTCCAATTTAGTTGAGGCTTTGTAATATGTTGTGTACTTGCTTTGTGATTTATCATTTTGAAGTACGTTTTTGAACATTGTCCTTGTTTAGGTATTATATTTTCTTGTTTGGTTTTGTAATTTGCATTAAAATTTTCTCTTGACCTAGACTCTGGTAAAACCTTTGTGGTACAGAGAGAACAGCGTAGACATTTGTCGTGCTCTCTCGATAGAAAAGGTTGCATTTATGACTTCCGGGGCTGGTACCCCCTGACAACGTCAGCTTCGGCTGTCATATTTTTCATTTTTTTATTCTTCTGGATCCATATAAGGGAACTTACAAGGAATAATTATAGAGTTTTTGACATGACATCACTTCAAGATTAATACTTTAAATCATAATAAAATCAATATTTTATATATTAATATCTGAAGATCAATATTATATGTTATATTTTATAACTATTCAGTTCATATCATAGGTAATGAGTTCTTAATTGTCAACAATCTAAATATTGATTTTAATTCCTTTTTGGCACAACTTCGGCAGATTTTTAAGAAAGCTAAAGTGGTCAGTAATAATTGTCCAAGCTCACCACGAGAAAATATTTTTTGATTCTGAATACTTGCTAATACTAATATGTAGATAAGCATTTCCTGTAAATCAAGATTATAATATACTCCCAGATAAGTAAAGTAACTATAATTTAGAAAAAATATAAATGCTTGTTAAAATGAGTTAATAATTTTTTTCAATAAATCAATTTAAGTGTTTAATTAAATTATTAATAATTAATTTAGTTATTAGAATAAATTTTTAATACATGTTATTTCAGTATGTTATAATGGTTTTGGTATGTCTATATTCTAGTTTTGCTAGTTCTAGTTTAGTAATATTTTTTAATTTTGACAAAATTGAAAAATAAATTTGGGAATATAGTGGGTTTCGAAATTAGTGTTTTTCTAATTGCATGCTTCAGGGAAAGAAGAAGTTTATATAGGAGTAAATAAAAATCGATTTACACACAATGAACAAGATTTTTATTCGGTATATTTCTTATAAGATTATTGTTTTTACCATTTTATTTTCAATAATTAATCACATTTACAGGTTAGGTAAATTGCAACTTTACGTGTTTTTATTTATTTACAATTATTTAATATTTATGATAATAGATTATGATTTTCTATATCAAAATTTTGAGTTTTTGACAGTAATTGTCAAAACAAAAAGGGGGTTTTAATGTCAAAATTCTTAAAGAATATGTATGTCTTTAATAATAATGATTATTATTATAAATCTTTACAATAATAATCACTTGATATTTTATATGTGATTTTATTAATAATTATTTCATATTTATGATAGCTAACAATTATTTTTAACAATAAAATTTTCAGTTTCAGGTCTAAAAGGGTTTTTTTACAGGGTGGTTAACACCATGGGTAAAACTGTCAACTCTAAGTACAATATAAGAAAACCACTTAGATAGAGATAATGATTGAACGAATTTGCATGTTTAATTTATATGACAAATATTTTAAGATGTTCTAAAGAATTTTTTAATATGTTTATCTTTCTGATTTCATTCATTTTTGAATTAAGTTGCAATTTTATGCTACCAACTCGCTTTCCTATGTGTCAATACATGTGTGTTTTTTTTTATCCACATGTATTATTCCTTCCAGCGAAATGACTTACTTTAAATATTCCTTTGTAATGTGTATTACTTCATTTTTAATTAAAAGTTATAATTACATACTTTTAAACTTCTCACATAGACTAAAAACTGCCTATTATTTATTATAGGGACTGCAAAAAAAAAATTTGCGACCACTATAAATGAATTATTATTTTCTAAGGTATTTACTATAAGCGTATGAAACAACATTAGTTACATAGCAGCAAAGAACAAAGTTATAATATGTTTCAATGCATATTCTCCAATAAAATGTCAAATCTAATACAGTTTTTATTTCACAAAGAACTTACCTGAGGAAATGATGCTTTTGAAATGGATTCACTCACATTAGACATCTCACTGATATTGGAGAAATAAGAGAGATTGTCGAAAGTTGCTTGATAGCCAGATGAGTTTCGGAATGTTTCAGAGTTCATAACATTCGGTGAGCTATCAATATTAGCCGACAACATAGAGTTCTGAATATTATTTACAGGGTTGTTAACATCTTGAGATATGATGGATTCAATATCCATCAGTACACCGGAATCTTGAAGAGCCATAAGATCTTCTGCAGTCTTTTTGTAGTCCAACTCATCAAACGAAGAAAAAGTATCACTAATTGGCGTAGAAGTGAGACTTTTAGACAGTAACAATTGTTCAGAGGGGCTAAAACAAATTCCCTTACACATGACATTTGAACAATCCGTTAATGGCTGGACACACAATTAAGGAAAAGAAAAATTTGGACTAACAATGACTTAGAAAAATCAATAGAAATGTTTAACTAAAAAGTGAAAACTTAATGTCTGTTGAGTAATAACTAAGAAATTAAGCTAAAAAAAAAAAAAAAAAAAAAAAAAAAAAAAAAAAAAAAAAAAAAAAAAAAANAAAAAAAAAAAAAAAAAAAAAAAAAAAAAAAAAAAAAAAGGTGCGTAGCCAAATTATTCAACAAAAAATAAGCACCTTTTAAGCACTTTAAAAAAATATCATAATTAGGCAGGGTTGGAAAGTTTTTGACTATTGACGGTTTTCACTTGTTTTAACCGTCATATATATACATAAAAAAAAACAAACCTCTTGGTATCGTATTTGACAATTGTAAAAAATCATTAAATTTTGAATCATGTAAAACGAATGGCGTTTTCATACGCTACGGACTGACAATAAGCCGAAATAGATTGGGGTTGAATTAATTGTGAAAAAGTTTAATGTGTCTTTTTGCATAATTCATAGCGAAAAATCAACATGGCACTTTTTAAAAACGCTACGTACCATGAAAAAAAACAAACAATTACAACAGTCAAAACTTGGTAAGAGACAGAGTCATATTTTATAACTAAAAATAAATGAATGAATAAAATGGCTGTATGAAGACTGTTATACGGCTTTAATAAACTAGCAATTAAACAAGTCATTTTCAACATTGTATATTAATTAATATTCCAAAAGTTGTTTCCTAGTGGTTACCTTGGTAGTAGAATTTACAGTGCTTCCCTGTAGAAAATTCAAATTTACCAGTGACTTCAATGCAATCAGGTAGACATTGTCAAAATTAAGTTTCATTTAATGCATATTTGGCAAACATTAAAAATGAAAAAGTAATACACAAAAACTTAATGTTGTTTAAATTTAATTTCATACAATCATCATTTACAGTTATTTTCATAAAATCCTCATAAAAAAAAGAGAAAAGAAATGTTTTACCTAGCTTAGTCCAACTTTATCCTATGAATTTGAAACATACTTAAAGTGATAAATATAGAATTAAAAAAGTAAAGAAAAACCATAGCTCCACAAACACACTTTATAGCTAGACACATAATTTATCTTATACACATGACTTAGTAATATCAAACCTTAAAATAATGATCTAGAACTTAAAACCAGTATGAATCTGTATAAAGGATACTTTCTTTCGCTTTTGACGAAGATTAGGCATAACCGGTTTCGAAGATTCAATTTCTGTTGGGGGACAATTTACTTGACATGCTGAGGATAATACAGAAAAAGTTTAAAAACAAGTTAACAAAAATCTATATAAACTATTTTTGTATAAAATCTTAACGAAATATTTGAGGGAAAAACTGATGTTTGCACATTATAAACTTGCATGAAAGATAAACCAGGCAGTAAAAAATAATAAATTTAAAGGAAATATAAATTGAACAAATAGATTTTGCTATAGGAAATGCCATGATTCGTAAAAAGTAAAGGTACTATTGTATCCTAATGAAGATAGGGTATTCTTTGAGCTGCATATGAATAATCCTAAAAAACATGAATAAAGCACAAATAATGGTACAAAAACAGATTTGGCTCTAAATTTATAAGCAAAAACCTTCCTTAGAATAATAGGGGAAAAAACAGGCAATAAACAATTTGCAGTAAGGAAAAAAATGGTTTAACCTAAGGGAAGAGCAATAAATTAGAACAAGATTACAACAAAGGAAAAACCTCAGGTTTTCATCTTAGTCCCCCCCCCTACACCAGTTTCTTATTTCCTTTCCTTTGTTTGATGGTTTTGTTCAAGCTTATTGCTTTTCTCCTATTAGTTAAACCACCTTATTTTTTTAGAAAGCTTTACAACTGGGATGTTTTCAAGTAATTGTAAACAAAAATAAATAGACAGTCATTAAAGTATACTTCATTCTAATCATCGTTTCCTTTAAGACCTTAAAAACATCACAATAAATATTCAAATTAAAAAGTATGAAAGTTAAAAGGATTAAGATTTCTTTTCGGCAGGGACAGAAGTCACTAATCAAAACGACAGTTTTTATGCACAATTATGTAAAAAATAGCAATCATACATTATGCACCTATCAAAGAAAATAAATTATAAATCATGAATATTTTGCATTGCTATTGATTAAAACTTAAATAAAAAAAAAAGGATAATTTCTTCAAAGTCGTCATAGAACAAAAAAATTGAATGGCTTTGATAAGTACTTTTCATTTTACAAAATACTTTTATTGAAAGCGAAAAATTATATAGATTTGCTTCTCTGTGATTTTGAGTAGCAATAAATGTTGGGTTTTTCTTTCGAATGAATACTATAGATGTTTTTGTTGCATATACAAACATGTGGGAAAAAAATGCATAATTACTTTATGATACCAAAAATGACAAAATGGATTATTTTAAGATTGTAATTATTATAGGTTAAATGATAAAACGCTGCTTAAAAACAAAATAGCGGATTTACCGGACATTAAAAAAAAATAAAGGATGGTTTTTACACACTTATGAAGACATGTGCTGCTGGTAAACTCAAGAGCTTGGTAAACAAACTACATTTACTCAAAATTTAGTTTATAATAAAAGCAATCAAAATCTTTAAACGTCATAAAACAAATCTTATGCGAAACAAAAGAATTCCTGAGTAAAAACATTTTTAGAGTTTAGATCCTTCTAAATGTGATGCCCCAGCATTACAAAATATTCTGCATTTTTTAATTTCATATAAGTTTAAACAAGTAATTTAAATTTTTTTTTCCAAACATGCATTGTTTAATTAAGAAAAGAATTTTCTTTTTTTGAAAATTTAAAGTGATTACCTTTTTGATTAAAGTGACCTCCTTTTGATTAAAATATTGATGTGAGAAAAAACATGACCAACTATTTTTATAGGTGTATACTTTACTACAGGTTTTATACTCTACTTTTTTAAATTTAGTTCAAATACGATTTCATAAAATAGAAGATTGTAAATATAATAAATGCAAACAAATAAATTCACAATTTTGAACATTTTTAATTAATAAAAATTTAAATTACATACTCCTGTTTTCTTTCTGGTAAGGAATAGCACTTGCAGGAACAGTTCCAGGATATTCTGGGGACTTTCTTTCATCACAGATTTGCAAATTAGAATACAGTAGTTGTTGTTCATTTTCATTCCCTTCCAATTTTATATTTTCTATTCTAGGGGTTTTTAAAAAAAAGAAAACAAATATGAAATAAAATTAATAAGTGACAAATAATCAATGTCTCTAAGGACCAATCCAAAACTACTCTATAAATTTTATTGACTTCTTCACTAAAGTCCTTTGAGACTAAAAAAAGTAAGTAAAAAAAAAAAAAGTAATGATATGATTTAGAAAGTTGAGTGTTTTTAAATAAATAATCAAACGGGGGAGAAAGCTTACAATATCAAAGGTAACGCATTTGTGTCACTAATGTATTAAAATTAAATAAGTGCAGACCTGCCAACCTTAGAAAATAAAAAAGCAGGAGACCCTTTCGGTATCACAACATAGAGCAATATTGAAAATTAAACCTGATTCACACTTCCTACAAGAAGTTTATTTCAAAATAGATTATTTACATTACATAAAATAGACCACAATAAGATTATGACACTGATTAATAAAGAGATATGTGTTCTTACTATAAAATATAAGGTTCTATAGAATTATATTAAAACACATCTTTTGATTTTTTTAAAATTTAGGAAGAGGTTCAAAATTAACAAAATAAGTCAATGAGGAATACAATACTTTATAAATGTATTTTTTTTTAACTGCTACTGTTTTAAAACTGCAGATGTTGCTAATTTAGCGTTATTTAAAAAAAAAACTGCCATCTATAGAAAGTGAAAAAACATTCTGCCTAATGGTGTCCAAGATATCTCCTATTTTGCAATTCATTCCATCGATTATGGCTGCTGTTTTGGTTCACACTCACTGTAATTTTTAGTGATGTTGTTATAGGGGAAAATTTTTCTAAATAAATGCCCAGCATGATCTGAAGCACAAGTTGGGAAGGAAATTGCACAAATTGTTGTTTTTTTTCCCCCTCTATAGTGCACTAAATAGAAATAAAGCAGGAGAAAGCACCCTGAAGGCCTGAGGGGAAAGATTTGAGGCAAAAGCAGGAGACTCCTGCTAAAAGCAGGAGAGTTGGCAGGTCTGTAAGTGATATTGGACATACACTAATCAAATTTTAAAATGAAATATTAGAAATTACTAAGTATTATCTTACATAATTGATTTACAAAAACATTAAATAACAAAGTTAAATAATATAGTTAAAAACTATGCTAGCAAGGTTCACTTACTTTAAAGTATCTAAAGGAGATAAGTTATTAATATTTTCAGATGCAGGAACAGGGTCATTATTAGTCATTAGAGAATTTGGACTCCATATGTTTGTTTTTGATTGAGGCGACAAGGAATATGAGCTTGGATATTCACTCACAAGAGGAACTTGAAATGATTGCTGACTACTTGGAGGAGTTGAAACAGCTGAATCTAAAAATATATTTACAAATTTATATCTAATCATTGGAAAAAGGTACAATTATCATTACTAAAAAATTTCAATATAAATAATTTTATTCCTGTTAATTGTTAAATTGCACTAAAAATTTTAAAAAAAAAAGGGGGGCTCTAGTTGTTGATCTGATCACTCAACCATGCAAAAGAGCAACTAAAATGGTAAGACTTATAGAAAAGCGGTCTCATACGTGTGAAATTGTGAGCAATATTAATTTTCTATGGCCAAAGAAATGTCATAGCATATCTCATCCTCATGCATGACAATGCTACACAGGGTGCAAATCTTTCAACAAAAAATAAGCACCTTTTAAGTACTTTTTAAGCACTATATACTTTAACAAAATGGAAACTAATTTTCAAAGACTTTATAAGATCATGATCATATTAGCCATTATAAAATGATCGAGAGATTCTCAGATTCGATATCAGAGGGTGAAAAATGAAGCCTGAAATAGAGAATATCTTGCAAAATGAAGCAATTGCACACGAGGACTCGCAAGCATGTAAAATGATTGACGCTTTCATACGTTATGGACCGACGGTATACCAAAATAAATTGTGGTTGAATTAATTGTGAAAACATTGAACAATGTGAAAAGCATGCTTTTGCGTAATACGTGGCAAAAATCGACATAGTAAAGAGAAGAAGAAAATCTCATTTTGGAAAAGGGAAAATTAAGCACCTTTTAAAAACACACAATGAAAAAAAGCACTAAGGGCTTTTAAAAATACAAATTGAAAATAAGCATCTTCAAGTACTTTTTAAAAACGTTATGCACCATGGCTACAGTGCTTGCAAAACACAAGCAATACGTAAAACCACCGGAGAGTATGGAGTCACCTGTACAACTACCCAGTCTATTTCTGTAATTCAAGGCAGCGCTGATAAAATAAATAATGAAAACTGGAAAATAGGCATGGATATGATAATTATTAAGATGAGATAAACAAGTTGATTCACCTTTTTTTATTAAACAATTTTTTTTACCTTTGCAACCTATTTTTGGATCAAATTCAAAGTCAAACATGATTTTTCCTAACTTATGTAAAAAATATAATTTTGAGATAGATCTGCCAAGCAAATGATAAATCTAATCATACGAATCACACAATTATGCAATTTTAAAAGATGATAATTATAGAACTAAATAGTTTTTTCCAGGAGACCTGTGTTAGCCCCAGTAAATAGTTATGGTTATTTAATATTAATCAGGGTTGGCAGGTTTTTGACATGTGACAGTTTTTGACAGTTTAAACCATGGTTTAAACCGTCACGTCAAAAACCTCACTGTCAAAAATGTCGAAAATGTCAAAAACCTATATTCATATGTGAAATTTAATTAATACATAAAATTTATATATTTTTTAAAGGATAGTGTTTCTAAATATGTTCTAGAAAAAATAAATTTAAAATTTTGAAGAAACACTTATATTTTGAATAGTAACCAAAATCTTGTACTTTTGAAAGCTCACATCTTTTGTAATATTATGTATTCATTTTCATGTGTTATTGAAAATCTGCAGTGATATTATTAAGAAATTTATTTATAACCAAATTTAGTGTATAGTATAGATTATACTAAAAATTAGACATTTTTAAAGATAAACATTAGCAGTTTTGTACATTAGACATCTTTTAAAGAAAAATCTTTTTAATATTCTTTTAAATCTTCTTAATAATCTTTTTAACATAAGACAATACAAATTTAAGTGCTTTCTGTTAAATACACAGAGTAGTTAGTGTCGATTTACAGTATATTCAGCCTATTCATTTACTATGCTGAAAATTTAGTTTATCCAAATACTTGTGAATTTCATTTTGCTGAATACTATATAGTTTTGTTGAATATCTAAATATTCAGCTGTTGAATAATTACTTCTTGCTTTCAAGATATGCATTATTTGTATTCTTAATACAAGTGGAGAAAAAAAAATTAAGAGATAAAAATTGTTTTAAAATGATAAGTGTAATAATTATAAATAAATATAATAAACAATATGAATTATATTTATCATTATTCACAAATATAACTACTTTTAAATTCAAATTAACATACTGGATAATAAAGATATTCGGTATAACATTAAAAAAAATTTTTTATACACTTGTATCTTATATCAAGTTTGTATTTATACAACATAACTTGTAAGTTCCTTATAAATATTAGTTATATGTTCCTTATATGTCAAAAATGCATAGTAATAAACTTTTAATTTTCTTAAGTATCAAAAAAAAAATTTTTTTTTTCAAAATATAAATATTTAAAAAAAATTTGTGCAAAATTTTTCTGCACATGCATTTGAATATAAATTTCTGAGATTTTAAATCTGTTATTTTACCTTAATTTTAATTAAAAAATATTTTAAAACCTGCTGATTACCTATAGTATAATTAAATTTCAATATAATGCATGGCAACTGTTGGTAGTTTTGAAGTTTATATATTTTTTTGGCAAACTTTAGTTTTTGACATTTTTGACAGTTTAAACCAGTATTATACCCTTGTCATGTCAAAAACCACTTTTTGACGTCAAAACCCCAACCCTGATTTTAATGAAGAAAAGTAAAAAACCAATTTCAATAAAAGTAAACATTATTTTGATGCATCTTATTACGATTTTTCTGAAATCGAAAAAGTTATTGCAATTCAATAAAAAAAATCACGAGTTAATGCAAATCACAAGTAATGAGATCTTTAAATCACGAGTTAATGAAATATGTTTAGCAAAATGCAATGTACATACCACAATCTAAAGTACTATTACCATTTTATACATCTTATTAATCTATGTTTTTTCTTTATACAAATTTTAAATATAAATATTATCGAAATAGTCAAAACTATGCATTTACAAATGGCATTTAAGGCAATTTACACAAGGTATCTAAAAAAAATAATATTAAATATACAACGTGCTAACTATTAACATATGTAATAAAAAAAATTTCGGACAAAGATAAGTAGTTAGATTATTGAAAAATTGCTGGTGAAGGAATTTAAATATTCTGCTAGTTTTAAGAAAATGTGCTAAGAAAAAATGGAAAATCAAAATCATATTTTAATGATTAAAAAACTATAAAATCGTATCGAAAATAATAATAATAATAAAAAAAAACTTTCATACAAGTCTTCATTTACAAATATTTGTTAATTAATAAATATTTGTTAGTAAAGAAGAAAATCCAAGTAATAAGATTCAAATTGATGTATTTTAAGATATTAGACCATATTTTCATAAACCTAAATAATTAATTGAGGAAAAACATCTAGAATTAAAATGCAAATAAACATATAATCCATAACTTTTAAAGTTTTTCGAATCTATATAACTCTAAGAAAAACTTTGATTGGATATAATAAAGATAACTAAATTCTCAATAAATTATTGAGAATTTAGTAAAACGAATATAGAAGTGTTAAAAATTGTAGCATTGCACTTACTGTGATAAATAGGAGTGTTTGGTCCAGAATGATAGTAAACAGGTATAGGAGAGTATTCACTTTCTTGGTTATAAATTTGGTCCTAAAATTTTACAAAATAAGTTAAATATTTTGAATTTTTAAAGCATAATTTCAAAAAACTTAAGGCTGCAAGTGAACTTACCATTTTACTGTCCTCAGGACTGTGCAAATTATGGACATTTTCTAAACTTTTGTCAGCATCAACCCTTTTTTTCAAAGTAGAATTCCAATGATTTTTAATGGCATTATCAGTCCTGTAAATAAATGAGTAAACATGTTTTACAAAGAAATAAATACAAAATTAGTATAATAATGTATAGTTTAATAGAACAAGAGCTGGATGCAGTTATACCACACCAAACTCAAATTCTGTTATTCTCGATTCATTATAATTCTATTATTCATAATTCTATTAATTCTAAATGGTGATATACACCCCAATTCAAAAACACTATAGAGATTGAAAACAAATTTTTAAAAAATAATAATAACTAGGGTGCTTTAGAGAGCCCTATATCAGAATAACCTATAAATAATTGGCCAAAAATACCCTTACCCTTAAATTTTGATAGAAATGTGAAACTACAGTCATCCTTGACTCAGTTCACAGCCTTTCTTAGAATGTTGGATAGTAAATACTTATCTTTGCCTGTGTCAATGATTTAAGTGCTTATAGAAAAATACATAATTTCTTATTAATTTGTACAAATAAAGTAGAAAAGAAAATTTTAAAAACTGATAAGATTAAATAAAAAAAATTCTTTCTTTAAATTTCAATGACAATAAATTTCAATTTAATCTGATACTCTATAAGTCATTTAATCAAATTTTGTCTCCTGAATAAAAGTATTATAATAATAGCGTGAATAATAATAATTGTAGTAGGAATAATTCTTATAATTTTGTAAATATAATTTTGATTCATTCAAGAAATATTTTAATACTTGCATCTGAACTATACATGCATAGTAAGTCATTTATAATACGTTCAAATAGAGTCAATCTCTGGAATTTTACATTGAGTGTTGGCCGAAAACATTGTATCTTTTAGTACTTATCCCTTTCGCCAGCACAAGGAAATTAAGCTATGTTATTTATTTGGTTAAAAAAAATTCTTTATTTTTTCAATTAAAAAAAAAATTACATTTATATTATTATCCTCGGAGACTTTATCACAGCCACTACGAAATAAGTAGCCACTTTTTTTAATTTTTGTGGTCCACTGTCCAAAATCATTGTGCATCTCGGTCCTAAATTCATGTTCACTTAAAAAAAGCATGCAAAATATGAAATTAATTACCTTCCAGGTAATAGCTTAGCTATTTTAGCCCATTGATTCCCCCATTTCCGGTGATATTCACAAATTAACCTTTCTTCTTCAACAGTCCATGCAGATTTTTTAATATCAGGATTCAGATGATTGTGCCACCTAAATTAACAATTCAATTAAAATATTTGTTTAACTAAAAAATATCATAATTTCTGACTAATTATTGACACTACCTTTCTCTGCATTGCTTTCCAATTCTTCCATTTAAATGCTTGGCAATTGCAGTCCATTTTTGAGGACCCAGTTGTTTAACAAGCTCAGTAACTAATAAGTCCTCCTGAAAATGAAAGCACAATTCTACTATAAACTATTACACAAGCACATCAAAGTTTAGAAATCAACTTCATTTTGCTTCCGAAAATAATGAATATCTTCAAATAATTAAAAACATGCCAGTTTAAATGGCAGTCTAATCTACCTTAATAAATTAAATAATTTAATAAATTAAAATGCTTTAAATAAATAAAATTTAAAAAAAGCAAAATTAAATTCTTGAGGAATAATATAAATTTATTACATTAGAAAGATTTTAGTAATAATTAACCTAATTATACATAAACTAAAAATATAACTAATATTCAGCCACTATTCCCCCTTTCTGTTGAATATTCAACCAAATATTTAGCAAAGTATTTTTAGACTTTTTTTTTTTTTTGAACTTGAAAAGATTTATCTAAAATGGTATTTTTAGTATACATTATTAGAAATAAGTTTTACTCATATTTTATAAGTTCTAAAACATGCCATATTGCCAGCTAGTTCTAAAACTTGCTGGCAAATTTATGTTCTGGAAGACAAATAGAACAACGAAATTTGAAATTGAAACTAGATAACTTTATACTGAACCAGGAGTTTAGTATTGCTGAATTTATTTTAAATCATATTCAGACCATGAATTTTTTTTTTGAACATATATTTTGTTTTAAGAATTGCGAAAGTTTTTTATTTTTTATTTTAATGGTGCATTTTTGATACATTTTATTCCTTTATTGTCTCTTTTTTTTTCCTGTAGAGTAAGACAGATAACCAGTAGCATAAAAAACTGTGATTTTCAACCTTAAAGTTAAAAATAAGAACCAAGAACAATTTTTTGCGGTTTTTTTTTTAGTGATTTTATTATGACATAGCATTTTTTCAAGAGGGTTTCAAATGGATGACTTTTATTCTTTTTTCTAAAAATACAGAATGTGAAACAGTTGAGATTTTTAGTGAAAATTTTCTTTATTTTAAAAGGAATGATTTTAGTTTTGGCTTCAATCTAGCTTTACTTTTTAAAAAAATTTCACTTTTATTATAACATCGCAATTAAGAAGGTCTCTATTAAACTTTATTCCTTTTTCTTCACTTTTTCTTGAAAATACACTTTATTTGCAATACAGTACATGTTTAGTTAACCTTTAAAATTTTCGATCAAGAATTAAGATTTATTTTCATTTTTTTTATTGGCAACACTTTTAAAAGCGTTTCTGATCGACTATATATCTTTTTATGTTTTATGGATACTTCTTTTTTCCAGAAAATATATATATCTAAACATAATATATGACCCAGCAGAAGAGAGCTTCCCTTCTTAAAAATTTTACCAGGAATAAATATTCCACTTACAATTTTTTATTTTTATTTTATTAAAATTGTTATTTTTTCCATTATAGTGAAGCATGGCAATCATTTTGTTATTAAGTTCTTTTTCTTTAAAGAAAATTTGTCCAAATTAATTGAAAAGAGAAAAAAATTCTAATAAAAGATATATAAATAATATTTTTTTGGTCTAAATATTCAATCTCCAAAATATCTTTGGGTCAAAATATTCTAGTATTTACAATGCAAATTAATATGATAATCTGAATTATAAAATTACGATTTGCAGTATTTTCGACATGATTTTCAAATATTTATGCAAGAATGAAATTACCCTTTAAAAACTATTTGTGAATAACACTGTAGATAGGTTGGGGGAGCAAAATGCTTAATCATTACAAGGTTTTACATATTAGTTATACAAACAGTTAAAAAAAATTATAAAGAAGTAAAAAAGTAACATGGAATCATACTTCTTTAGTCCAAGGTCCTTTTACAAGATTAGGATTGACAACTTTTGACCATCTTTGTTGACACTGAACATCGCTTCGACCAGGTAAGAAACTGGCGATTTTACCCCAATAGCCATCACCACCATAAATAGCAACCAGCCTTTTAAGCTCTTCATCCTAAATCAAGGAAGCAAATGCAAGAATTTTCATAAGTCATAGCTTTCATTTGGAAAAGAATAGCTCCAATAGATTTAAAGTCAACCATGATAAAAATTATTGTCAAACTACTATTACTGTATCTAAAATATTTTAGACACAAGGAATTTTAGGGATTTTTATGTTTACTGAAATACAAAACTATATTAAACCAATATCAATTAACAAATACCAAGTCATGATTGACCATTAAACATACTTGAATATAAAATGTTATAGTATGTTTTATTTAATTAGTGATTTTTATGTTTAATAAAATACAAAACAATATTAAACTATAACAATAAACTGCATTGACATTAAACAGACTTGAATATAAAATGCCTCATTGTATCTGTTATTTAATTCCTTTTATAAAGTTATAACATATATTTTTTAATAATATCAACATAGAGATTCACAATAAAACAGAAAATGTTAGCATATTTTTTAAAAAAAAATGACAGTTTCAAACTGATAACTATAAATAAGATTTATGATGCTGCTAAAAGATGAAATTTTTTTTCTTTAAAAAAAAGGAAAATTTTGTATCAAACAAAAAAATTTTATAATCTAGTAGAGTTAAGTATTAATGAGTAAATGAGTTTTACATATCAAATGAAGAAAAGAAATTTATTCAAATAAATTATAATGATATATAAAGAGTAAGATACGCAAGGATTTGTTGATATTAGATATTTATTAGATCACTTTTTCATTGTGAAAGTTTAATCTACCTATTTTTATTTAAATATCAAGTTAAACATGGAAGAAGTTCTCAATTAATATCAGAAATAAAATTTCCCGATTTTCATCCTAATTCCAGACCTCGTTTTGACTATACTTAGCAATATTCCACTTGGAATATTGCAATATATCCACTTTTTTTTATTCATTAAGTAAAAAAAATTAATAACAGATTTTTGTATAAAAATCTTTCAAGTATTACTTTTTGTAAAAAACAGAAGTTTACAAGACAAAGGAACAGCATGCACAGTTTGAAATATAAAAGTATATAAAATATAAATAAAAGGAATATTTTGTACAAAAACTGGACAAATTAAAAAAACAATATAGTTTAAACCTAATATATTGCAAAAATAACATCAGTCATATAGTTTAAAACTAAGCATATATCATACCTCAGAAAAAAATCTATTTATACAGAAAGCTTATTAAAAAAAATTACCAGACTATTGGATTACATTGTTGAATTTAATAGATATTTAAGAAAAATTTGAAACAAGAAAATGCTAAAATTATTGTTAATAATTTTTAAAAGTAATTGCAACTGTAAATTGATAGATAGATTAACTTTTAGCAGAGGTTACCAATCGATTTAAATAGTGCTTTAAATCATGATTTCCCTTAGATTTTCTTTAAAAAAAATCACTGATTTAAATTTAAAAAAATTCTTTTTCCTGCTTAATATATAACTAGTTATCATTTATATAAAAACATTTGTGTCCACAAATTAAAATGTTTTTAAGGTAGAAGAAGGAATGCTATTTTCAACCCTTTGCATATATTTTATTCCGTTGCACCAGAATCGATCTTTACACTTGTCCAAATATTATCCAAAAGTGCTCTTCATAACAAACAAAGAAAAAAAATGAAACTTAAAATTTAACATAAATTTTTTTTACCAGACAGTTAACCCTTTATAAGGCTATGGTAAATAATATTTTCCACGAATAAACTTTATTAATGTTGATTCCTCAATACATATATAATATTTAAGATTTTACATAAATATTTCAGGTACATTTTAAATTTATTCTTTCATATTTATAACTTGTACAAAATTTATGTTGTTAATATCCTTAGAAAGTTACAAGTCATCTATTAAAAAAAAACTTTTTTTTAAAAACTCTGGTTTCTAGAAAATTCAATTTTTTTTTATTTTTAAATACTGTGGCCCTGAATAATCAATTTGTGATGGCACAAATTTAAATACTAATAGTTAGTTGTTTATTTTCATATGAGATACTTTTTTAAATTTATAAAAAATTAAAACACATGTCAAACTGTGAAATATTCTTTTTTACAATATTTTCAAATTCTTGATAGAAAAAAAAAATAAAAGCTCATATTCAAGATACTAAAAAAAAAAAAAAAAACTATTTTAACTTTAAAAACTTATTTTTTTTTAAAGGCAAAGTTTAGAATTCATGAAAATAGTAAATATATGACAAAACAAATTAGAAATTAATATTTAAACAAAAAAATTAGAAATTAATATTTGTTTTTATATTTAACTGTTTTATGGTTTATTAAAAAAATTTTGCTTCCAATTTTTTAAAAAAAGTAGAAAATATGTTTTAGTTTTTTTATGTATCTTCATGTAATTTATGTCTGCTTCGTCTGTGATTTTAAATAATTTACTTTCTCATAAAAAAAAAATATTTCATTAATCTCAAAAATTAGGAAACAAATTAACAAAAAATCATTGAAAACATTATGCTAATAACTGCAAAACCTAATTTTAAATTTAAGAATTGAGATTTTAAATGCAACTGCTGTTTGTTTGTAATCCAAAATTAACATGAGTATAACAAATGAATAACTGTCATATATTATTAAGTTCATAATAAAATATTCAATTGTTCTTACTAATGCACTTTTAACTTTTTACATAGAAAAGTGTGAAACTGTTAAAAAGAAAAAATTATAATTACTTAAAATCACCAGACATTTAAGTTTTGCTGGGGTTTTTTTTCCCCCTATTTGCAGAAAAATATAACAAAATAATTTATTTCTTAGATTTTAACTTAAAAACTTTACAACAAAACTTTAAGAACTGTCTAACACAGATTAAATGTTAAAAAATTTAACCAATTATACATACATAACTAATGATTTTACCTCAGTTTTTGACCATCTAGCTTTATTTACTGATTTGCTTTTAGAAGATTTTGGCATATCTGTTACACTGCCAGTAGAGCTATTTGAACCATCACTAAACAGCGCAGGCTCCCTTTAACAGAAAGAAAAGTATTAGTTAATATTACGATTAAAAAGAAAAAGTATATTTTATTTAACATTGAAGCATAATAAAACAATGAAAAAACGACCATACAGCAATAATGCCTATAACCAATCACTACTTGATTTCACAAACAATTCTCTTAAACAGTGAAATCAAAAGGTAGTAGTTTTTAAATTAAATGCCAACATAGATGAAAATGGAAATTTCCTATTATATCTAATTTTCTAGGTCAAGATCTTTTTAGAAGTCATTTTCATATATAATTCAAAAACAACAATTATTGTTATTAATGATAGCCATTATTTTTAAAAATAAATTACGATATTAATATTAAATTTAACACAATCATTAATGCATTTTTTTTACAAGTAAGAGCATCTTAAATTTAGGTATCTTGGATATGTATTTAAGGCTGTTATTAAAGAAACTTTGAAAACATACATAACTAAATGTAAATATAATTAGATAAACATACATCATTAAAAAATTTAATTCATTATTGAATAATACCAGTTCCCATAATATACATCTCTCAGATACATATAATATTTATTAAATTCATAATTTATATAGAATATTTAAAAAAAAAAAAGCTGCAAACCTGGGGCAAATAAATTCCAGCGAATCGATTTCATTACCGCTCATTTAAAGTTTCTGAATAATTAGCAACCAATAAATAATTTTAAAAACAATAAAAAGTTTGATATTACTTTCCACATCGTAATTTTTAAATTAAAAATAAACGAGAATTAAGATTCGAAATTAAACCAGAGAGCAAATGGCCCGGGGTAGATACAAACATATGCAACAAACCAAGGGTTACAAAAAGAGCAGATGGCGAAAGGCTCTGGCGACTACAGATTTGAACGAAGCGCCAAACGTGGGAGAACGAATCAACAGCAGCGGCATTATTTGTGTCGCGAAGACGAGAACTTATCAATTATACGTAAAAATCTTTTTTTTTTCTTCCCCCCTTCAAGATAATAACTTAAGCATCGAAAACAAACGATTGATATAAGAAGTTCTTAGAAAAGAACTAAACTAAAGTTAATATTTATGCATAAAAACATTTATATTAAATGTGCTAATTGAAATTTTAAATATCCTTTTTATATTTTATTGTTTTATCCATAAGCAAATAGAATATTGTTTAAACAGCGATTATGAAATATTAATATCAGTTTTCATGGTTAAAACTTCAAACATGAGTAGACATTAATAAGTACCTTATGAAAACTATTACATTAGTCACTATTACATTAGAAAATTATGACATTAATTAGTACCTAAAAAAGCGCTAAAACTTTCAAGATCTCGTAAAATAGTAACAACAAATGTGGGGGGGGGGAAACATAGGAAAACTTACAATTTAAAAAGTTGAGCTTAAAAAAGGTCAAAAGTTCAAATTAAGTAGTAAAATTTCGATATAAAATAAATTGCATAGGTCCCGTAATGAGACTCTATATTAATTGAAAAAATAATAAATGGACAATGCATGTCAAGGTCTTTTAGCGAAAAAAATCTTATAAACACAGAAATTCATTTTAAGATTTAAGTTTGAAACTTATTTCAATCTTTTGTTTCTCAGAAAACCAAGATAAAGGAACTCTTTTTTAGAAAAATATAATTTCGAAAAGAAACTAAGTTCAACACCGGTGGGGAGGTGAGGGATAGCAAAAGGAAAATCGCTCAGAAATGTGCCAAACAGAGCGATTCTGAACATTGCATTACAACCTCAGCTGTCTAACCTACCTACAAAATAACACCTGGCAGATTTTATGATAGAAAAATCAAGGGAAGAGAAGATGACGGGGTGGTCCGGAGGAAAAAAAAAAACGAGGTAGCTAACTCCCTGTTGCCCTCTTTTTTCCCCCCTTCTTACATGCTCGAAGCAAAATAAATATTCTGTAGTTTATTCGAAAACAATTCAAGGAATATAAAACGTGACATTGAACCTTCTAATATGAAATGCAACGGTACTTTTTTTTAGTTATTCTCTCCCTTTTTGGAAATGCGACTTACACCAGCTTTTTGCTCACCTAAATAAAAAATTAAAAAACTACACATTTAATCGAACCATCTGCAACTAATTGACATTAAAATACGATTAAAAATTTGCGAGTTAAATAGTTAAATCATTGTGTGTTGTCGCACGCCCCCATTGGCAAAAATCATTGTGTACTTGCAAGTGATGTCATCGTAGAGGTTCGACACCAAGCGTGACGTTGCTCAGTGTCGAATTAATCCAATTAAGTATCCAATTGGGTATAATATAAAAAAAACACAACTACTTCCACTTAGTAGGAATAACATTTACCATGGCGCAATGCTAAATTCTATGCCACTATCCACATAAATCAATTATTAATCAAAAATCGAATATCAATTACTTTTCTTTATAATGCAATAAAATCTGGCGAGCAGCTATTTAAACGATCAAACACTTCGTTTGTTTATTTGTGGCTTGAAGTTAGGCTCGCAGAAAATGCCGTTCATGGATTAAATTTAGTAGGAATAACACAACCTGTGACGTAGGCTATAGTATGCCCAATTAAATCTGATTTGAATCACATGGTTAGGCATAATTACTTCACTTCTTCTAGAGTTGCAAGAATCTAATTAACGCGATAAGAAATCCAAAATTAGCAAGAAAATCCAAAATAAAATTTAAAACAACTACACATTTAATTCAGCCAAGCTGCAACTAATTGGCATAAAAATTAAAAATGTGCTAATTGAATAGTTGATTGTTAAATAACTAACGCGATTATCAATCCTAAAATAGCGAAAATATCCAAAATACGGAACAACATGTTTTGTTTTAACTATTAATTTTAGTTCATGAAAAAAAAAATAGTATTTTTCTAAAATGACGATAAAAAAAGAGTAAGTAACATTGAAAATATCTTACTGAAAGAACCTTTTTATCAAAAAAATTGCATGAGTTCCGAAAAACATTAAAATTTGGTCTAAACATTTAAATTTAATTTTATTTGGTATCTAAACTTATGGGGGGATGGTTTTGTAATTTTCCATTATTGTGTGTACATTTTTGTTGACCTGAAATTCACATGGTAGGATCCAATTTTTCTACATAAATTTCTATATTTTTTTTTTCTGTCATCAGCATAAAAGTAATAAAGGTATTGTTATCCTGTAAAATATTTTTGTATCCTAAATTTAAAGGTATTTACCTGTAATATTTATTTTTCTTATTTCACTCTGCTATTATTACGTTTTCTAAATTAAGAATTTAAAACCATAGGAGTTATTTCTTCGTTATATGATATTCCCTTACTGGTTGAATACCAGTCCAATGTACGGAGTGGGAAAAAAAAGAATCAATAATTCAGTAATGAACACTATAAAATCATGCAGAAAACTGGAATACAAATAACGATACAACTAATGAAGCTAAAATAACTCAAATTTTTCTATTTTATCCTTTCGAGGGGCTGTAAGAAGCTATATCCACGGTATCAATACAGTTAATACCAGTAGTGCATGTTACCAAATATAAATAAGTATCATCGGCGTCAAAAATGGCATGATGATTTTTTACTTTTCTCCCAAACGAATTAGTACCATAGATTCATTAATTTTGCTTTCTCAGAGTTTCGGCGAATCCTTAATGGCCAGAAAATTACAAGGAAAATAAAACAGAAAACGATAATTCTGTATATAACGAAGATTCAAATTTCTTTGGTTGTCATCAGCATACAACTAAAAAGAAGTTATCAGAGAATTTTTCACCTGTAATATTACGTTTTTTATTTTTAATCCAAATTAAAGGCTTAAAATTAAAAACGGTACTCCTTTATTATTAAGTAATCCTACGACAATACCTCAATACGCATCATTTTAAAAGAAACATATTTCAAGCGGTATTTAATTATTAACCGTTCTACAATTATAAAACAGTAAATAAGTTGTATAATTACATAAAAAGGTTTTAGTAAAACTGTGTCAAATCAACCTGTGTAAAATAAGGAATACAAAACTGCGTAACATTATGACTTAACTTTTTGCGCAATTACTAAATTATCTTTTAGAATCAAAATTAACGAGTTTTTACGGTATCGAAAAATTAAAAACACACTCAGTTTTGTGAATGAAGTAATAGTGACAAAAAATAGGTAGGATAGGTTTAAATTTTTATCTCAACGGGATTGGGGACAAAAATTGCGGATCCAATTCTATGTTTATACAATAAAAAATGTTGGTGACTTTTAACTCAGTAATTTTTAATTATGATATAAGAGTCTGCTTCTTGTTAAAAATAAAAAATCGTAGAGTAGTTTCAAGTAGATGAATAAAAAGGCAACGCATTTATAATGAAAAAGCAATGAGAAAAGCAAAGCCAAGTTTAAGATTTAATCTAAATCAAGGTACGTAATACCATCGCTCAGCATTATATTTCGTGAAAGAACAGGAAAAATTCTTTTTCACTCATATAATTGGGGGTAAGATTACAATTGAATTATTATATTTTCGTAGAGATAAATTTATGGTAAAAAACAAGCAGGTGCTGGGACCTAGATGTATGACTTTTTTAACTCATTCATAAATAGTTGTAATAGAAAATACTTTGAAAAATATATAACTACAAAATAGGTTATCATAAGGTTTTAAAAAAATTGCATGTAAATCGTTTCTTTTTAATGTATAATAAATTTTGCAACCAAGCTTTGAAAAAACGTTTAATTTTAACAGAGACTAAAGAGAGTGTCTGTTCCAGTAGTAATTGTCTTCAATGACATCATGTGTTCGTCTTAGCGCCAAACAATAGATTACATTGAAACTCATAATTATAACAATATACATTGAAGCTCATAATTATAACAATACAGAAACAGAGTACGTCATTACTACATTACATTAAAATAATATGAAATCACTTACATCGATCTCAAGTACAAATTGCTCTCAAGTAAAGAATAAGACAATTTTCGCTTACATTTGCGAGAAGGTAGAACTCTTCGCGGAGTATCATTTGGGCTATCCATGACAAGTTTACTTACACTATACTTGTCATGGAAATTGCGTGAAAATAATTAAATTTTATACAAATAAAGGAAGCTCTAAAATCCCTAATCTTACTTAGTAACATTTTGTTCCTTTTTTTTTTAATCAACTTCAAGTAATTATACGTGAATCACGCGAAGAAATACAATTTATAAATTCTTAACATAACCTAAGAAGTCGAGAGACACTTAAAATTAGCGCGAAATTTTCATTTGGTGAAAAGATGACACGAAAAAGATAATACAATTTAGAATAGAGGTGGGTTACTTTCAAAAAAGGGATTGCATTAGCATTTCGTGACATTTAAAGTATAGAGCACTTCGGTACATAAATTTCAGCAAAATAATTGTTGGTTTTACCAATGTAACGTAATATTTTTTTTATGTAATTTAGAAATTTTAGTAAAAAAAAAACTGTTTAATAGCGAGAAAGCATTTTTAACTGCCAGCTTTATAGCAGTTACTAAAAATTATGTTTACAGCATAAATATAAACAGCAGTACAAAACTGTAAAATTAGTTTTAAATGTCATCTTTACCAACTTTACTGTAATTTTTGTATTCATAATCTTAAAATGTATCACGGAACAATAAATTTTCAAAACGACCATGCTATTCAAATATTTACATACTTGCAGTTAATTCAGGCTTAATAAATTAGCAGGGGTCTGTCCAGACATTTTGTGAAAGGTCCGTTTTTCGTGAAATTGTGAAAAAATTACTCACAATCCTTCAACCAGGGTCCGCTTTTATGAATTTGTGAAAATAGGGTCCGATTATTGCAAAAAACTTTTTCAAGCAGTTTGTAAATTGTAAAGATATACAAGATTATGCTCAACACTGTAAAATTATAATTAAAAAAATTAAATTTTAAAAAATAAAAAACAATTGCTGCTTCTAAATTAGAGATGCAACATA